TCTCTGTGTGTGTCTCATGTCTCTGTGTGTGTGTCCAGCGTGAGTGTGTGTCTCATGTCTCTATGTGTGTCTCTGTGTGTGTCTCATGTCTCTGTGTGTGTGTCCAGCGTGAGTGTGTGTCTCATGTCTCTATGTGTGTCTCTGTGTGTGTCTCATGTCTCTGTGTGTGTGTCCAGCGTGAGTGTGTGTCTCATGTCTCTATGTGTGTCTCTGTGTGTGTCTCATGTCTCTGTGTGTGTGTCCAGCGTGAGTGTGTGTCTCATGTCTCTATGTGTGTCTCTGTGTGTGTCTCATGTCTCTGTGTGTGTGTCCAGCGTGAGTGTGTGTCCATAGCCTCCTCCCTGCTGTGTGTGTCTCTGTGTGTGTCTCATGTCTGTGTGTGTGTGTGTGTCTCCTGTCTCTGTGTGTGTCTCTGTGTGTGTCTCATGTCTCTGTGTGTGTGTCCAGCGTGAGTGTGTGTCTCATGTCTCTATGTGTGTCTCTGTGTGTGTCTCATGTCTCTGTGTGTGTCTCTGTGTGTGTCTCATGTCTCTGTGTGTGTGTCCAGCGTGAGTGTGTGTCTCATGTCTCTATGTGTGTCTCTGTGTGTGTCTCATGTCTCTGTGTGTGTGTCCAGCGTGAGTGTGTGTCTCATGTCTCTATGTGTGTCTCTGTGTGTGTCTCATGTCTCTGTGTGTGTGTCCAGCGTGAGTGTGTGTCTCATGTCTCTATGTGTGTCTCTGTGTGTGTCTCATGTCTCTGTGTGTGTGTCCAGCGTGAGTGTGTGTCTCATGTCTCTATGTGTGTCTCTGTGTGTGTCTCATGTCTCTGTGTGTGTGTCCAGCGTGAGTGTGTGTCCATAGCCTCCTCCCTGCTGTGTGTGTCTCTGTGTGTGTCTCATGTCTGTGTGTGTGTGTGTGTCTCCTGTCTCTGTGTGTGTCTCTGTGTGTGTCTCATGTCTCTGTGTGTGTGTCCAGCGTGAGTGTGTGTCTCATGTCTCTATGTGTGTCTCTGTGTGTGTCTCATGTCTCTGTGTGTGTCTCTGTGTGTGTCTCATGTCTCTGTGTGTGTCTCTGTGTGTGTCTCATGTCTCTGTGTGTGTGTCCAGCGTGAGTGTGTGTCTCATGTCTCTATGTGTGTCTCTGTGTGTGTCTCATGTCTCTGTGTGTGTGTCCAGCGTGAGTGTGTGTCTCATGTCTCTGTGTGTGTGTCCAGCGTGAGTGTGTGTCTCATGTCTCTGTGTGTGTGTCCAGCGTGAGTGTGTGTCCATGGCCTCCTCCCTGCTGTGTGTGTCTCATGTCTCTGTGTGTGTGTCCAGCGTGAGTGTGTGTCTCATGTCTCTGTGTGTGTGTCCAGCGTGAGTGTGTGTCCATGGCCTCCTCCCTGCTGTGGACAGAGGAGGCCCTCAGGAGCTGGACTCTGGATCCAGTGTGTTTCGCTCTGACTGTGGTCGGCCCCTGTCAGGCCTCTGTGCAACTCCTGGTTTACCGTGAGTCTGACTTAGAGTTTATCTCAGAGTTTATCTCAGAGTTTATCTCAGAGTTTATCTCAGAGTTTATCTCAGAGTTTATCTCAAAGTTTATCTCAAAGTTTATCTCAGAGTTTATCTCAGAGTTTATCTCAGAGTTTATCTCAGAGTTTATCTCAGAGTCTAACTTAGAGTTTACCTCAGAGTTTATCTCAGAGTTTATCTCAGAGTTTATCTCAAAGTTTATCTCAGAGTTTATCTCAGAGTTTATCTCAGAGTCTAACTTAGAGTTTATCTCAGAGTTTATCTCAGAGTTTATCTCAGAGTTTATCTCAGAGTTTATCTCAAAGTTTATCTCAAAGTTTATCTCAGAGTTTATCTCAGAGTTTATCTCAGAGTTTATCTCAGAGTTTATCTCAGAGTCTAACTTAGAGTTTATCTCAGAGTTTATCTCAGTTTATCTCAAAGTTTATCTCAGAGTTTATCTCAGAGTTTATCTCAGAGTCTAACTTAGAGTTTATCTCAGAGTTTATCTCAGAGTCTATCTCAGAGTTTATCTCAGAGTTTATCTCAGAGTTTATCTCAAAGTTTATCTCAGAGTTTATCTCAGAGTTTATCTCAGAGTTTATCTCAAAGTTTATCTCAGAGTTTATCTCAGAGTTTATCTCAGAGTTTATCTCAGAGTTTATCTCAGAGTTTATCTCAAAGTTTATCTCAGAGTTTATCTCAGAGTTTATCTCAGAGTTTATCTCAGAGTTTATCTCAAAGTTTATCTCAGAGTTTATCTCAGAGTTTATCTCAGAGTTTATCTCAGAGTTTATCTCAGAGTTTATCTCAGAGTCTAACTTAGAGTTTATCTCAGAGTTTATCTCAGAGTTTATCTCAAAGTTTATCTCAAAGTTTATCTAAGAGTTTATCTCAGAGTTTATCTCAGAGTTTATCTCAGAGTCTAACTTAGAGTTTACCTCAGAGTTTATCTCAGAGTTTATCTCAGAGTTTATCTCAAAGTTTATCTCAGAGTTTATCTCAGAGTCTAACTTAGAGTTTATCTCAGAGTTTATCTCAAAGTTTATCTCAGAGTTTATCTCAGAGTTTATCTCAGAGTCTAACTTAGAGTTTACCTCAGAGTTTATCTCAGAGTTTATCTCAGAGTTTATCTCAAAGTTTATCTCAGAGTTTATCTCAGAGTTTATCTCAGAGTCTAACTTAGAGTTTATCTCAGAGTTTATCTCAAAGTTTATCTCAGAGTTTATCTCCAAGTTTATCTCAGAGTTTATCTCAGAGTTTATCTCAGAGTCTAACTTAGAGTTTATCTCAGAGTTTATCTCAGAGTCTATCTCAGAGTTTATCTCAGAGTTTATCTCAGAGTTTATCTCAAAGTTTATCTCAGAGTTTATCTCAGAGTTTATCTCAGAGTTTATCTCAAAGTTTATCTCAGAGTTTATCTCAGAGTTTATCTCAGAGTTTATCTCAGAGTTTATCTCAAAGTTTATCTCAGAGTTTATCTCAAAGTTTATCTCAGAGTTTATCTCAGAGTTTATCTCAGAGTTTATCTCAGAGTTTATCTCAGAGTTTATCTCAAAGTTTATCTCAGAGTTTATCTCAGAGTTTATCTCAGAGTTTATCTCAGAGTTTATCTCAGAGTTTATCTCAGAGTCTAACTTAGAGTTTACCTCAGAGTTTATCTCAGAGTTTATCTCAGAGTTTATCTCAGAGTCTAACTTAGAGTTTATCTCAAAGTTTATCTCAGAGTTTATCTCAGAGTTTATCTCAGAGTTTATCTCAGAGTCTAACTTAGAGTTTATCTCAGAGTTTATCTCAGAGTCTAACTTAGAGTTTATCTCAGAGTTTATCTCAAAGTTTATCTCAGAGTTTATCTCAGAGTTTATCTCAGAGTCTAACTTAGAGTTTACCTCAGAGTTTATCTCAGAGTTTATCTCAGAGTTTATCTCAAAGTTTATCTCAGAGTTTATCTCAGAGTTTATCTCAGAGTCTAACTTAGAGTTTATCTCAGAGTTTATCTCAAAGTTTATCTCAGAGTTTATCTCCAAGTTTATCTCAGAGTTTATCTCAGAGTTTATCTCAGAGTCTAACGTAGAGTTTATCTCAGAGTTTATCTCAGAGTTTATCTCAGAGTTTATCTCAGAGTTTATCTCAGAGTTTATCTCAAAGTTTATCTCAGAGTTTATCTCAGAATTTATCTCAGAGTTTATCTCAGAGTTTATCTCAAAGTTTATCTCAGAGTTTATCTCAGAGTTTATCTCAGAGTTTATCTCAGAGTTTATCTCAGAGTTTATCTCAGAGTCTAACTTATAGTTTATCTCAGAGTTTATCTCAGAGTTTATCTCAGAGTTTATCTCAAAGTTTATCTCAGAGTTTATCTCAGAGTTTATCTCAGAGTTTATCTCAAAGTTTATCTCAGAGTTTATCTCAGAGTTTATCTCAGAGTTTATCTCAGAGTTTATCTCAGAGTTTATCTCAGAGTCTATCTCAGAGTTTATCTCAAAGTTTATCTCAGAGTTTATCTCAGAGTTTATCTCAGAGTTTATCTCAGAGTTTATATCAGAGTCTAACTTATAGTTTATCTCAGAGTTTATCTCAGAGTTTATCTCAGAGTTTATCTCAAAGTTTATCTCAGAGTTTATCTCAGAGTTTATCTCAAAGTTTATCTCAGAGTTTATCTCAGAGTTTATCTCAGAGTTTATCTCAAAGTTTATCTCAGAGTTTATCTTAGAGTTTATCTCAAAGTTTATCTCAGAGTTTATCTCAGAGTTTATCTCAGAGTTTATCTCAGAGTTTATCTCAGAGTTTATCTCAGAGTTTATCTCAGAGTTTATCTCAGAGTTTATCTCAGAGTTTATCTCAGAGTTTATCTCAGAGTTTATCTCAGAGTTTATCTCATGTCCACATTTCATCTCTTTGGTCTCAGACAGAACTGTTGAACTGGTTCAAAATCATATTTGTCAAACTCATTTCATACATTACTTTATCTTTATATCCTTTAAATCTTTAATACATTACTTTATCTTTATAACCTTTAAATCTTTCATACATTACTTTATCTTTATAACCTTTAAATCTTTCATACATTACTTTATCTTTATAACCTTTAAATCTTTAATACATTACTTTATCTTTATAACCTTTAAATCTTTCATACATTACTTTATCTTTATAACCTTTAAATCTTTCATACATTACTTTATCTTTATAACCTTTAAATCTTTCATACATTACTTTATCTTTATAACCTTTAAATCTTTCATACATTACTTTATCTTTATAACCTTTAAATCTTTACATACATTACTTTATCTTTATAATTACTTATCTTTAAATCTTTAATACATTACTTTATTTTACTTTATCTTTCATAATTACTTTATCTTATAACCTTTAAATCTTTAATACATTACTTTATCTTTATAACCTTTAAATCTTTCATACATTACTTTATCTTTATAACCTTTAAATCTTTCATACATTACTTTATCTTTATAACCTTTAAATCTTTAATACATTACTTTATCTTTATAACCTTTAAATCTTTCATACATTACTTTATCTTTATAACCTTTAAATCTTTAATACATTACTTTATCTTTATAACCTTTAAATCTTTCATACATTACTTTATCTTTATAACCTTTAAATCTTTCATACATTACTTTATCTTTATAACCTTTAAATCTTTCATACATTACTTTATCTTTATAACCTTTAAATCTTTCATACATTACTTTATCTTTATAACCTTTAAATCTTTCATACATTACTTTATCTTTATAACCTTTAAATCTTTCATACATTACTTTATCTTTATAACCTTTAAATCTTTCATACATTACTTTATCTTTATAACCTTTAAATCTTTCCTAAATTAAACAGTTTCAGCTTCACTCATGAGGAAGTGTTTGTTTACATTTGTCACAATTCTACCATCAGGATATTCTGGATGTTTTCTCTGTGTATTTACATGTATATACATGTAAATACATACAGGTATATACATGTACTGTATATACATGTATATACAGGTCATGTACATATATATATATATATATATATATATATATATATATATATATATACATATATATACATATATTATATATACATATACTGTATATATACTGTATATGTATATATAATATATATATACATATATATACATATACAGTATATATACTGTATATGTATATGTACAGGTCATTCTGAGAAATGCACAGTTGTGCAAATGTGAAGAATGATGTGAGAAATGCAGAGTTTATGTGTGTCTCACAGAGGCTCCAGAGGCTGTCTCCATACGCTTCAGGGAGGGGCCCCTGGTCCAGGACCTGACAGAGGACCCCTTGGGGCCCCTGGTGCAGGACCTGACAGAGGACCCCTTGGGGCCCCTGGTGCAGGACCTGACAGAGGACCCCTTGGGGCCCCTGGTCCAGGACCTGACAGAGGACCCCTTGAGGCCCCTGGTCCAGGACCTGACAGAGGACCCCTCGGGGCCCCTGGTCCAGGAGCTGGTGCAGGGCCGGCTGTACTCGCTGCAGTGTGAGGTGAGGGCCGGGGCCCCCGCTCAGAGCATGAGGGTGAGGTTCTTCAGGGGCCTCCAGGAGCTGGGAGCACAGAACAGCACCTCAGGGGCCCCTGGTCCAGTGGACCTCAGCTTCTCCCTGGTCCACAACGTCAGTAGAGAGGACCATGGGGCCCTCTTCTGGTGCGAGGTCACTCTGCAGCTGGGCCCCCAGGGGCCACAACCCCCCCCTGTGGTCCGCTCTGACAACATCACAGCCAGCGTCCTCTGTGAGTATCCAAGTATCTCTGTATCCGAGTATCTGTGTGAAATATGTCCTCAGCCTCTGCCTCTGCCTCTGCCTCTGCCTCTGTCTCTGTCTCTGTCTCTGTCTCTGCCTCTGTCTCTGCCTCTGTCTCTGTCTCTGCCTCAGCCTCTGTCTCTGCCTCTGTCTCTGTCTCTGCCTCTGCCTCTGCCTCTGTCTCTGCCTCTGCCTCTGCCTCTGTCTCTGTCTCTGCCTCTGTCTCTGCCTCTGCCTCTGCCTCTGTCTCTGCCTCTGTCTCTGTCTCTGCCTCAGCCTCTGTCTCTGTCTCTGTCTCTGTCTCTGTCTCTGCCTCAGCCTCTGTCTCTGTCTCTGTCTCTGTCTCTGCCTCTGCCTCTGTCTCTGCCTCTGTCTCTGTCTCTGCCTCTGCCTCAGCCTCTGCCTCTGCCTCTGCCTCTGCCTCTGCCTCAGTCTCTGTCTCTGTCTCTGCCTCAGCCTCTGCCTCTGCCGCTGCCTCAGTCTCTGTCTCTGTCTCTGCCTCTGCCTCTGTCTCTGCCTCTGCCTCTGCCTCTGCCTCTGCCTCTGCCTCTGTCTCTGCCTCTGTCTCTGCCTCTGCCTCTGCCTCTGCCTCTGCCTCTGTCTCTGTCTCTGCCTCTGTCTCTGTCTCTGCCTCTGCCTCTGTCTCTGCCTCTGCCTCTGCCTCAGCCTCTGTCTCTGCCTCTGCCTCTGCCTCTGCCTCTGCCTCAGCCTCTGCCTCTGCCTCTGCCTCTGTCTCTGCCTCTGTCTCTGTCTCTGTCTCAGCCTCTGCCTCTGCCTCTGTCTCAGCCTCTGTCTCTGTCTCTGCCTCTGCCTCTGTCTCAGCCTCTGTCTCTGCCTCTGCCTCTGCCTCTGCCTCTGCCTCTGCCTCTGCCTCTGTCTCTGTCTCTGCCTCTGCCTCTGTCTCTGCCTCTGCCTCTGCCTCAGCCTCTGTCTCTGCCTCTGCCTCTGCCTCTGTCTCTGCCTCTGTCTCTGTCTCAGCCTCTGTCTCTGCCTCTGTCTCTGCCTCTGTCTCTGCCTCTGTCTCTGTCTCTGTCTCAGCCTCTGTCTCTGCCTCTGCCTCTGCCTCTGCCTCTGCCTCAGTCTCTGCCTCTGTCTCTGCCTCTGCCTCTGTCTCTGCCTCTGCCTCTGCCTCTACCTCTGCCTCTGTCTCTGCCTCTGCCTCTGCCTCTGCCTCTGCCTCTGCCTCAGTCTCTGTCTCTGTCTCTGCCTCAGCCTCTGCCTCTGCCGCTGCCTCAATCTCTGTCTCTGCCTCAGCCTCAGCCTCTGCCTCAGCCTCTGCCTCTGCCTCTGCCTCTGTCTCAGCCTCTGCCTCTGCCTCAGCCTCTGCCTCAGCCTCTGCCTCTGCCTCTGCCTCTGCCTCAGCCTCTGCCTCAGCCTCAGCCTCTGCTTCAGCCTCAGCCTCTGCCTCAGCCTCTGCCTCTGCCTCAGCCTCTGTCTCTGCCTCTGCCTCAGCCTCTGCCTCTGCCTCTGCCTCAGCCTCTGCCTCTGCCTCTGCCTCTGCCTCTGCCTCTGCCTCAGCCTCAGCCTCTGCCTCTGCCTCTGCCTCAGCCTCAGCCTCTGCCTCAGCCTCAGCCTCAGCCTCTGCCTCTGCCTCTGTCTCTGTCTCAGCCTCTGCCTCTGCCTCTGTCTCTGCCTCTGACTCTGTCTCTGCCTCTGCCTCTGCCTCTGTCTCTGCCTCTGCCTCTGCCTCTGCCTCAGCCTCTGCCTCTGCCTCTGCCTCAGCCTCTGCCTCTGCCTCTGCCTCAGCCTCTGCCTCTGCCTCAGCCTCAGCCTCTGCCTCAGCCTCAGCCTCTGCCTCAGCCTCTGCCTCAGCCTCTGTCTCTGCCTCTGCCTCTGCCTCTGTCTCTGCCTCTGCCTCTGCCTCAGCCTCTGCCTCTGCCTCTGCGTCAGCCTCAGCCTCAGCCTCTGCCTCTGCCTCTGCCTCTGTCTCTGCCTCTGCCTCTGCCTCTGCCTCAGCCTCTGCCTCTGCCTCTGCCTCAGCCTCAGCCTCAGCCTCTGCCTCTGCCTCTGTCTCTGTCTCTGCCTCTGCCTCTGCCTCAGTCTCTGTCTCTGTCTCAGCCTCTGCCTCTGTCTCTGCCTCAGCCTCAGCCTCTGCCTCAGCCTCTGCCTCTGCCTCTGTCTCAGCCTCTGCCTCTGCCTCAGCCTCTGCCTCAGCCTCTGCCTCTGCCTCTGCCTCTGCCTCAGCCTCAGCCTCTGCCTCAGCCTCAGCCTCTGCTTCAGCCTCAACCTCTGCCTCAGCCTCTGCCTCTGCCTCAGCCTCTGTCTCTGCCTCTGCCTCGGCCTCTGCCTCTGCCTCTGCCTCAGCCTCTGCCTCTGCCTCTGCCTCTGCCTCTGCCTCAGCCTCAGCCTCTGCCTCTGCCTCAGCCTCTGCCTCTGCCTCAGCCTCAGCCTCAGCCTCTGCCTCTGCCTCTGTCTCAGCCTCTGCCTCTGTCTCTGCCTCTGTCTCTGTCTCTGCCTCTGCCTCAGCCTCTGTCTCTGTACCTGTCTCTGTCTCTGTCTCTGCCTCTGCCTCTGCCTCTGCCTCAGCCTCTGCCTCTGTCTCTGCCTCTGCCTCAGCCTCTGCTTCAGCCTCATCCTCTGCCTCAGCCTCTGCCTCTGCCTCAGCCTCTGTCTCTGCCTCTGCCTCTGCCTCGGCCTCAGCCTCTGCCTCTGCCTCTGCCTCAGCCTCTGCCTCTGCCTCTGCCTCTGCCTCTGCCTCAGCCTCAGCCTCTGCCTCTGCCTCAGCCTCAGCCTCTGCCTCTGCCTCAGCCTCAGCCTCAGCCTCTGCCTCTGCCTCTGTCTCAGCCTCTGCCTCTGTCTCTGCCTCTGTCTCTGTCTCTGCCTCTGCCTCAGCCTCTGTCTCTGTACCTGTCTCTGTCTCTGTCTCTGCCTCTGCCTCTGCCTCTGCCTCAGCCTCTGCCTCTGTCTCTGCCTCTGCCTCAGCCTCTGCCTCTGCCTCTGCCTCTGCCTCAGCCTCTGCCTCTGCCTCTGCCTCAGCCTCTGCCTCAGCCTCTGCCTCAGCCTCAGCCTCTGCTTCAGCCTCAGCCTCAGCCTCTGCCTCAGCCTCTGCCTCAGCCTCTGTCTCTGCCTCTGCCTCTGCCTCTGCCTCTGCCTCAGCCTCTGCCTCAGCCTCAGCCTCAGCCTCTGCCTCTGCCTCTGCCTCTGCCTCTGCCTCAGCCTCTGCCTCTGCCTCTGCCTCTGCCTCTGCGTCAGCCTCAGCCTCAGCCTCTGCCTCTGCCTCTGCCTCTGTCTCAGCCTCAGCCTCAGCCTCTGCCTCTGCCTCTGCCTCTGTCTCAGCCTCTGCCTCTGCCTCAGCCTCAGCCTCTGCCTCTGCCTCAGCCTCAGCCTCTGCCTCAGCCTCAGCCTCAGCCTCAGCCTCTGCCTCTGCCTCTGTCTCTGTCTCTGCCTCTGCCTCAGTCTCTGTCTCTGTCTCTGCCTCTGCCTCTGCCTCAGCCTCAGCCTCTGCCTCTGCCTCAGCCTCTGCCTCTGTCTCTGCCTCTGCCTCTGCCTCTACCTCTGCCTCTGTCTCTGCCTCTACCCCTGCCTCTGTCTCTGCCTCTGCCTCTGCCTCTGCCTCTGCCTCAGCCTCTGTCTCTGCCTCTGCCTCAGCCTATGTCTCTGCCTCTGCCTCTGTCTCTGCCTCTGTCTCTGCCTCTGCCTCTGCCTCTGCCTCTGTCTCTGCCTCTGTCTCTGCCTCTGTCTCTGCCTCAGCCTCTGCCTCTGCCTCTGCCTCTGTCTCTGTCTTTGCCTCTGTCTCTGCCTCTGTCTCTGCCCCAGCCTCTGTCTCTGCCTCAGCCTCTGCATCTGCCTCTGTCTCTGTCTTTGCCTCTGTCTCTGCCTCTGTCTCTGCCTCAGCCTCAGCCTCTGTCTCTGTCTCTGCCTCTGCCTCTGTCTCTGCCTCTGTCTCTGCCTCAGCCTCTGCCTCAGCCTCAGCCTCTGTCTCTGTCTCTGCCTCTGCCTCTGCCTCTGCCTCTGCCTCTGTCTCTGTCTCTGCCTCTGCCTCTGCCTCAGCCTCTGTCTCTGTCTCTGTCTCTGTCTCTGTCTCTGTCTCTGTCTCTGCCTCTGCCTCTGCCTCTGCCTCTGTCTCTGCCTCAGCCTCTGCCTCTGTCTCTGCCTCTGCCTCTGCCTCTGCCTCTGCCTCTGCCTCTGCCTCTGCCTCTGCCTCTGCCTCTGCCTCTGCCTCTGCCTCTGCCTCTGCCTCAGCCTCAGCCTCAGCCTCAGCCTCAGCCTCAGCCTCTGCCTCAGCCTCTGCCTCAGCCTCTGTCTCTGCCTCTGCCTCTGCCTCTGCCTCTGCCTCTGCCTCTGCCTCAGCCTCTGCCTCTGCCTCTGCCTCTGCCTCTGCCTCTGCCTCTGCGTCAACCTCAGCCTCAGCCTCTGCCTCTGCCTCTGCCTCTGTCTCTGCCTCTGTCTCTGTCTCAGCCTCTGTCTCTGCCTCTGCCTCTGCCTCTGTCTCTGCCTCTGTCTCTGCCTCTGCCTCTGCCTCTGCCTCTGCCTCTGCCTCAGTCTCTGCCTCTGTCTCAGCCTCTGCCTCTGCCTCTGCCTCTGCCTCAGCCTCAGCCTCTGCCTCTGCCTCAGCCTCAGCCTCAGCCTCTGCCTCTGCCTCTGCCTCTGTCTCTGTCTCTGCCTCTGCCTCTGCCTCTGCCTCTTCCTCAGTCTCTGTCTCTGTCTCTGCCTCAGCCTCTGCCTCTGCCGCTGCCCCAGTCTCTGTCTCTGCCTCAGCCTCAGCCTCTGCCTCTGCCTCAGCCTCTGCCTCTGCCTCTGCCTCTGCCTCTGTCTCAGCCTCTGCCTCTGCCTCAGCCTCTGCCTCAGCCTCTGCCTCTGCCTCTGCCTCTGCCTCAGCCTCTGCCTCTGCCTCTCTCCTCTCTGCCTCGCCTCTGCCTCTGCCTCTGCCTGCTCTGCCTCTGCCTCTGCCTCTGCTCTGCCTCTGCCTCTGCCTCTGCCTCTGCCTCTGCTCTGCCTCTGCCTCTGCCTCTGCCTCTGCCTCTGCCTCTGCCTCTCTGCCTCTGCCTCTGCCTCTGCCTCTGCCTCTGCCTCTGCCTCTGCCTCTGCCTCTCTGCCTCTGCCTCTGCCTCTGCTGCCTCTGCCTCTGCCTCTGCCTCAGCCTCTGCCTCTGCCTCTGCCTCTGCCTCTGCCTCTGCCTCTGCCTCTGCCTCTGCCTCTGCCTCAGCCTCTGCCTCTGCCTCTGCCTCTGCCTCTGCCTCAGCCTCTGTCTCTGCCTCTGCCTCTGTCTCTGCCTCTGTCTCTGTCTCTGCCTCAGCCTCTGTCTCTGTCTCTGTCTCTGTCTCTGTCTCTGTCTCTGCCTCTGCCTCTGCCTCTGCCTCTGCCTCTGCCTCTGTCTCTGCCTCTGCCTCTGCCTCAGCCTCTGCCTCTGCCTCTGCCTCTGCCTCTGCCTCTGTCTCTGCCTCTGCCTCAGCCTCAGCCTCTGCCTCTGCCTCTGCCTCTGCCTCTGCCTCTGCCTCTCTGCCTCTGCCTCTCCTCTGCCTCTGCCTCTGCCTCTGCCTCTGCCTCTGCCTCTGCTGCCTCTGCCTCTGCCTCTGCCTCTGCCTCTGCCTCTGCCTCTGCCTCTGCTCTGCCTCTGCCTCTGCCTCTGCCTCTGCCTCTGCCTCTGCTCTGCCTCTGTCCTCTGCCTCTGCTCTGCCTCTGCCTCTGCCTCTGCCTCTCGCCTCGCTCCTCTGCCTCTGCCTCTGCCTCTGCCTCTGCCTCTGCCTCTGCCTCTGCCTCTGCCTCTGCCTCTGCCTCAGCCTCAGCCTCAGCCTCTGCCTCTGCCTCTGCCTCTGCCTCAGCCTCTGCCTCTGCCTCTGCCTCTGCCTCAGCCTCTGCCTCTGCCTCTGCCTCTGCCTCTGCCTCAGCCTCTGCCTCTGCCTCTGCCTCTGCCTCTGCCTCTGCCTCTGCCTCTGCCTCTGCCTCTGCCTCTGCCTCTGCCTCTGCCTCTGCCTCTGCCTCTGCCTCAGCCTCAGCCTCTGCCTCAGCCTCAGCCTCAGCCTCTGCCTCAGCCTCAGCCTCAGCCTCAGCCTCTGCCTCAGCCTCTGCCTCTGCCTCTGCCTCTGCCTCTGCCTCAGCCTCAGCCTCAGCCTCTGCCTCTGCCTCTGCCTCTGCCTCTGCCTCTGCCTCAGCCTCAGCCTCTGCCTCTGCCTCTGCCTCTGCCTCTGCCTCTGCCTCTGCCTCTGCCTCAGCCTCAGCCTCAGCCTCTGCCTCTGCCTCTGCCTCTGCCTCTGCCTCAGCCTCTGCCTCTGCCTCTGCCTCTGCCTCTGCCTCTGCCTCTGCCTCTGCCTCTGCCTCTGCCTCTGCCTCTGCCTCTGCCTCTGCCTCTGCCTCAGCCTCAGCCTCAGCCTCTGCCTCAGCCTCAGCCTCTGCTTCAGCCTCAGCCTCAGCCTCTGCCTCTGCCTCTGCCTCTGCCTCTGCCTCAGCCTCAGCCTCAGCCTCTGCCTCTGCCTCTGCCTCTGCCTCTGCCTCTGCGTCAGCCTCAGCCTCTGCGTCAGCCTCAGCCTCAGCCTCTGCCTCTGCCTCTGCCTCTGCCTCTGCCTCAGCCTCAGCCTCAGCCTCAGCCTCTGCCTCTGCCTCTGCCTCTGCCTCTGCCTCTGCCTCAGCCTCTGCCTCTGCCTCTGCCTCTGCCTCTGCCTCTGCGTCAGCCTCAGCCTCAGCCTCTGCCTCTGCCTCTGCCTCTGTCTCAGCCTCAGCCTCAGCCTCTGCCTCTGCCTCTGTCTCAGCCTCTGCCTCTGCCTCAGCCTCTGCCTCTGCCTCCTCTGCCTCTGCCTCTGCCTCAGCCTCTGCCTCTGCCTCTGCCTCAGCCTCAGCCTCAGCCTCAGCCTCAGCCTCTGCCTCTGCCTCTGTCTCTGTCTCTGTCTCTGTCTCTGCCTCTGCCTCAGTCTCTGCCTCTGCCTCTGCCTCTGTCTCTGCCTCTGCCTCTGCCTCTGCCTCAGCCTCAGCCTCTGCCTCTGCCTCTGCGTCAGCCTCAGCCTCTGTCTCTGCCTGTACCCCTGCCTCTGTCTCTGCCTCTGCCTCTGCCTCTGCCTCTGCGTCAGCCTCTGCCTCTGTCTCTGCCTCTAGCCCGCCTCGCCTCTGCTCTGTCTCTGCCTCTGCCTCTGCCTCAGCCTCTGTCTCTGCCTCTGCCTCAGCCTATGTCTCTGCCTCTGCCTCTGTCTCTGCCTCTGTCTCTGCCTCTGCCTCTGCCTCAGCCTCTGTCTCTGCCTCTGTCTCTGCCTCAGCCTCTGTCTCTGCCTCTGCCTCTGTCTCTGTCTCTGTCTTTGCCTCTGTCTCTGCCTCTGTCTCTGCCTCAGCCTCTGTCTCTGCCTCAGCCTCTGCCTCTGCCTCTGCCTCTGTCTCTGCCTCTGTCTCTGTCTTTGCCTCTGTCTCTGCCTCTGTCTCTGCCTCAGCCTCTGTCTCTGCCTCAGCCTCTGTCTCTGCCTCAGCCTCAGCCTCTGTCTCTGTCTCTGCCTCTGCCTCTGCCTCTGCCTCTGCCTCTGCCTCTGCCTCTGTCTCTGCCTCTGCCTCTGTCTCTGCCTCTGCCTCTGCCTCTGCCTCTGCCTCTGCCTCTGCCTCTGCCTCTGCCTCTGTCTCTGCCTCAGCCTCTGCCTCTGTCTCTGCCTCTGCCTCTGCCTCTGCCTCTGCCTCTGCCTCTGCCTCTGCCTCTGCCTCTGCCTCTGTCTCTGCCTCTGTCTCTGCCTCTGCCTCTGCCTCTGCCTCAGCCTCTGTCTCTGCCTCAGCCTCTGCCTCTGTCTCTGCCTCTGCCTCTGCCTCTGCCTCTGTCTCTGCCTCTGCCTCAGCCTCTGCCTCTGTCTCTGCCTCTGTCTCTGCCTCTGCCTCTGTCTCTGCCTCTGCCTCTGCCTCTGCCTCTGCCTCTGCCTCTGCCTCTGCCTCAGCCTCAGCCTCTGTCACTGTCTCTGCCTCTGTCTCTGCCTCTGCCTCTGCCTCTGCCTCTGCCTCTGTCTCTGTCTCTGCCTCTGCCTCTGCCTCTGCCTCTGCCTCTGCCTCTGCCTCTGCCTCTGCCTCTGCCTCTGCGTCAGCCTCAGCCTCTGCCTCTGCCTCTGTCTCTGTCTCTGTCTCAGCCTCTGCCTCTGCCTCTGTCTCTGTCTCTGCCTCTGCCTCTGCCTCTGCCTCTGCCTCTGCCTCTGCCTCTGCCTCTGCCTCAGCCTCTGCCTCTGCCTCTGCCTCTGCGTCAGCCTCAGCCTCAGCCTCAGCCTCTGCCTCTGCCTCTGCCTCTGTCTCTGCCTCTGTCTCTGCCTCTGTCTCTGCCTCTGCCTCTGCCTCTGCCTCTGCCTCTGCCTCTGCCTCAGCCTCAGCCTCTGTCTCTGCCTCTGCCTCTGCCTCTGCCTCTGCCTCTGCCTCTGCCTCTGCCTCTGCCTCTGCCTCAGCCTCTGTCTCTGCCTCAGCCTCTGCCTCTGTCTCTGTCTCAGCCTCTGCCTCAGCCTCAGCCTCTGTCTCTGCCTCTGCCTCTGTCTCTGTCTCTGCCTCAGCCTCAGCCTCTGTCTCTGTCTCAGCCTCTGTCTCTGCCTCTGCCTCTGCCTCTGCCTCTGCCTCAGCCTCTGTCTCTGCCTCTGCCTCTGCCTCTGCCTCTGCCTCAGCCTCTGTCTCTGCCTCTGCCTCAGCCTCTGCCTCAGCCTCAGCCTCAGCCTCTGCCTCAGCCTCGGCCTCTGTCTCTGCCTCAGCCTCTGCCTCAGCCTCTGCCTCTGCCTCTGCCTCTGTCTCTGCCTCTGCCTCAGCCTCAGCCTCTGCCTCAGCCTCTGCCTCAGCCTCGGCCTCTGTCTCTGCCTCTGCCTCTGCCTCAGCCTCTGTCTCTGCCTCTGCCTCTGCCTCTGTCTCTGCCTCTGCCTCAGCCTCAGCCTCTGCCTCAGCCTCTGCCTCAGCCTCTGCCTCAGCCTCGGCCTCTGTCTCTGCCTCAGCCTCTGCCTCAGCCTCTGCCTTAGTCTCCTGACCCCTGACCCTCATATGTGCCTACAGTGAGGGAGTACCAGGTGGAAGCTCCGCCCACTCTGCCTGCCCAAGTGCATGATGGGAAACCCACGGTGCAGAGTCAGAAGGGACAGAGACGCCGGCCGGAGGAGGCGGAGCCAAGAGGAGCAGGTCAGTCCCCACCCCTTCTGCAGAAACTCTCTAATATCAAACTCTTATAACGTCATACCTTTGGAAACCGAGCGAGCCGATTGGCTGAGAGAGGGTGGTCCTTTAATTAAGGAAGCCAGCAATACAGGAGACTTTTCAAAAAACAATAAACTGTCTCTCTCTGGTCTCTCTCTGGTCTCTCTCTGGTCTCTCTCTGGTCTCTCTCTGGTCTCTCTCTCTGGTCTCTCTCTGGTCTCTCTCTGGTCTCTCTTTGGTCTCTCTCTGGTCTCTCTCTGGTCTCTCCCTGGTCTCTCTTTGGTCTCTCTCTGGTCTCTCTTTGGTCTCTCTCTGGTCTCTCTCCGGTCTCTCTTTGACATGTTTATATCTGTTGTGTTGTAGGCCCCGCCCCCTGCTCCAGCGCTCTCCTTCTATTGGCTCTGCTGCTGCTTCAGGTGTAGAGGATTGGACGGGACGAGAGTCTGTTTACAGATGGACAATCAGAGGCCTTCATTCACAGGATTTGGCTCCAGGAGGGAACAGACTCCAGCTGGTCTCTCTCTGGTCTCTCTCTGGTCTCTCTCTGGTCTCTCTCTGGTCTCTCCCTCTGGTCTCTCTCTGGTCTCTCTCTGGTCTCTCTCTGGTCTCTCTCTGGTCTCTCTCTGGTCTCTCTCTGGTCTCTCTCTGGTCTCTCTCTCTGGTCTCTCTCTGGTCTCTCTCTCTGGTCTCTCTCTGGTCTCTCTCTGGTCTCTCTCTCTGGTCTCTCTCTGGTCTCTCTCTGGTCTCTCTCTGGTCTCTCTCTGGTCTTTCTTAGTGTAAATACTGTAAAATGAATCTTTTATGTTAAATAATAAAGAAACTCCTTCGACCGTTGTGTAAATGCTTCTGAAGTTACACACACACTTACAGATACACAAAATAACATAGTAACACACACATATATATACAGCTACACTCTCTCATACACACACACACAATAACAAACATTGTACACACACACACTTACAGATACACAAAATAACATAGTAACACACACATATATATACAGCTACACTCTCTCATACACAGACACACAATAACAAACATTGTACACACACACTTACAGATACACAAAATAACATAGTAACACACACATATATATACAGCTACACTCTCTCATACACACACACACAATAACAAACATTGTACACACACACACTTACAGATACACAAAAGAACATAGTAACACACACATATATATACAGCTACACTCTCTCATACACAGACACACAATAACAAACATTGTACACACACACTTACAGATACACAAAATAACATAGTAACACACACATATATATACAGCTACACTCTCTCATACACACACACACAATAACAAACATTGTACACACACACTTACAGATACACAAAATAACATAGTACACACACACATATATATACAGCTACACTCTCTCATACACACACACACACAATAACAAACATTGTACACACACACTTACAGATACACAAAATAACATAGTAAGACACACATACAGCCACACAATAACAAACATTGTACACAAACACACACACACACAAACATAGACACGTGCACACACACTTACACGTACACCCCATAGATACACACACACACACGCACGCGCACGCACACAGACACACACGCGCACAGACACACACGCACGCACATAGACACACACACGCGCACAGACAGACACACACGCGCACACACACACACACACGCGCGCACACAGGCACACACGCGCACAGACACACACGCGCGCACACACACACACACACACACACACCGCCCCCGTGCGGCCTGTCGGTGCACTACAGTCCTATCCTTTCCCGTGCGCTCTGTCCGGTGCTTTACGGTACTGTCTCCCGGTAACGCCCCTCCTCTCTCCGGGCTTCACGATCCCTCCGTCAGCCACACATCCACATGCTCTCCGCGGACTCAGAACCCTCCACCCGGCTGAGGAGCTCCAGGCCTCCAGCCCCGCAGACCCCCCACCCAGGTGAGCACGGAGCCGAGAGAGAGGCGCCAGTCCCGGGTACAGCTGACGGCGTCGGTCCTGGTTCCTGCGGTTCCTGGTTTATGTGTTTATGGTGTCTTGGTTACACGCAGTGCTTTACAGACACGCACGTAAGGTCCAAAGGCTTCATGGTCCAGTCCTGGTCTTGGTTTAGTCCTGGTTTAGTCCTGGTTTAGTCCGTGTTGATCCAGCGCTACATATTTCTCTCAGACATTTGTCTAATTATAGCCTCCCTGGTTCAGACCTGGTTCAGACCTGGTTCAGACTTGGTTTATTGCTGGTTTATTGCTGGTTCAGTCCTGGTTCAGTCCTGGTTCAGTCCTGGTTCAGTCCTGGTTCAGTCCTGGTTCAGTCCTGGTTCAGTCCTGGTTCAGTCCTGGTTCAGACCTGGTTCAGACTTGGTTTATTGCTGGTTCAGTCCTGGTTCAGTCCTGGTTCAGTCCTGGTTCAGTCCTGGTTCAGACTGGTTCAGACCTGGTTTATTGCTGGTTTATTGCTGGTTCAGTCCTGGTTCAGTCCTGGTTCAGTCCTGGTTCAGTCCTGGTTCAGTCCTGGTTCAGTCCTGGTTCAGTCCTGGTTCAGTCCTGGTTAAGACCTGGTTCAGTCCTGGTTCAGACCTGGTTCAGACCTGGTTTATTGCTGGTTTATTGCTGGTTCAGTCCTGGTTCAGTCCTGGTTCAGTCCTGATTCAGTCCTGGTTCAGACCTGGTTCAGACCTGGTTAAGACCTAGTTCAGTCCTGGTTCAGACCTGGTTTATTGCTGGTTTATTGCTGGTTCATTGCTGGTTCAGTCCTGGTTCAGACCTGCGTCAGACCTGGTTCAGACCTGGTTCATTGCTGGTTCATTGCTGGTTCAGTCCTGGTTCAGAGCTGTTGTGCCGTTGGGCAAGGCACTGTGACTGTTAATCTGAATATATACAGTAATACCTTTAGATTAAAGCTGAGGGATGTAACTTTGGAACTACAACTATATAACTATGTAATAAAAAACATTCTCTCTGGTCTCTTTCTGGTCTCTTTCTGGTCTCTCTCTGGTCTCTCTATGGTCTCCCTCTCTCTGGTCTCTCTCAGTGCTCTGCATGGACAGGGATACACACATAAAGGTCAGCTTTCAGACTCAGTCGAAGCTTCAGGGACAGTTTTGACATAAGTTCCAATATTTGTCCATTCTCTGTATATTCCTTTTCTTTTTTCTGTTGTGTTTTGTGAGTTTTATCCCTGACCAAAGCCCAGACACTTTGCTGAACGTCTTCTTGGCCATTGCTGTCGACAATCTGGCAAATGCTCAGGAGCTCACAAAGGTACTGGGTACTGGTCTCTTTCTGGTCTCCCTCTGGTCTCTCTCTGGTCTCTCTCTGGTCTCTCTCTGGTCTCTCTCTGATCCCTCTCTGGTCTCCCTCTGGTCTCTCTCTGGTCTCTCTCTGGTCACTCTCTCTCTGGTCTCTCTCTGGTCTCTCTCTGGTCTCTCTCTGGTCTCTCTCTGGTCTCTCTCTGGTCTCTCTCTGATCCCTCTCTGGTCTCCCTCTGGTCTCTCTCTGATCCCTCCCTGGTCTCCCTCTGGTCTCTCTCTGATCCCTCTCTGGTCTCTCTCTGGTCTCTCTCTGATCCCTCCCTGGTCTCCCTCTGGTCTCTCTCTGGTCTCTCTCTGATCCCTCTCTGGTCTCTCTCTGGTCTCTCTCTGATCCCTCCCTGGTCTCTCACAGGATGAGGAGGAGCAGGAGGAGGCTGCGAGTCAGAAGACCGCTCTGCAGAAGGCCAAGGAGGTGGCAGAGGTCAGCCCCCTTTCTGCAGCAAACCTGTCCATCGCTGCGTGAGTCTCAGACACTGATCCATCAGACTTCACATCTACTGAACATGTAATGATCCTTGTCTCTAATCTCTCTGCTCTCTCTCTGGTCTCTCTCTGCTCTCTCTCTGGTCTCTCTCTCTGGTCACTCTCTCTGTGGTCTCTCTCTGGTCTCTCTCTGGTCTCTCTCTCTGGTCTCTCTCTCTTGTCTCTCTCTGGTCTCTCTCTGGTCTCTCTCTGGTCTCTCTCTGGTCTCTCTCTGGTCTCTCTCTGGTCTCTCTCTGGTCTCTCTCTGGTCTCTCTCTGGTCTCTCTCTGGTCTCTCTCTGGTCTCTCTCTCTGGTCTCTCTCTCTCTGGTCTCTCTCTGGTCTCTCTCTGGTCTCTCTCTGGTCTCTCTCTGGTCTCTCTCTCTGGCCTCTCTCTCTGGTCTCTCTCTCTCTGGTCTCTCTCTGGTCTCTCTCTCTGGTCTCTCTCTGGTCTCTCTCTCTGGTCTCTCTCTGGTCTCTCTCTCTGGTCTCTCTCTGGTCTCTCTCTGGTCTCTCTCTCTGGCCTCTCTCTCTGGTCTCTCTCTCTCTGGTCTCTCTCTGGTCTCTCTCTCTGGTCTCTCTCTCTGGTCACTCTCTCTGGTCTCTCTCTGGTCTCTCTCTCTGGTCTCTCTCTCTGGTCTCTCTCTCTCTGGTCTCTCTCTCTCTGGTCTCTCTCTCTCTGGTCTCTGCAGTAAGGAGCAGCAGAAGAACTTTTCCAGAGGAAACAACAACAAGTCTGTTTGGGAGCAGAGAACCAGCGAGATCCGAAGACAGAAGCTGATGACGAGTCGAGAGGCGCTCTACAACGAACTGGAGCAGGAGGAGTGGAAGGGGGTAGAGGGGGAGCAGGTGAGGAGGGGGAGAGGTGGGAGAGGGGGAGAGGGGGAGCAGGTGAGGAGGGGGAGAGGTGGGAGAGGGGGAGAGGGGGGGGAGCAGGTGAGGAGGGGGAGAGGTGGGAGAGGGGGAGAGGTGGGGGGAGCAGGTGAGGAGGGGGGACTATGGACCCTTAAACCCACTTCTTTCTGAGAGACAAATACTTTAGTGACTCCACAGCTGCTCACGCTAAGGCTAAAGCTAAGGCTAAAGCTAAGGCTAAAGCTAAGGCTAAAGCTAAGGCTAAAGCTAAGGCTAAGGCTAAAGCTAATGCCAAGGCTGCTGTTTACACAGAGATTCGAGGTCAAGCGCCGGCGATCCAAGGTGGCGCTGTATTCAAATGAATGGTTTGTGCTCAGTGGCGCCCCCCATGGGGACTGAGAGATTAGTGGAACTCGCCCATATTTGGGCATCGTCTGGTCCTCCCGGTGTGGCTCTCATGTACGTGCACAGAGCATGGATCTATTATAATAACTGGATAGGGTGTTACAGCTTGTAGCTGAATAACTCATGTGCTCAGGGGATTCTCGCGGTACTGCAGACTGAACCAGACTGAACCAGACTGAACCAGACTGAACCAGACTAAATTCACGTGGGCTACCCAGAAATGTTCCCCATAGAACTCAATACATATTAAAACAGCTCAACCTCAGCTGACAGAGAACCTGACAGAGAACCTGACCGAGAACCTGACAGAGAACCTACAGCTTTCATAAAGGTCAGATTTTGTGGGGATTTTAGTGTCCCTTGTCGTCCTGAACTTTTTTTCTTCTTAAATCCTTCGGTTTTGTTTAAATCCACACTTTAGTGCCACAAACTCTGCTCGTCTGGCTCTCGCTCTAACTCCCGCTCTGATGAACTGCTCTGATTGGTCAGAGCCGAGCCCCTCTGTGCACGTGCGTGAGACCCTCTGTGCACGTGCGTGAGACCCGGTTCACCTCACCTCCTCTGTCAGGTTCTCTGTCAGTTTCTCTGTCAGGTTCTCTGTCAGGTTCTCTGTCAGGTTCTCTGTCAGGTTCTCTGTAGGTTCTCTGTCAGGTTCTCTGTCAGGTTCTCTGTCAGGTTCTCTGTCAGGTTCTCTGTAGGTTCCCTGTCAGGTTCTCTGTCAGTTTCTCTGTCAGGTTCTCTGTCTGGTTCTCTGTCAGGTTCTCTGTCTGGTTCTCTGTCAGGTTCTCTGTCAGGTTCTCTGTCAGGTTCTCTGTCAGTTTCTCTGTCAGGTTCTCTGTCAGGTTCTCTGTCAGTTTCTCTGTCAGTTTCTCTGTCAGTTTCTCTGTCAGTTTCTCTGTCAGGTTCTCTGTCAGTTTCTCTGTCAGGTTCTCTGTCAGGTTCTCTGTCAGTTTCTCTGTCAGGTTCTCTGTCAGGTTCTCTGTCAGGTTCTCTGTCAGGTTCTCTGTCAGGTTCTCTGTCAGGTTCTCTGTCAGGTTCTCTGTCAGGTTCTCTGTCAGGTTCTCTGTCAGGTTCTCTGTAGGTTCTCTGTCAGCTGTTGTAGTTTCCATTGAGCTCTATGGGAACGTTTGTGGGTAGCCCAGGTGAATGTAGTGTTGTTGAGTCTGCAGACACATGGGTCCTTCAGCTCCAAGCTAGTAATACTCTCTCCAGACATTATAATAGATCCATGTTCAAGGTGCACTGCGTCTACACGAGTGAGAACAATGTAGTCCTTACACCCGGCCAGTAGGGGGCAGTGGAACTTTCAACCAGACACCCAGTTTAACCACTGCCCCAACTACATCCTCCTCAGGCTAAAGAACCAACATCATTCTGCACAGCGTCTCTTTTGCCTTGTGTACAGGGGACCACCACCTGCTGGATCTCAGACCTCACATGGACTGAACCCATGCTTTTAAACCGGTTCTAACTCTTTGATTCCTGCAGGTGTCGTACCCGCGAAAAGGAGACATGAAAACTCACCTGGATCGCCCCCTGGTGGTCAACCCACAGGTGCGACGGTCGCTCTGGTCTCTCTCTGGTCTCTCTCTGGTCTCTCTCTCTGGTCTCTCTCTCTGGTCTCTTTCTCTGGTCTTTCTCTCTGGTCTCTCTCTGGTCTTTCTCTCTGGTCTCTCTCTGGTCTCTCTCTCTGGTCTCTCCCTGGTCTCTCTCTCTGGTCTCTCTCTGGTCTCTCTCTCTGGTCTCTCCCTGGTCTCTCCCTGGTCTCTCCCTGGTCTCTCTCTGGTCTCGCTCTGGTCTCTCTCTCTGGCCTCTCGCTGGTCTTTCTCTGGTCTTTCTCTGGTCTCTCTCTGGTCTTTCTCTCTGGTCTCTCTCTGGTCTCTCTCTCTGGTCTCTCCCTGGTCTCTCTCTCTGGTCTCTCTCTGGTCTCTCTCTGGTCTCTCTCTGATCTCTCTGGTCTCTCTCTGGTCTCTCTCTGGTCTCTCTCTGGTCTCTCTCTCTGGTCTCTCTCTCTGGTCTCTCTCTGGTCTCTCTCTCTGGTCTCTCTCTCTCCTCTGGTCTCTCTCTGGTCTCTCTCTGGTCTCTCTCTGGTCTCTCTCTGGTCTCTCTCTGGTCTCTCTCTCTGGTCTCTCTCTGGTCTCTCTCTGGTCTCTCTCTCTCTGTCTCTCTCTGGTCTCTCTCTGGTCTCTCTCTGGTCTCTCTCTCTGGTCTCTCTCTCTGGTCTCTCTCTGGTCTCTCTCTAGTCTCTCTCTGGTCTCTCTATAGTCTCTCTCTCTGGTCTCTCTCTGGTCTCTCTCTGGTCTCTCTCTGGTCTCTCTCTGGTCTCTCTCTGGTCTCTCTCTGGTCTCTCTCTGGTCTCTCTCTGGTCTCTCTATGGCCTCTCTCTGGTCTCTCTCTGGTCTCTCTCTGGTCTCTCTCTGGTCTCTCTCTGGTCTCTCTCTGGTCTCTCTCTGGTCTCTCTATGGCCTCTCTCTGGTCTCTCTCTGGTCTCTCTCTGGTCTCTCTCTGGTCTCTCTCTGGTCTCTCTCTGGTCTCTCTCTGGTCTCTCTCTGGTCTCTCTCTGGTCTCTCTCTTTAACACAGGGGTAATGTGTTCTGTGCAGGATAACCGTAACAACAACACGAACAAGACCCCCCCTGGAGACCTGTGTCTGGAGCAGGAGTACCAGCGGCAGGACGCGGAGCACCATCGGCGTCTGGGCTCTCACCATCATCATCATCACCATCATCACCATCATCATCATCATCACCACGCCAAGCCACAGACGGACCCAGCTCCAGCCTCAGACCAAGCCAGAGACCCAGCCTCAGACCCAGCCTCAGACCCAGCCTCAGACCCAGCTCCTCCTGCTGTAGGCCTGGGTCTCAGCGGCTCCTCCCTCCCCCCTGCAGAGGCGTGCGAGGAGCACCACGGCCACCGGGGGCACCATCGACACAGCCACCGGTCAGTGCAAACCATGGATGTCTTATGGTTAAACCTGTTCCCACTTGGTTAGAGTGTAGAGTTAGGCCAGAGACAGACCAGAGAGGGACCAGAGAGGGACCAGAGAGAGAGACCAGAGAGAGACCAGAGAGGGACCAGAGAGAGACCAGAGAGAGACGAGAGAGAGACCAGAGAGAGACCAGAGAGAGACCAGAGAGAGACCAGAGAGGGACCAAAGAGGGACCAGAGAGAGGGACCAGAGAGAGACCAGAGAGGGACCAGAGAGAGACCAGAGAGAGACCAGAGAGGGACCAGAGAGAGACCAGAGAGAGAGACCAGAGAGGGACCAGAGAGAGGGACCAGAGAGAGACCAGAGAGAGACCAGAGAGAGACCAGAGAGAGAGACCAGAGAGGGACCAGAGAGAGGGACCAGAGAGAGACCAGAGAGGGACCAGAGAGGGACCAGAGAGAGAGACCAGAGAGAGACCAGAGAGGGACTAGAGAGAGACCAGAGAGAGGGACCAGAGAGAGACCAGAGAGGGACCAGAGAGGGACCAGAGAGAGAGACCAGAGAGGGACCAGAGAGAGGGACCAGAGAGAGACCAGAGAGGGACCAGAGAGAGAGACCAGAGAGAGACCAGAGAGGGACTAGAGAGAGACCAGAGAGAGACCAGCGAGAGACCAGAGAGAGAGACCAGAGAGGGACCAGAGAGAGGGACCAGAGAGAGACCAGAGAGGGACCAGAGAGGGACCAGAGAGAGAGACCAGAGAGAGACCAGAGAGGGACTAGAGAGAGACCAGAGAGAGACCAGAGAGGGACCAGAGAGGGACCAGAGAGAGACCAGAGAGAGAGACCAGAGAGAGACCAGAGAGAGAGACCAGAGAGAGACCAGAGAGAGACCAGAGAGGGACCAGAGAGGGACCAGAGAGAGACCAGAGAGAGAGACCAGAGAGGGACCAGAGAGAGGGACCAGAGAGAGACCAGAGAGAGACCAGAGAGAGACCAGAGAGGGACCAGAGAGAGAGACCAGAGAGAGACCAGAGAGGGACTAGAGAGAGACCAGAGAGAGACCAGAGAGGGACCAGAGAGGGACCAGAGAGAGACCAGAGAGAGAGACCAGAGAGAGACCAGAGAGAGAGACCAGAGAGAGACCAGAGAGAGATCAGAGAGAGACCAAAGAGAGACCAGAGAGAGACCAGAGAGAGAGACCAGAGAGAGACCAGAGAGAGGGACCAGAGAGAGACCAGAGAGGGACCAGAGAGGGACCAGAGAGAGAGACCAGAGAGGGACCAGAGAGAGGGACCAGAGAGAGACCAGAGAGGGACCAGAGAGAGAGACCAGAGAGAGACCAGAGAGGGACCAGAGAGAGACCAGAGAGAGACCAGAGAGGGACCAGAGAGGGACCAGAGAGAGACCAGAGAGAGAGACCAGAGAGAGACCAGAGAGGGACCAGAGAGAGAGACCAGAGAGAGACCAGAGAGGGACTAGAGAGAGACCAGAGAGAGACCAGAGAGAGATCAGAGAGAGACCAGAGAGAGACCAGAGAGAGACCAGAGAGAGATCAGAGAGAGACTAGAGAGAGACCAGAGAGAGACCAGAGAGAGATCAGAGAGAGACCAGAGAGAGGGACCAGAGAGGGACCAGAGACGGACCAGAGAGGGACCAGAGAGAGGGACCAGAGAGAGACCAGAGAGGGACCAGAGAGAGGGACCAGAGAGAGACCAGAGAGGGACCAGAGAGGGACCAGAGAGAGAGACCAGAGAGGGACCAGAGAGAGACCAGAGAGAGACCAGAGAGAGACCAGAGAGGGACCAGAGAGAGACCAGAGAGAGACCAGAGAGAGACCAGAGAGGGACCAGAGAGGGACCAGAGAGAGAGACCAGAGAGAGACCAGAGAGAGACCAGAGAGAGACCAGAGAGGGACCAGAGAGAGACCAGAGAGAGACCAGAGAGAGACCAGAGAGGGACCAGAGAGGGACCAGAGAGAGAGACCAGAGAGAGACCAGAGAGAGACCAGAGAGGGACCAGAGAGAGACCAGAGAGAGACCAGAGAGAGACCAGAGAGGGACCAGAGAGGGACCAGAGAGAGAGACCAGAGAGGGACCAGAGAGAGATTACTTTCAGAGGAGCTACCTGAGGTGACCTCCTGGTCTCTTCCCTGGGGAGGTGTTCCAGGACACAAAAAGAGTGTGTCTCTCAGCCTCAGGATTCCCCCAGATGAGCTGCAGGGTGTGTGGAGAGGGAAGTCTGCTGTGATGGTGTGAGATGTTTGCTGGAGACAGTACGTGTTTTTTCCAAGCCCCAGCGATCCGGGGGCTTGGAATAGGGGCCAAGATGGCGCCCTATTCAAATGAATGGTTGTGCTCAGTGGCGCTTTGTGACGGCATGGGGGCTGAAAGATTAGCGGAAGTCGCCTGGAACTCTCAAAGATCTATGGGAAACTCTCAAAGGTCTATGGGAAACTCTCAAAGGTCTATGGGAAACTCTCAAAGATCTATGGGAAACTCTCAAAGGTCTATGGGAAACTCTCAAAGATCTATGGGAAACTCTCAAAGATCTATGGGAAACTCTCAAAGATCTATGGGAAACTCTCAAAGATCTATGAGAAACTCTCAAAGATCTCTGGGAAACTCAAAGATCAATGGGAAACTCTCAAAGATCTATGGGAAACTCTCAAAGATCTATGGAAACTCTCAAAGATCTATGGGAAACTCTCAAAGATCTATGGGAAACTCTCAAAGATCTATGGAAACTCTCAAAGATCTATGGGAAACTCTCAAAGATCTATGGGAAACTCTCAAAGATCTATGGGAAACTCTCAAAGATCTATGGGAAACTCTCAAAGATCTATGGGAAACTCTCAAAGATCTATGGGAAACTCTCAAAGATCTATGGGAAACTCTCAAAGATCTATGGGAAACTCTCAAAGATCTATGGGAAACTCTCAAAGATCTATGGGAAACTCTCAAAGATCTATGGGAAACTCTCAAAGATCTATGGGAAACTCTCAAAGATCTATGGGAAACTCTCAGGGCGAAGCGGACCCCTCGGGGCGGAAGCTTATTTTCCGATAATGACCTGCGTATTATACGTTATCCCGCTTATTATACGGCTTTGTACCAACAGAACACACAACATAAACTTCAGTCCACTTTTAGGAATGCTGAAAGGTTTATTTAATTACATAAAATAAAATAGTTCCCAAAGGCTTTCCCGTGGCTATGCTAGCAACAGTTAGGCTAACAACTTCCAAACTAGAACTCTCTGGAACTGCATGAAAACTGAACACAGAATCCTGAACTTCAGCGGTGAGTGACCCAAACATAAACTTAACCTAAATCCATAATTCCATCCTCTGCAAATGTTCCTAAAATGTGCCGTATCTACTTCCGGGTTTTTCGGGATCGCCTTTTCTCGCATTACATCAGTGTTTTTGTCATGAAAACGGAAAATTCTGAAAACTTCCGTACACTTGTATTAAGACTGGATATGTATAAATTACTCTCCCATTAACATTTCATTGCGTTGATTGATTGGCATTTGCGTTTATTGAGCGGCCAGAACTACTTCCGGGTTTTTCACGATCGCTTTTTGACGCAGAGAAATAGTATTTTTGTCATGAAGACAAGACCAGAAAATTCTGAAAACGTATAAATGTATAAGTATAAGTATTCTCCGATTAACATTTAAGTGTGTTGATTGAGCGTGGCTAGCTCCGGAGTGGCCAGAACTACTGTCGGAGTTATCCACGCATTTGAAATACAAGCAGAGAGTGCGTTGCCAAAGGGCAGCGGTCATTATTGTTTTGAGAGGTCCGTTATAGAAAATAATGACCGGTAGAAGGTTTTGAAATGACATTCACATCAATGGTTCTCCTGCTGCTGAGAGGAGCGTATAATAAGTGTTTATTATTCTGTGTCTGTCTGACATTAACATAAGTCACCTAATCCTGAGTGTACTTGATAATAATGTGAATAGAATGTATATTGTTTTTACGATGGATAGAGGTTTCTACATCAATTCATCCTAATCCGTTAAGCATTTTCTTAGTAAGATTTGCTTCTGATTGGGACTTTTTAATTTTACTGGAGGAATCCTTACAGGGGAAAGACAAACGTTCCTCCTGCACATATAAGCTCGCCAGATGCTTCTGTGGCAATAAGATTAAATATTGTCTTAATAATCCTGTGTCTTTACCTGGTGGTCTGTGTATGTTTAACAAAGTTACTTCTTTATTGTCTATGTGACCTTTCAATAATATATAACGTCATCTTTGTCACTTATTTGTGATGTAAACTGAAAATGGACCATATTTGGTATTAGCACCTCCTCTGGAGTGTCCCTCAGTAACTGAGGAGAAGAACATGTTCACGTATCTCACGTATCTCACGTATCTCACGTATCACGTATCTCTCGTATCTCACGTATCTCACGTATCTCACGTATCTCACGTATCTCACGTATCTCACGTATCTCTCGTATCTCACGTATCTCACGTATCTCTCGTATCTCACGTATCTCACGTATCTCACGTATCTCACGTATCTCACGTATCTCACGTATCTCACGTATCTCACGTATCTCACGTATCTCACGTATCTCACGTATCTCACGTATCTCACGTATCTCACGTATCTCACGTATCTCACGTATCTCACGTATCTCACGTATCTCACGTATCTCACGTATCTCACGTATCTCACGTATCTCACGTATCTCACGTATCTCACGTATCTCACGTATCTCACGTATCTCCGTACGTATCTCACGTATCTCTCGTATCTCACGTATCTCACGTATCTCACGTATCTCACGGATCTCACGGATCTCACGTATCTCTCGTATCTCACGGATCTCACGTATCTCACGTATCTCACGTATCTCACGGATCTCACGTATCTCACGTATCTCTCGTATCTCACGTATCTCTCGTATCTCACGTATCTCTCGTATCTCACGTATCTCACGTATCTCACGTATCTCACGTATCACTCGTATCTCACGTATCTCACGTATCTCACGTATCTCACGTATCTCTCGTATCTCACGTATCTCTCGTATCTCACGTATCTCACGTATCTCACGTATCTCTCGTATCTCACGTATCTCACGTATCTCTCGTATCTCACGTATCTCACGTATCTCACGTATCTCTCGTATCTCTCGTATCTCACGTATCTCACGTATCTCACGTATCTCACGTATCTCACGTATCTCACGTATCTCACGTATCTCACGTATCTCACGTATCTCACGTATCTCACGTATCTCACGTATCTCACGGATCTCACGGATCTCACGGATCTCACGTATCTCACGTATCTCTCGTATCTCACGTATCTCTCGTATCTCACGTATCTCTCGTATCTCACGTATCTCACGTATCTCACGTATCACGTATCTCTCGTATCTCACGTATCTCACGTATCTCACGTATCTCACGTATCTCACGTATCTCTCGTATCTCACGTATCTCTCGTATCTCACGTATCTCACGTATCTCTCGTATCTCACGTATCTCACGTATCTCACGTATCTCTCGTATCTCACGTATCTCACGTATCTCTCGTATCTCACGTATCTCACGTATCTCACGTATCTCACGTATCTCTCGTATCTCACGTATCTCACGTATCTCACGTATCTCACGTATCTCACGTATCTCACGTATCTCACGTATCTCACGTATCTCACGTATCTCACGTATCTCACGTATCTCACGTATCTCACGTATCTCACGTATCTCTCGTATCTCACGTATCTCTCGTATCTCACGTATCTCACGTATCTCACGTATCACGTATCTCTCGTATCTCACGTATCTCACGTATCTCACGTATCTCACGTATCTCACGTATCTCTCGTATCTCACGTATCTCTCGTATCTCACGTATCTCACGTATCTCTCGTATCTCACGTATCTCACGTATCTCACGTATCTCTCGTATCTCACGTATCTCACGTATCTCTCGTATCTCACGTATCTCACGTATCTCACGTATCTCACGTATCTCACGTATCTCACGTATCTCACGTATCTCTTCGTCGCAGAGAGATGTGTTTCTTGCCAAAATATAATATAATATTTTCATTTTGGCGATCACTTTGCTTCTTTTAATAGGATTATGTAGACCATTTACATTGAGGGTGACGACTGTATACTTCTGCATAGCTAACATTGTCAAAAAATAAAATATATCTTAGAAGATGCTCTAAAAACCAAAAGTAGGTTTGCAAAAAACAACATAAGAACACATGAACATTAAACATAGGTGACCTCCAAAAGTGAAGCGATAGTCCACCTTCAGTAACGAGAGGGAGGCCCCTAACGAGAGGGAGGCCCCTGTGGAAGCAGAGGCGCCCCTAACGAGAGGGAGGCCCCTAACGAGAGGGAGGCCCCTAGAGAGGGAGGCCCCTGTGGAAGCAGGGGGCCCTCTCAGTGCTGCCACTCTGAGGAAGCGTTTCTTGACAGTCTTTCAGTCGTTAGAAGAACTCACATTACACATCTGTTGTGTTGCTCACATAAAGGTCAATGGGTCTCGTCTAAACACCTTCAGCTTCTCCTGATGATGCTCCTCTGGCTCCTCTTCCTTGTCAGTCGTGTGAACCCGTCTCCTCTTGCTCCTCTTGCTCCTCTTGCTCCTCTTGCTCCTCTTGCTCCTCTTGCTCCTCTTGCTCCTCTTGCTCCTCTTGCTCCTCTTCCTTGTCAGTCGTGTGAACCCGTCTCCTCTGGCTCCTCCTGTGGAGGTGACGTGACCATCTCCTCCACAGCTGCTCCATCAACACCTGACAAAAGCCCTCTTCTTTTCAGGTCCTCCGTGGCGTCCTCCGCGGTGTCGTAAACGGCGCTGTCCCCGTCTCCACCACAGAACACTCGAAGTTTAGCTAAAGGGTATATAGTTTGAAAGCGAAGCCATTTTCCTTCTCACTTGATCGTAAACTTTGCGTTTGAAGATAATATCACTTGGATAATCTTGATCAAAGTTTACACGTCTTCCTTTGAATTGAATATTTTACGCCACGCTGAGCGGAGCACCAACTCTTTCGTCTTAAACTCTTGGAAGTAGATCACTATGGACCTGGTGTTAGCGCCCTGTAGGGGCTTGGGCCAAGTGAGCGGTGACATCACTGAATGGATAAGTTAAGGGAGAGTTCGTCTTAATAAAAGTCTCCATAAACGTTTGAATGTTTGTTCCTTCTGCCTCCTCCACATCTCCATGGACTCCATGTCCGTCAGCCTCGTTTGTATGTCCGCCACTCTCTGCTCGTCTTCCTCAACTCTCTCCTCTTCCTCAACTCTCTGCTCGTCTTCCTCAACTCTCTGCTCTTCTTCCTCAACTCTCTCCTCTTCTTCCTCAACTCTCTGCTCTTCTTCCTCAACTCTCTCCTCTTCCTCAACTCTCTCCTCTTCCTCAACTCTCTCCTCTTCTTCCTCAACTCTCTGCTCTTCTTCCTCAACTCTCTCCTCTTCTTCCTCAACTCTCTGCTCTTCTTCCTCAACTCTCTCCTCTTCTTCCTCAACTCTCTGCTCTTCTTCCTCAACTCTCTCCTCTTCTTCCTCCACTCTCTGCTCGTCTTCCTCAACTCTCTGCTCGTCTTCCTCAATCTCTGCCCCTCCTCCTCCACTCTCTGCTCTTCTTCCTCAACTTTCTCCTCTTCCTCTCTCTCGTCTCCCCCACTCTCTCTCTCTCGTCTCCCCCACTCTCTCTCTCGTCTCCCCCACTCTCTCTCTCTTGTCTCCCCCACTCTCTCTCTTGTCTCCCCCACTCTCTCTCTCGTCTCCCCCACTCTCTCTCATCTCCCCCACTCTCTCTCTCGTCTCCCCCACTCTCTCTCTCGTCTCCCCCACTCTCTCTCTCGTCTCCCCCACTCTCACTCTTGTCTCCCCCACTCTCTCTCTCTTGTCTCCCTCACTCTCTCTCTTGTCTCCCCCACTCTCTCGTCTCCCCCACTCTCTCTCTCGTCTCCCCCACTCTCTCTCTTGTCTCCCCCACTCTCTCTCTCGTCTTCCCTGCTCTCTCTCGTCTCCCCCACTCTCTCTCTCGTCTCCCCCACTCTCTCTCTCGTCTCCCCTGCTCTCTCTCGTCTCCCCCACTCTCTCTCTCATCTATCCCACTCTCTCTCTCTCGTCTCCCCCACTCTCTCTCTCGTCTCCCCCACTCGCTCTCTCATCTCCCCCACTCTCTCTCTCTTGTCTCCCCCACTCTCTCTCTCGTCTCCCCCACTCTCTCTCTCTTGTCTCCCCCACTCTCTCTCTTGTCTCCCCCACTCTCTCTCTCGTCTCCCCCACTCTCTCTCTCATCTCCCCCACTCTCTCTCTCTCGTCTCCCCCACTCTCTCTCTCTTGTCTCCCCCACTCTCTCTCTCGTCTCCCCCACTCTCTCTCTCATCTCCCCCACTCTCTCTCTCGTCTCCCCCACTCTCTCTCTCATCTCCCCCACTCTCTCTCTCTCGTCTCCCCCACTCTCTCTCTCATCTCCCCCACTCTCTCTCTCTCGTCTCCCCCACTCTCTCTCTCTTGTCTCCCCCACTCTCTCTCTTGTCTCCCCCACTCTCTCTCTCGTCTCCCCCACTCTCTCTCTCATCTCCCCCACTCTCTCTCTCGTCTCCCCCACTCTCTCTCTCATCTCCCCCACTCTCTCTCTCTCGTCTCCCCCACTCTCTCTCTCATCTCCCCCACTCTCTCTCTCTTGTCTCCCCCACTCTCTCTCTCGTCTTCCCTGCTCTCTCTCTCGTCTCCCCCACTCTCTCTCTCATCTCCCCCACTCTCTCTCTCTTGTCTCCCCCACTCTCTCTCTCGTCTTCCCTGCTCTCTCTCTCATCTCCCCCCGCTCTCTCTCTCGTCTCCCCCACTCTCTCTCTCGTCTCCCCTGCTCTCTCTCGTCTCCCCCACTCTCTCTCTCGTCTCCCCCACTCTCTCTCTCGTCTCCCCCACCCTCTCTCTCGTCTCCCCCACTCTCTCTCGTCTCCCCCACTCTCTCTCGTCTCCCCCACTCTCTCTCTCATCTCCCCCACTCTCTCTCTCGTCTCCCCCACTCTCTCTCTCATCTCCCCCACTCTCTCTCTCTCGTCTCCCCCACTCTCTCTCTCATCTCCCCCACTCTCTCTCTCTTGTCTCCCCCACTCTCTCTCTCGTCTTCCCTGCTCTCTCTCTCGTCTCCCCCGCTCTCTCTCTCATCTCCCCCCGCTCTCTCGCTCGTCTTCCCTGCTCTCTCTCTCGTCTCCCCCACTCTCTCTCTCGTCTTCCCTGCTCTCTCTCTCGTCTTCCCTGCTCTCTCTCTCGTCTCCCCCACCCTCTCTCTCGTCTCCCCCACCCTCTCTCTCATCTCCCCCCGCTCTCTCTCTCGTCTCCCCCACTCTCTCTCTCGTCTTCCCTGCTCTCTCTCTCGTCTTCCCTGCTCTCTCTCTCGTCTCCCCCACTCTCTCTCTCGTCTTCCCTGCTCTCTCTCTCGTCTTCCCTGCTCTCTCTCTCGTCTCCCCCACCCTCTCTCTCGTCTCCCCCACCCTCTCTCTCATCTCCCCCCGCGCTCTCTCTCGTCTCCCCCACTCTCTCTCTCGTCTTCCCTGCTCTCTCTCTCGTCTTTCCTGCTCTCTCTCTCGTCTCCCCCACTCTCTCTCTCGTCTCCCCTGCTCTCTCTCGTCTCCCCCACTCTCTCTCTCGTCTCCCCCACTCTCTCTCTCGTCTCCCCCACTCTCTCTCGTCTCCCCCACTCTCTCTCTCATCTCCCCCACTCTCTCTCTCGTCTCCCCCACTCTCTCTCTCATCTCCCCCACTCTCTCTCTCTCGTCTCCCCCACTCTCTCTCTCATCTCCCCCACTCTCTCTCTCTTGTCTCCCCCACTCTCTCTCTCGTCTTCCCTGCTCTCTCTCTCGTCTCCCCCGCTCTCTCTCTCATCTCCCCCCGCTCTCTCTCTCGTCTCCCCCACTCTCTCTCTCGTCTCCCCCACTCTCTCTCTCGTCTTCCCTGCTCTCTCTCTCGTCTTTCCTGCTCTCTCTCTCGTCTCCCCCACTCTCTCTCTCGTCTCCCCTGCTCTCTCTCGTCTCCCCCACTCTCTCTCTCGTCTCCCCCACTCTCTCTCTCGTCTTCCCTGCTCTCTCTCTCATCTCCCCCCGCTCTCTCTCTCGTCTCCCCCACTCTCTCTCTCGTCTCCCCTGCTCTCTCTCGTCTCTCCCCCACTCTCTCTCTCGTCTCCCCCACCCTCTCTCTCGTCTCCCCCACTCTCTCTCGTCTCCCCCACTCTCTCTCGTCTCCCCCACTCTCTCTCTCATCTCCCCCACTCTCTCTCTCGTCTCCCCCACTCTCTCTCTCATCTCCCCCACTCTCTCTCTCTCGTCTCCCCCACTCTCTCTCTCATCTCCCCCACTCTCTCTCTCTTGTCTCCCCCACTCTCTCTCTCGTCTTCCCTGCTCTCTCTCTCGTCTCCCCCGCTCTCTCTCTCATCTCCCCCCGCTCTCTCTCTCGTCTTCCCTGCTCTCTCTCTCGTCTCCCCCACTCTCTCTCTCGTCTTCCCTGCTCTCTCTCTCGTCTTCCCTGCTCTCTCTCTCGTCTCCCCCACCCTCTCTCTCGTCTCCCCCACCCTCTCTCTCATCTCCCCCCGCTCTCTCTCTCGTCTCCCCCACTCTCTCTCTCGTCTTCCCTGCTCTCTCTCTCGTCTTCCCTGCTCTCTCTCTCGTCTCCCCCACTCTCTCTCTCGTCTTCCCTGCTCTCTCTCGTCTTCCCTGCTCTCTCTCTCGTCTCCCCCACCCTCTCTCTCGTCTCCCCCACCCTCTCTCTCATCTCCCCCCGCTCTCTCTCTCGTCTCCCCCACTCTCTCTCTCGTCTTCCCTGCTCTCTCTCTCGTCTTCTCCTGCTCTCTCTCTCGTCTCCCCCACTCTCTCTCTCGTCTCCTCCCCTGCTCTCTCTCGTCACCCGAGAGAGACCAGAGAGAGACCAGAGAGAGACCCGAGAGAGACCAGAGAGAGACTCCAGAGAGAGAGACCAGAGAGAGACCACAGAGAGCGAGACCAGAGAGAGAGACCAGAGAGAGACCACAGAGAGCGAGACCAGAGAGAGACCAGAGAGAGACCACAGAGAGCGAGACCAGAGAGAGAGACCAGAGAGAGACCACAGAGAGACCACAGAGAGACCAGAGAGAGACCAGAGAGAGACCAGAGAGAGAGACCAGAGAGGGACCAGAGAGAGAGACCAGAGAGGGACCAGAGAGAGACCAGAGAGAGAGACCAGAGAGAGACCAGAGAGAGACCAGAGAGAGACCAGAGAGAGACCAGAGAGAGACCAGAGAGAGACCACAGAGAGCGAGACCAGAGAGAGAGACCAGAGAGAGAGACCAGAGAGAGAGACCAGAGAGAGACCAGAGAGAGACCACAGAGAGACCAGAGAGAGACCAGAGACAGACCACAGAGAGACCAGAGAGAGAGACCAGAGAGAGACCAGAGAGAGACCAGAGAGACCAGAGAGAGACCAGAGAGAGACCAGAGAGAGAGACCAGAGAGAGACCAGAGAGAGACCAGAGAGAGAGACCAGAGAGAGACCAGAGAGAGACCAGAGAGTGAGACCAGAGAGAGACCAGAGAGAGAGAGACCAGAGAGAGAGACCAGAGAGAGACCAGAGAGAGACCAGAGAGAGACCAGAGAGAGAGACCCGAGAGAGACCAGAGAGAGACCAGAGAGAGACCAGAGAGAGACCAGAGAGAGACCCGAGAGAGACCAGAGAGAGACCCGAGAGAGACCCGAGAGAGACCAGAGAGAGAGACCAGAGAGAGACCACAGAGAGCGAGACCAGAGAGAGAGACCAGAGAGAGACCACAGAGAGCGAGACCAGAGAGAGAGACCAGAGAGAGACCACAGAGAGACCACAGAGAGACCAGAGAGAGAGACCAGAGAGGGACCAGAGAGAGACCAGAGAGAGAGACCAGAGAGAGACCAGAGAGAGAGACCAGAGAGGGACCAGAGAGAGAGACCAGAGAGGGACCAGAGAGAGACCAGAGAGAGAGACCAGAGAGAGACCAGAGAGAGACCAGAGAGAGACCAGAGAGAGACCAGAGAGAGACCAGAGAGAGACCAGAGAGAGAGACCAGAGAGAGAGACCAGAGAGAGAGAGACCAGAGAGAGACCACAGAGAGACCAGAGAGAGACCAGAGAGAGACCAGAGAGAGAGACCAGAGAGAGAGACCAGAGAGAGAGACCAGAGAGAGACCAGAGAGAGACCAGAGAGAGACCAGAGAGAGACCAGAGAGAGAGACCAGAGAGAGACCAGAGAGAGACCAGAGAGAGACCAGAGAGAGACCAGAGAGAGAGACCAGAGAGTGAGACCAGAGAGAGACCAGAGAGTGAGACCAGAGAGAGACCAGAGAGAGACCAGAGAGAGACCAGAGAGAGACCAGAGAGAGACCAGAGAGAGACCAGAGAGAGACCAGAGAGAGAGACCAGAGAGAGACCAGAGAGAGACCTGAGAGAGACCAGAGAGAGACCAGAGAGAGACCAGAGAGAGACCAGAGAGAGAGACCAGAGAGAGACCAGAGAGAGAGACCAGAGAGAGACCAGAGAGAGACCAGAGAGTACTCGCTCTGGCTCCACTCTCTACTTTAAAGCCTAGGGTTAAGTCCATAGGAAAGAACGTGCATGTGAGTTAAATGTATTAAAACACAAACCAAAATGACTCTATGTATTTATCACAAACAGTTACCATTGTGCCACCTGGACCTGGACCTGGATCTGGACCTGGATCTGGACCTGGATCTGGACCTGGATCTGGACCTGGATCTGGACCTGGATCTGGACCTGGATCTGGACCTGGATCTGGACCTGGATCTGGACCTGGACCAGCTCAGATACTGGAAACATCACAACAGCCTATTAGCATCTAATGTTTCAAATAATTACACTTTTATACAGTTATTTATCCACTGTGCTCATGATAAATGGGTTGTAAATGATTTATCTGCTGGGATAATACATACATCACATTTGTAAAGGAAATAGTGGTTAGCCTGAAGCTAACTGTTAGCCGTTAGCTGTTTACTAGCCAAACACAGCTATTTAGCCTGGAGCTAACTGTTAGCCGTTAGCTGTTCGCTAGCCAAACACAGCTATTTAGCCTGGAGCTAACTGTTAGCCGTTAGCTCTTCGCTAGCCAAACACAGCGCACATAACGGTAGCATCTTTTCTGATTCCAACGCGTTTTTAATTCGTCTTTATTTTCACACAAACTTACTTTATCTGCGCGACGAGCTGCAAAAAGGAAATCACCAAAATACGTCACTTCCGCGGCCCCGAACGCAATACTTCAGATTACAAATAAAGGTTTATATGTTGCGTCCCTAAAGCATAATTACGTAAATGAAATACATTTTATTATTATTATTATTTTTATTATTATGATTTGTTATTATTTACTTCACGGCTGCACATCAGCGTAGACCACGTCCAAATGAGCTCGTCTTTCAGCTCTACTCTTTTCTCTTCCACTCTACTCTAGAGTTATCCACTCTACTCTACTCTGCTATACTCTACTCTACTCTACTCTACTCTGCTATACTCTACTCTACTCTAGACTTCTCTACAGTATTCTACTTACTGTGCTTTACTCTACAAAGGAACATAAAGGAGACTTGAAAGAAGGGACCATTTCTGAGTTTGGAAGCAGCCGGATGAGGCAGGACACCGGACGTGACGTCGGTAGAGTTCCGGAAGCCGTTCGTGGTGTAGCTTGTGTCCCCCTCACCCGTGTCCCCCTCTGTGGACCCTCTGATCCGTGGACAGGTAGCTGTGACCTGTGGACACGTGGCCCTGACCTCTGACCTCTGACCCTGCGGACGTGTAGCATGCAGTCGGTGAAGTATAACCGCTTCATCTGCTCGGTGCAGGGCTGCACCGCCGCCTACAACAAACAGTGGAAACTGGACGCACATCTGTGTAAACACACGGGGGTCAGGCCCCACACGTGCGACCACCCGGACTGCGGTACGTGACCTCTGACCCCAGTGCACCCTACTCTGCTCTACTGTTCTCTGCTCTACTCTACTGTTCTCTGCTGTACTCTACTGTTCTCTACTGTTCTCTACTGTTCTCTGCTGTACTCTGCTCTACTGTTCTCTGCTGTACTCTACTCTACTGTTCTCTGCTCTACTCTACTGTTCTCTGCTCTACTCTACTGTTCTCTGCTCTACTCTACTGTTCTCTGCTCTACTCTACTGTTCTCTGCTGTACTCTGCTCTACTGTTCTCTGCTGTACTCTACTCTACTGTTCTCTGCTGTACTCTACTGTTCTCTGCTGTTCTCTACTGTTCTCTGCTGTACTCTGCTCTACTGTTCTCTGCTGTACTCTACTCTACTGTTCTCTGCTGTACTCTACTCTACTGTTCTCTGCTCTACTCTACTCTACTCTACTGTTCTCTGCTGTACTCTACTCTACTGTTCTCTGCTCTACTCTACTCTACTCTACTGTTCTCTGCTGTACTCTGCTCTACTGTTCTCTGCTGTACTCTACTCTACTGTTCTCTGCTCTACTCTACTCTACTCTACTGTTCTCTGCTGTACTCTGCTCTACTGTTCTCTGCTGTACTCTACTCTACTGTTCTCTGCTCTACTCTACTGTTCTCTGCTGTACTCTACTCTACTGTTCTCTGCTGTACTCTGCTCTACTGTTCTCTGCTGTACTCTACTCTACTGTTCTCTGCTCTACTCTACTCTACTCTACTGTTCTCTGCTGTACTCTGCTCTACTGTTCTCTGCTGTACTCTACTCTACTGTTCTCTGCTCTACTCTACTGTTCTCTGCTGTACTCTACTCTACTGTTCTCTGCTGTACTCTACTCTACTGTTCTCTGCTGTACTCTACTGTTCTCTGCTGTACTCTGCTGTACTCTGCTCTACTGTTCTCTGCTGTACTCTACTGTTCTCTGCTGTACTCTACTCTACTGTTCTCTGCTGTACTCTACTGTACTCTACTGTACTCTACTCTACTGTACTCTACTGTTCTCTTCTGTACTCTACTCTACTGTACTCTACTGTTCTCTGCTGTACTCTACTCTACTGTACTCTACTGTACTCTACTCTACTCTACTCTGCTGTACTCTACTCTACTGTTCTCTGCTGTACTCTACTCTACTGTACTCTACTCTACTGTTCTCTGCTGTTCTCTACTGTTCTCTGCTGTTCTCTGCTGTACTCTGCTGTACTCTACTGTACTCTGCTGTACTCTACTGTTCTCTACTGTACTCTACTCTACTGTACTCTGCTCTACTCTACTGTACTCTACTGTACTCTACTGTACTCTACTCTGCTCTATTGTACTCTACTGTACTCTACTCTGCTCTACTGTACTCTACTGTACTCTACTCTACTGTTCTCTGCTGTACTCTACTGTACTCTACTCTACTTTTCTCTGCTGTACTCTACTGTACTCTACTCTACTCTACTGTTCTCTGCTGTACTCTACTCTACTCTACTGTTCTCTGCTGTACTCTACTCTACTCTACTGTACTCTACTCTACTCTACTGTTCTCTGCTGTACCCTACTCTACTGTTCTCTGCTGTACTCTACTCTGCTCTACTGTACTCTACTCTACTCTACTGTTCTCTGCTGTACCCTACTCTACTGTTCTCTGCTGTACTCTACTCTACTCTACTCTGCTGTACTCTACTCTACTGTTCTCTGCTGTACTCTACTCTGCTCTACTGTTCTCTGCTGTACTCTACTCTACTCTACTGTTCTCTGCTGTACTCTGCTGTACTCTACTCTACTGTTCTCTGCTGTACTCTGCTGTACTCTACTCTACTGTACTCTACTGTACTCTACTGTACTCTACTCTACTGTACTCTACTGTTCTCTTCTGTACTCTACTCTACTGTACTCTACTGTTCTCTGCTGTACTCTACTCTACTCTACTGTACTCTACTCTACTCTACTGTTCTCTGCTGTACCCTACTCTACTGTTCTCTGCTGTACTCTACTCTACTCTACTCTGCTGTACTCTACTCTACTGTTCTCTGCTGTACTCTACTCTGCTCTACTGTTCTCTGCTGTACTCTACTCTACTCTACTGTTCTCTGCTGTACTCTGCTGTACTCTACTCTACTGTTCTCTGCTGTACTCTGCTGTACTCTACTCTACTGTACTCTACTGTACTCTACTGTACTCTACTCTACTGTACTCTACTGTTCTCTTCTGTACTCTACTCTACTGTACTCTACTGTTCTCTGCTGTACTCTACTCTACTGTACTCTACTGTACTCTACTCTACTCTACTGTTCTCTGCTCTACTCTACTCTACTCTACTGTTCTCTGCTGTACTCTGCTGTACTCTACTGTTCTCTACTCTACTGTTCTCTGCTGTACTCTGCTCTACTGTTCTCTGCTGTACTCTACTGTTCTCTGCTGTACTCTGCTGTACTCTACTCTACTGTTCTCTGCTGTACTCTGCTGTACTCTACTCTACTGTACTCTACTGTACTCTACTGTACTCTACTCTACTGTACTCTACTGTTCTCTTCTGTACTCTACTCTACTGTACTCTACTGTTCTCTGCTGTACTCTACTCTACTGTACTCTACTGTACTCTACTCTACTCTACTCTGCTGTACTCTACTCTACTGTACTCTGCTGTACTCTACTCTACTGTTCTCTGCTGTACTCTACTCTGCTGTACTCTGCTGTACTGTTCTCTGCTGTACTCTACTGTTCTCTGCTGTTCTCTGCTGTACTCTGCTGTACTCTACTGTACTCTGCTGTACTCTACTGTTCTCTACTGTACTCTACTCTACTGTACTCTGCTCTACTCTACTGTACTCTACTGTACTCTACTGTTCTCTGCTGTACTCTACTCTACTGTACTCTACTCTGCTCTACTGTACTCTACTGTACTCTACTCTGCTCTACTGTACTCTACTGTACTCTACTCTACTGTTCTCTGCTGTACTCTACTGTACTCTACTCTACTTTTCTCTGCTGTACTCTACTGTACTCTACTCTACTCTACTGTTCTCTGCTGTACTCTACTCTACTCTACTCTACTGTACTCTACTCTACTCTACTGTTCTCTGCTGTACCCTACTCTACTGTTCTCTGCTGTACTCTACTCTACTCTACTCTGCTGTACTCTACTCTACTGTTCTCTGCTGTACTCTACTCTACTGTTCTCTGCTGTACTCTACTCTACTCTACTCTGCTGTACTCTACTCTACTGTTCTCTGCTGTACTCTACTCTGCTCTACTGTTCTCTGCTGTACTCTACTCTACTCTACTGTTCTCTGCTGTACTCTACTGTTCTCTGCTGTACTCTACTGTTCTCTGCTGTACTCTACTGTTCTCTGCTGTTCTCTACTCTACTGTTCTCTGCTGTACTCTACTCTACTCTACTGTTCTCTGCTGTACTCTACTCTACTCTACTGTTCTCTGCTGTACTCTACTCTACTCTACTGTTCTCTGCTCTACTCTACTGTTCTCTGCTGTACTCTACTGTTCTCTGCTGTACTCTACTGTTCTCTGCTGTACTATACTGTACTCTACTGTTCTCTGCTGTACTCTACTGTACTCTACTGTACTCTACTCTACTGTTCTCTGCTCTACTCTACTGTTCTCTGCTGTACTATACTGTACTCTACTGTACTCTACTGTACTCTACTCTACTGTACTCTGCTCTACTCTACTGTTCTCTGCTGTACTCTACTCTGCTGTACTCTACTGTACTCTGCTGTACTCTACTCTACTCTACTGTACTCTACTGTACTCTACTCTACTCTGCTGTACTCTGCTGTACTCTGCTGTACTCTACTGTTCTCTGCTGTACTCTGCTGTACTCTGCTGTACTCTACTGTTCTCTGCTGTACTCTACTCTACTCTACTGTACTCTACTGTACTCTACTCTACTCTGCTGTACTCTGCTGTACTCTACTCTACTCTACTGTTCTCTGCTGTACTCTGCTCTACTCTACTGTACTCTACTCTACTGTTCTCTGCTGTTCTCTGCTCTACTCTACTGTACTCTACTGTACTCTGCTGTACTCTACTGTACTCTACTCTACTCTGCTGTACTCTACTGTACTCTACTGTACTCTACTCTACTGTACTCTACTCTACTGTTCTCTGCTGTACTCTACTCTACTGTACTCTGCTGTACTCTACTGTACTCTACTCTACTCTACTCTACTCTACTGTACTCTACTGTACTCTACTGTACTCTACTCTACTTGAGTAAACAGTGAACATGTGTCCCAGTATTTTCATTTACATTGTTCCAGTGTAGAACTATTATTTTTATCATTTATTATTATGATATGTTATTATTATGTTACTATCCTGAAGTAAGTCCTTCGTCAGCCCGTACCATCTGTCCCGTGTATATAATAATGATAATAATAATGATAATAATAACTGTGTGTAGGTAAGTCCTTCGTCAGCCCGTACCATCTGTCCCGTGTATATAATAATAATAATAATAATAATAATGATAATAATAACTGTGTGTAGGTAAGTCCTTCGTCAGCCCGTACCATCTGTCCCGTGTATATAATAAATATAATAATAATTATAATAATAACTGTGTGTAGGTAAGTCCTTCGTCAGCCCGTACCATCTGTCCCGTGTATATAATAAAGATAATAATAATAATGATGATAATAATAATGATAATAATAACTGTGTGTAGGTAAGTCCTTCATCAGTCCGTACCATCTGTCCCGTGTATATAATAATGATAATAATAATGATAATAATAATGATAATAATAATGATAATAATAATGATAATAATAATGATAATAATAATGATAATAATAACTGTGTGTAGGTAAGTCCTTCGTCAGTCCGTACCATCTGTCCTGTGTATATAATAATGATAATAATAATAATAATAATAATGATAATAATAACTGTGTGTAGGTAAGTCCTTCGTCAGCCCGTACCATCTGTCCCGTGTATATAATAATTATAATAATAATGATAATAATAACTGTGTGTAGGTAAGTCCTTCGTCAGCCCGTACCATCTGTCCCGTGTATATAATAATAATAATAATAATAATAATAATAACTGTGTGTAGGTAAGTCCTTCGTCAGCCCGTACCATCTGTCCCGTTGTATATAATAATGCTAATAATAATAATAATAATAACTGTGTGTAGGTAAGTCCTTCGTCAGCCCGTACCATCTGTCCCATGTATATTATAATAATAATTATAATAATAATGATAATAATAACTGTGTAGGTAAGTCCTTCGTCAGCCCGTACCATCTGTCCCGTGTATATAATAATGATAATAATAATAATAATAATAATAATGATAATAATAACTGTGTAGGTAAGTCCTTCGTCAGCCCGTACCATCTGTCCCGTGTATATAATAATGATAATAATAATGATAATAATAATGATAATAATAACTGTGTAGGTAAGTCCTTCGTCAGCCCGTACCATCTGTCCCGTGTATATAATAATGATAATAATAACTGTGTGTAGGTAAGTCCTTCGTCAGCCCGTACCATCTGTCCCGTGTATATAATAATGATAATAATAATGATAATAATAATGATAATAATAATGATAATAATAACTGTGTGTAGGTAAGTCCTTCGTCAGCCCGTACCATCTGTCCCGTGTATATAATAATTATAATAATAATAATAATAATAATAACTGTGTGTAGGTAAGTCCTTCGTCAGCCCGTACCATCTGTCCCGTGTATATAATAATAATAATAATAATAATAATAATAATGATAATAATAACTGTGTGTAGGTAAGTCCTTCGTCAGCCCGTACCATCTGTCCCGTGTATATAATAATAATAATAATAATGATGATAATAACTGTGTGTAGGTAAGTCCTTCGTCAGCCCGTACCATCTGTCCCGTGTATATAATAATGATAATAATAATGATGATAATAATTATAATAATAACTGTGTGTAGGTAAGTCCTTCGTCAGCCCGTACCATCTGTCCCGTGTATATAATAATGATAATAATAATGATAATAATAACTGTGTAGGTAAGTCCTTCGTCAGCCCGTACCATCTGTCCCGTGTATATAATAATAATAATAATAATAATAATAATAACTGTGTGTAGGTAAGTCCTTCGTCAGCCCGTACCATCTGTCCCCTGTATATAATAATATAAAATAATAATAATAATATAATAATAATAACTGTGTGTAGGTAAGTCCTTCGTCAGCCCGTACCATCTGTCCCGCCACGCCCTGATCCACAGCGGTGATAAGCCGTTCCCGTGCACGGAGGAGGGCTGTGGCGAGGCCTTCACCACCAACTCTAACCGTGCTCGCCACATCGAGCGCATGCACCGCGACACCAGCAAGGCCTCTCTGTACGTGTGCGACATCACCCACTGCGGCCGCGCATTCAGGAAGCACCAGCAGCTGCGGTCCCACATGTGTGAGGAGCACGCCACGGTACCAGCTTATCAGTGCCCCTATGAAGGTGAGGTCTCTCTCTGGTCTCTCTCTGGTCTCTCTCCCTGGTCTCTCTCTGGTCTCTCTCTCTGGTCTCTCTCTGGTCTCTCTCACTGGTCTCTCTCTGCTCTCTCTCTCTGGTCTCTCTCTGGTCTCTCTCTGGTCTCTCTCTGGTCTCTCACTGGTCTCTCTCTGGTCTCTCTCTCTGGTCTCTCTCTGGTCTCTCTCTGGTCTCTCTCTGGTCTCTCTCTGGTCTCTCTCTGGTCTCTCTCCGTCTCTCTCTCTGTCTCTCTCTGGTCTCTCTGGTCTCTCCGGTCTCTCTCTGGTCTCTCTCTCTGGTCTCTCACTGGTCTCTCACTGGTCTCTCACTGGTCTCTCACTGGTCTCTCACTGGTCTCTCTCTGGTCTCTCTCTCTGGTCTCTCTCTGGTCTCTCTCTGGTCTCCCCCTGCTCTCCTCCTGGTCTCCCTCTCTCCCTGCTCTCCCTGCTCTCCTCCTGGTCTCCCCGCTCTCCTCCTGCTCTCCCCCGCTCTCCCTCTGCTCTCCTCCTGGTCTCCCTCTGCTCTCCTCCTGGTCTCCCTCCGCTCACCTCCTGCGCTCCTCCTGGTCTCCCTTCGGTCTCCTCCTGGTCTCTCCCTCCGCTCTCCTCCTGGTCTCTCCCTCCGCTCTCCTCCTGGTCTCCCTCCGCTCTCCTCCTGATCTCCTCCTGGTCTCTTCCTCCGCTCTCCTCCTGGTCTCCCTCCGCTCACCTCCTGCGCTCCTCCTGGTCTCCCTTCGGTCTCCTCCTGGTCTCTCCCTCCGCTCTCCTCCTGGTCTCTCCCTCCGCTCTCCTCCTGGTCTCCTCTCTCCTCCTGGTCTCCCTCTCCTCTCTCCTCCTGGTCTCCTCCTGGTCTCCTTCCGCTCTCCCTCCTCTCTCCTCCTGGTCTCCTTCCGCTCTCCCTCCGCTCTCCTCACGGTCTCTCCCTCCGCTCTCCTCCTGGTCTCTCCCTCCGCTCTCCTCCTGGTCTCCCTCTCCTCTCTCCTCCTGATCTCCGCCTGGTCTCTCCCTCCGCTCTCCTCCTGGCCTCCCTCCGCTCTCCCTCCGCTCTCCTCCTGGTCTCCCTCCGCTCTCCCTCCGCTCTCCTCCTGGTCTCCCTCCGCTCTCCCTCCGTTCTCCTCCTGGTCTCCCTCCGCTCCCCCTCCTCTCTCCTCCTGGTCTCCTCCTGGTCTCTCCCTCCGCTCTCCTCCTGGTCTCCCTCCGCTCTCCCTCCGTTCTCCTCCTGGTCTCCCTCCGCTCTCCTCCTGCTCTCCCTCCGCTCTCCTCCTGGTCTCCCTCTCCTCTCTCCTCCTGGTCTCCCTCTCCTCTCTCCTCCTGGTCTCCTCCTGGTCTCCCTCCGCTCTCCTCCTGGTCTCCCTCTCCTCTCTCCTCCTGGTCTCCTTCCGCTCTCCCTCCGTTCTCCTCCTGGTCTCCCTCCGCTCTCCCTCCGTTCTCCTCCTGGTCTCCCTCCGCTCTCCTCCTGCTCTCCCTCCGCTCTCCTCCTGGTCTCCCTCTCCTCTCTCCTCCTGGTCTCCCTCTCCTCTCTCCTCCTGGTCTCCTCCTGGTCTCCCTCCGCTCTCCTCCTGGTCTCCCTCTCCTCTCTCCTCCTGGTCTCCCTCTCCTCTCTCCTCCTGGTCTCCCTCTCCTCTCCCTCCGCTCTCCTCCTGGTCTCCCTCCGCTCTCCTCCTGATCTCCTCCTGGTCTCTTCCTCCGCTCTCCTCCTGGTCTCCCTCCGCTCACCTCCTGCGCTCCTCCTGGTCTCCCTTCGGTCTCCTCCTGGTCTCTCCCTCCGCTCTCCTCCTGGTCTCTCCCTCCGCTCTCCTCCTGGTCTCCTCTCTCCTCCTGGTCTCCCTCTCCTCTCTCCTCCTGGTCTCCTTCCGCTCTCCCTCCTCTCTCCTCCTGGTCTCCTTCCGCTCTCCCTCCGCTCTCCTCACGGTCTCTCCCTCCGCTCTCCTCCTGGTCTCTCCCTCCGCTCTCCTCCTGGTCTCCCTCTCCTCTCTCCTCCTGATCTCCGCCTGGTCTCTCCCTCCGCTCTCCTCCTGGCCTCCCTCCGCTCTCCTCCTGGTCTCCCTCCGCTCTCCCTCCGCTCTCCTCCTGGTCTCCCTCCGCTCTCCCTCCGTTCTCCTCCTGGTCTCCCTCCGCTCCCCCTCCTCTCTCCTCCTGGTCTCCTCCTGGTCTCTCCCTCCGCTCTCCTCCTGGTCTCCCTCCGCTCTCCCTCCGTTCTCCTCCTGGTCTCCCTCCGCTCTCCTCCTGCTCTCCCTCCGCTCTCCTCCTGGTCTCCCTCTCCTCTCTCCTCCTGGTCTCCCTCTCCTCTCTCCTCCTGGTCTCCTCCTGGTCTCCCTCCGCTCTCCTCCTGGTCTCCCTCTCCGCTCTCCTCCTGGTCTCCCTCTCCTCTCTCCTCCTGGTCTCCTTCCGCTCTCCCTCCGTTCTCCTCCTGGTCTCCCTCCGCTCTCCCTCCGTTCTCCTCCTGGTCTCCCTCCGCTCTCCTCCTGCTCTCCCTCCGCTCTCCTCCTGGTCTCCCTCTCCTCTCTCCTCCTGGTCTCCCTCTCCTCTCTCCTCCTGGTCTCCTCCTGGTCTCCCTCCGCTCTCCTCCTGGTCTCCCTCTCCTCTCTCCTCCTGGTCTCCCTCTCCTCTCTCCTCCTGGTCTCCCTCTCCTCTCCCTCCGTTCTCCTCCTGGTCTCCCCTCCGCTCCCCCTCCTCTCTCCTCCTGGTCTCCTCCTACTCTCCCTCCGCTCTCCTCCTGGTCTCCCTCCGCTCTCCTCCTGGTCTCTCCCTCCGCTCTCCTCCTGGTCTCCCTCCGCTCTCCTCCTGCTCTCCCTCCGCTCTCCCTCCGCTCTCCTCCCGGTCTCCTCACGGTCTCCTCACGGTCTCCTCTGTGTCCAGGCTGCTCCATGCGCTTCACCTTTCCCAGTAAGCTGAAGCGTCATCAGAAGGTTCACCTTGGTTACCGTTGCCCGGCGACCGGCTGTGAGTTTGTGGGTCAGACGTGGACGGAGCTGACTGCCCATCGCCGTGACAACCATCGAACACGCTTCAGCTGCGACCAGTGCGACAAGACCTTCAAGGACCAGTACACCATGAGGCTGCACCAGCGCATCCACAGCGACACGCGCCTGGTCCTCCGCTGCCCCCGCGCCTCCTGCACCAGGACCTTCACCACCGCCTTCAACCTGCAGAGCCACATCCGCTCCTACCATGAAGAGCTCAGACCATATGTGTGTGAGCACCCAGGCTGTGGGCGGAGCTTCGCCATGAAGCAGAGTCTGACTGTGAGTGAGACCAGGGGGGAGGGCAGGGGGAGACCAGAGAGGGAGGCCGGAGGGAGGCCAGAGAGGGAGGCCGGAGAGAGACCAGCGAGAGACCAGAGAGGGAGGCCGGAGAGAGAGCGACCAGAGAGGGAGGCCGGAGAGGGAGGCCGGAGAGAGACCAGCGAGAGACCAGAGAGGGAGGCCGGAGAGGCCGGAGAGGGAGGCCGGAGAGGGAGGCCGGAGAGGGGAGGCCGGAGAGGGAGGCCGGAGAGAGGCCAGAGAGAGGCCAGAGAGGGAGGCCGGAGAGAGGCCGGAGAGGGAGGCGGAGAGGGAGGCCGGAGAGGGAGGCCGGAGAGGGAGGCCAGAGAGAGAGGCCGGAGAGAGGCCAGAGAGGGAGGCCAGAGAGAGGCCGGAGAGAGAGGCCGGAGAGGGAGGCCGGAGAGGGAGGCCGGAGAGGGAGGCCAGAGAGAGGCCAGAGAGGGAGGCCGGAGAGAGACCGGAGAGAGAGGCCGGAGAGGGAGGCCAGAGAGAGGCCGGAGAGGGAGGCCGGAGAGAGGCCAGAGAGAGGCCAGAGAGAGGCCAGAGAGGGAGGCCGGAGAGAGGCCGGAGAGGGAGGTCGGAGAGGGAGGCCGGAGAGAGAGGCCGGAGAGAGGCCAGAGAGGGAGGCCGGAGAGGGAGGCCGGAGAGGGAGGCCGGAGAGGGAGGCCGGAGAGGGAGACCAGAGAGGGACCAGAGAGGGACCAGAGAGGGAGACCAGAGAGAGGACCAGAGAGAGGACCAGAGAGAGACCAGAGAGAGACCAGAGAGAGAGACCAGAGAGAGACCAGAGAGAGAGACCAGAGAGAGAGACCAGAGAGAGAGAGACCAGAGAGGGACCAGAGAGGAGACCAGAGAGGGACCAGAGAGGGACCAGAGAGAGACCAGAGAGAGACCAGAGAGAGAGACCAGAGAGGGACCAGAGAGGGACCAGAGAGAGACCAGAGAGAGACCAGAGAGAGACCAGAGAGAGAGACCAGAGAGAGACCAGAGAGAGACCAGAGAGAGACCAGAGAGAGACCAGAGAGAGACCAGAGAGAGACAGAGAGAGAGAGACCAGAGAGAGAGACCAGAGAGAGACCAGAGAGAGAGACCAGAGAGAGACCAGAGAGAGACCAGAGAGAGACCAGAGAGGCTGAAACTAAAATGCGTCTAACGGGTCCTGTTTGTTCCAGCGTCACGGCGTTGTCCACGACCCCGAGAGGAAGACGGTGAGACCGGCCAGGGTCGCCGCCAACAAGCGCTCGCTGGTCTCACGCCTCAGCGGGTACCGGGACCCCAAGACCCCCGTGAGCCCTGAGACCCCTGAGACCTCTGAGACCCCTGGGTGCCCTGGGACCACTGGAGCCTCGCTGACCTCTGGGGTCCAGCTGTACCTGAGTCTGAACCCAGGGACAGACCCGGTCCAGAGGTACCTGCAGAGTCTCAGCAAGTCCGAGACCACGGCCACCCCGGGGGAGGGGCCTCAGCACCAGGGGGAGGAGCCTCAGCACCAGGGGGAGGAGCCAGGTTCTTCCAGTGACGTCGCCGATGATAGGAGTTTCAAAAGTGAAAGTCTTGATGGAGAAGATAGTGATTCGGACGACCCACATGGTATGGACTCAGATCAGAGTCTCACTGGGACTGGGTCTCAGGCCTCTGTCTGTTCTCCAGGCACAGATTGTGTCTTTGATCCAAACAAAGTGAAGCAGGAGCCCAGTCCAGACCCGGTCCAGCCTCAGTCCCAGAGTCCAGGTCCGGGCTGGAGTCCTGAGTCTCTGAAGCCACAATATTTACATGACGCTTTTAACGACCCCAAAGAGGAGCTGTGTGACAGTCCCAGTCCTGGTTCCAGTCCTGGTTCCAGTCCTGGTTCCAGTCCTGGTTCCAGTCCTGGTTCCAGTCCTGGTTCCAGTCCTGGTCCAGGTCCGGTCCAGTCCCCACAGGAGTTGATGTCTATCCTCGAGGACTCGACTTTACAGAAGGAGAACCACGAACATGTCCTCAGCACAACCATCAAGGCCTAGACCAGAGAGAGACCAGAGAGAGAGAGAGACCAGAGAGAGAGAGAGACCAGAGAGAGAGAGAGACCAGAGAGAGAGAGAAACCAGAGAGAGAGAGAGACCGAGACCAGAGAGAGAGAGAGACCAGAGAGAGAGAGAGAGACCAGAGAGAGAGACCGAGACCAGAGAGAGAGACCGAGACCAGAGAGAGAGAGAGACACCAGAGAGAGAGAGAGACCAGAGAGAGAGAGAGACCAGAGAGAGAGAGAGACCAGAGAGAGAGAGAGACCAGAGAGAGAGAGAGACCAGAGAAAGAGAGAGACCAGAGAGAGTCCTGCGGACTCAAAACACTTTTATATTCAGTCACATCCGAGGCCCTGCAGGCTCCGCTCAGACCTCAGTTAGCGATCAGCAGATATGTTTTCCTTCAGCATCAGTGTATCACAGATGAGCGAAGTTGTAATTGTAAAAAAATAATAAAGTGTGAAAATGAGAATTGTGTGTGGATTTTTACCATGTGTCGGAGAGAGACCAGAGAGAGACCAGAGAGAGACCAGAGAGAGAGACCAGAAAGAGAGACCAGAAAGAGAGACCAGAGAGAGAGACCAGAGAGAGACCAGAGAGAGACCAGAGAGAGACCAGAGAGAGACCAGAGGGAGACCAGAGAGAGACCAGAGAGAGACCAGAGAGAGACCAGAGAGAGACCAGAGAGAGACCAGAGAGAGACCAGAGAGAGAGACCAGAGAGAGAGACCAGAGAGAGACCAGAGAGAGACCAGAGAGAGACCAGAGAGAGACCAGAGAGAGACCAGCAATGCAATAATGAAACCTCACAAAAAGATCAGACAAATCCTCTTACCTGGGCGCGGTCAGTGTGAGGGGCGTGGTCAGTGTGAGGGGCGTGGTCAGTGTGAGGGGCGTGGTCAGTGTGAGGGGCGTGGTCAGTGTGAGTGGCGTGGTCAGTGTGAGTGGCGTGGTCAGTGTGAGTGGCGTGGTCAGTGTGAGGGGCGTGGTCAGTGTGAGGGGCGTGGTCAGTGAGAAGGTTACAACCAAGCCCCTGTGATACAAGAAGGCCCATATTCAAATGAATGGTTTGAGGGGCTGCCTCCTGGAGTCAGACTAATGCCCCATCTCTGTGTGGAGTCAGACTAATGCCCCATCTCTGTGTGGAGTCAGACTAATGCCCCATCTCTGTGTGGAGTCAGACTAATGCCCCATCTCTGTGTGGAGTCAGACTAATGCCCCATCTCTGCAGACTAATGCCCATCTCTGTGTGGGAGTCAGACTAATGCCCCATCTCTGTGTGAGTCGACTAATGCCCATCTCTGTGTGAGTCAGACTAATGCCCCATCTCTGTGTGGAGTCAGACTAATGCCCCATCTCTGTGTGGAGTCAGACTAATGCCCCATCTCTGTGTGGGTCAGACATGCCATCCCGATCTCTGTGTGGAGTCAGAGTAATGCCCCATCTCTGTGTGGAGTCAGACTAATGCCCCATCTCTTGTGGGTCAGACTAATGCCCCATCTCTGTGGCGCAATGCCCATGTGTGGAGTCAGACTAATGCCCCATCTCTGTGTGGAGTCAGACTAATGCCCCATCTCTGTGTGGAGTCAGACTAATGCCCCATCTCTGTGTGGGAGTCAGACTAATGCCCCATCTCTGTGTGTGGAGTCAGACTAATGCCCCATCTCTGTGTGGAGTCAGAGACTAATGCCCCATCTCTGTGTGGAGTCAGACTAATGCCCCATCTCTGTGTGGAGTCAGACTAATGCCCCATCTCTGTGTGGAGTCAGACTAATGCCCCATCTCTGTGTGGAGTCAGACTAATGCCCCATCTCTGTGTGGAGTCAGACTAATGCCCCATCTCTGTGTGGAGTCAGACTAATGCCCCATCTCTGTGTGGAGTCAGAGACTAATGCCCCATCTCTGTGTGGAGTCAGACTAATGCCCCATCTCTGTGTGGAGTCAGAGACTAATGCCCCATCTCTGTGTGGAGTCAGACTAATGCCCCATCTCTGTGTGGAGTCAGACTAATGCCCCATCTCTGTGTGGAGTCAGACTAATGCCCCATCTCTGTGTGGAGTCAGACTAATGCCCCATCTCTGTGTGGAGTCAGACTAATGCCCCATCTCTGTGTGGAGTCAGACTAATGCCCCATCTCTGTGTGGAGTCAGACTAATGCCCCATCTCTGTGTGGAGTCAGACTAATGCCCCATCTCTGTGTGGAGTCAGAGACTAATGCCCCATCCGCTGTGACTCTGGTCTGTGAGAGGCGCTATGTAAATAAACATGACTTAATACTACTTTGTGCTCAGTGGCGCCCCCCACGGGGACCGAGAGATTAGAGGAACTCGACCATATTTGGGCATCGTCTGGTCCTTCCGGTTCTGCGCAGTGGTTGAACTCCCATCATGCTTTGTGCCAAATACTTGTGTGTAGCTCTCATGCACGTGCACAGAGGAGCTCGGCCGCGCTCTGACCAATCAGAGGGCAGCGTTCTGACCAATCAGAGGGCAGCGTTCTGACCAATCAGAGGGCAGCGTTCTGACCAATCAGAGGGCAGCGTTCTGACCAATCAGAGTTTGTGGCAGTAAAGTGTGGAAGAAAAAAGTCAGGTTCTCTGTCAGGTTCTCTGTCAGGTTCTCTGTCAGGTTCTCTGTCAGGTTCTCTGTCAGGTTCTCTGTCAGGTTCTCTGTCAGGATCTCTGTCAGGTTCTCTGTCAGGTTCTCTGTCAGGTTCTCTGTCAGGTTCTCTGTCAGGTTCTCTGTCAGGTTCTCTGTCAGGTTCTCTGTAGGTTCTCTGTCAGGTTCTCTGTCAGGTTCTCTGTCAGGTTCTCTGTCAGGTTCTCTGTCAGGTTCTCTGTCAGGTTCTCTGTCAGGTTCTCTGTCAGGTTCTCTGTAGGTTTTCTGTCAGGTTCTCTGTCAGGTTCTCTGTCAGGTTCTCTGTAGGTTTTCTGTCAGGTTCTCTGTCAGGTTCTCTGTCAGGTTTTCTGTCAGGTTCTCTGTAGGTTCTCTGTAGGTTCTCTGTCAGGTTCTCTGTCAGGTTCTCTGTCAGGTTCTCTGTCAGGTTCTCTGCAGGTTCTCTGTAGGTTTTCTGTCAGGTTCTCTGTCAGGTTCTCTGTAGGTTCTCTGTCAGGTTCTCTGTCAGGTTCTCTGTCAGGTTCTCTGTAGGTTCTCTGTAGGTTCTCTGTCAGGTTCTCTGTCCGGTTCTCCGTAGGTTCTCTGTCAGGTTCTCTGTAGGTTCTCTGTGAGGTTCTCTGTCAGGTTCTCTGTCAGGTTCTCTGTCAGGTTCTATGTCAGGTTCTCTGTCAGGTTCTCTGTCAGGTTCTCTGTCAGGTTCTCTGTCAGGTTCTCTGTCAGGTTCTCTGTCAGGTTCTCTGTCAGATTCTCTGTCAGGTTCTATGTCAGGTTCTCTGTCAGGTTCTCTGTCAGGTTCTCAGTCAGGTTATCTGTAGGTTCTCTGTCAGGTTCTCTGTCAGGTTCTCTGTAGGCTCTCTGTCAGGTTCTCTGTCAGGTTCTCTGTCAGGTTCTCTGGTTCTCTGTAGGTTCTCTGTCAGGTTCTCTGTCAGGTTCTCTGTAGGTGCTCTGTCAGGTTTTCTGTCAGTTCTCTGTCAGGTTCTCTGTAGGTGCTCTGTCAGGTTCTCTGTCAGGTTCTCTGTCAGGTTCTCTGTAGGTGCTCTGTCAGGTTCTCTGTCAGGTTCTCTGTCAGGTTCTCTGTAGGTGCTCTGTCAGGTTCTCTGTCAGGTTCTCTGTCAGGTTCTCTGTAGGTTCTCTGTCAGGTTCTCTGTCAGGTTCTCAGTCAGGTTCTCTGTAGGTTCTCTGTAGGTTCTCAGTCAGGTTCTCTGTCAGGTTCTCTGTCAGGTTCTCTGTCAGGTTCTATGTCAGGTTCTCTGTCAGGTTCTCTGTCAGGTTCTCTGTCAGGTTCTCTGTCAGGTTCTCTGTAGGTTCTCTGTAGGTTCTCTGTAGGTTCTCTGTCAGGTTCTCTGTAGGTTCTCTGTCAGGTTCTCTGTAGGTTCTCAGTCAGGTTCTCTGTCAGGTTCTCTGTCAGGTTCTCCGTCAGGTTCTCCGTCAGGTTCTCAGTCAGGTTCTCTGTAGGTTCTCTGTAGGTTCTCAGTCAGGTTCTCTGTAGGTTCTCTGTCAGGTTCTCTGTCAGGTTCTCAGTCAGGTTCTCAGTCAGGTTCTCAGTCAGGTTCTCAGTCAGGTTCTCTGTCAGGTTCTCCGTCAGGTTCTCAGTCAGGTTCTCTGTAGGTTCTCTGTAGGTTCTCAGTCAGGTTCTCTGTAGGTTCTCTGTCAGGTTCTCAGTCAGGTTCTCTGTAGGTTCTCTGTAGGTTCTCAGTCAGGTTCTCTGTAGGTTCTCAGTCAGGTTCTCTGTCAGGTTCTCCGTCAGGTTCTCAGTCAGGTTCTCTGTAGGTTCTCTGTCAGGTTCTCAGTCAGGTTCTCTGTCAGGTTCTCTGTCAGGTTCTCAGTCAGGTTCTCTGTCAGGTTCTCTGTCAGGTTCTCTGTCAGGTTCTCAGTCAGGTTCTCTGTCAGGTTCTCTGTCAGGTTCTCAGTCAGGTTCTCAGTCAGGTTCTCAGTCAGGTTCTCTGTCAGGTGATGTTTTAGTTAGCGTCGAGTTCTATGGACATTTTTCTGGGTAATGTGAGTATAGTCTGCCGTGCCACAGCGCCCCCTGTGGCCGTGGGTGGGACAGCTCTAAGCTAACGCTGTATCATGTTATTATGGCTCCAACAGACTGAGTGGAGGGTGTTTGGTCGGAGGCTTTGATGGTCCAGTGTGTTCTGTCATCACCATGTGGAGTGAATGGAACAATATCTGAACCCAGACTAGACCAGGACCTAGACCAAGACCTAGACTAGACCCAGACTAGACCAAATTCCTTGGTAACCATGTCTTACACAGGACCATGAAGGACTAAAGAAGGACCTGGTACTGGTCTCACAGGACCATGAAGGACCTAGTACTGGTTAGGACCATGAAGAACTAAAGAAGGACCTGGTGCTGGTTACACCAGACCATAAAGGACTAAAGAAGGACCTGGTACTAGTCTCACAGGACCAGGTGGGCCTCTGGTTCCGTCGGCTCAGACTTCATACTCCACATAGTTGAGATATTCTACATTTTCTACAGCGCAGAGAAAATCCCCAAATTTATGGTTTTACCCTTTTCACCGTCAGGAATGTCTGCTCCCACTGCTCCAGGTCTGTGGCACCATCAACACACCATCAACCAGCAACACACTATCAACCTGCAACAAATCATCAACACACCATCAACCACCAACACACCATAAACCAGCAACACACCAGAAACACACCAACAAGACACCATCAACACACCAGTGACACACCAGTGACACACCATCAACACACCAGCAAGACACCATCAACCATCAACACACCAGCAAGACACCATCAACCATCTACACACCAGCAAAACACCATCATCACACACACCATCAACCAGCGACACACCATCAACACACCAGCAAGACACCATCAATCATATACACACCAGCAAGACACCATAAACCATCTACACACATCAACACACTATAAACCATCTACACACCATCAACCATCAACACACCAGCGACGTACCATCAACACACCAGCAACCATCCACACACCAGCGACATACCATCAACACACCAGCAAGACACTAGCGACACACCAGCCATAAACCATCAACCATCTACACACCATCAACACACACCGGCAACACACCATTAACACACCATCGTCTTAGACATGGGCAGCTGTCTGTCCTGACCAGAGAGAGACCAGAGAGACCAGAGAGGGACCAGAGAGAGACCAGAGAGACCAGAGAGGGACCAGAGAGAGACCAGAGAGAGACCAGAGAGGGACCACAGAGACCAGAAAGAGACCAGAGAGACCAGAAAGAGACCAGAGAGGGACCACAGAGAGACCAGAGAGAGACCAGAGAGAAACCAGAGAGAGACCAGAGAGACCAGAGAGGGACCAGAGAGAGACCAGAGAGACCAGAGAGGGACCACAGAGACCAGAAAGAGACCAGAGAGGGACCACAGAGAGACCAGAGAGAGACCAGAGAGAAACCAGAGAGAGACCAGAGAGAGACCAGAGAGAGACCAGAGAGAGACCAGAGAGACCAGAGAGAGACCAGAGAGAGAGACCAGAGAGGGACCAGAGAGAGACCAGAGAGACCAGAGAGGGACCACAGAGACCAGAAAGAGACCACAGAGGGACCACAGAGAGACCAGAGAGAGACCAGAGAGAAACCAGAGAGAGACCAGAGAGAGACCAGAGAGAGACCAGAGAGAGACCAGAGAGAGACCAGAGGGACCAGAGAGAGACCAGAGAGAGACCAGAGAGAGACCAGAGAGAGACCAGAGGGACCAGAGAGAGCCCAGAGAGAGACCAGAGAGAGACCAGAGGGAGACCAGAGAGAGACCAGAGAGAGAGACCAGAGAGAGACCAGAGAGAGACCAGAGAGAGACCAGAGAGACCAGAGAGAGACCAGAGAGAGACCAGAGAGACCAGAGAGAGACCAGAGAGAGACCAGAGAGACCAGAGAGAGACCAGAGAGAGACCAGAGAGACCAGAGAGAGAGACCAGAGAGAGACCAGAGAGAGACCAGAGAGAGACCAGAGAGAGACCAGAGAGAGACTAGAGAGAGACCAGAGAGACCAGAGAGAGAGACCAGAGAGAGACCAGAGAGAGACCAGAGAGAGACCAGAGAGACCAGAGAGACCAGAGAGAGAGACCAGAGAGAGCAGACAGAGACAGACACATTGATGGTGACTCCCGTCTTAGGAGAAAGTGTGGAAAACATCTGTGTGTGATTGACGACGATGAGGAAGAACCAGGGGACGATGAAGAGGGAGACCAGGGGAGACCAGGGGGAGACCAGGGGGAGACCAGGGGGAGACCAGAGAGACCAGAGGGAGACCAGAGAGAGACCAGAGGGAGACCAGAGGGAGACCAGAGAGAGACCAGAGGGAGACCAGAGAGGGAGACCAGAGGGAGACCAGAGGGAGACCAGAGAGAGACCAGAGGGAGTCAGAGAGACCAGAGGGAGACCAGAGAGAGACCAGAGGGAGACCAGAGGGAGACCAGAGGGAGACCAGAGAGAGACCAGAGGGAGACCAGAGGGAGACCAGAGGGAGACCAGAGGGAGACCAGAGAGAGACCAGAGGGAGTCAGAGAGACCAGAGGGAGACCAGAGGGAGTCAGAGAGAGAGACCAGAGGGAGACCAGAGGGAGTCAGAGAGAGAGACCAGAGGGAGACCAGAGGGAGAGACCAGAGGGAGACCAGAGGGAGACCAGAGAGAGACCAGAGGGAGACCAGAGGGAGACCAGAGGGAGACCAGAGGGAGACCAGAGAGAGACCAGAGGGAGTCAGAGAGACCAGAGGGAGACCAGAGAGAGACCAGAGGGAGACCAGAGGGAGACCAGAGAGAGACCAGAGGGAGACCAGAGGGAGACCAGAGGGAGACCAGAGGGAGACCAGAGAGAGACCAGAGGGAGACAGAGAGACCAGAGGGAGACCAGAGTGAGTCAGAGAGAGAGACCAGAGGGAGACCAGAGGGAGTCAGAGAGAGAGACCAGAGGGAGACCAGAGGGAGAGACCAGAGGGAGAGACCAGAGGGAGTCAGAGGGAGACCAGAGGGAGTCAGAGAGAGAGACCAGAGGGAGACCAGAGGGAGTCAGAGAGAGACCAGAGAGAGACCAGAGAGAGACCAGAGAGAGACCAGAGAGAGACCAGAGAGAGACCAGAGAGAGACCAGAGAGAGACCAGAGAGAGACCAGAGAGAGAGACCAGAGAGAGACCAGAGAGAGACCAGAGAGAGACCAGAGAGAGACCAGAGGGAGAGACCAGAGGGAGTCTCTCTCTCATTATGGTCTGTCAGTGACACGTGAGTTTCCCTCAAGTTTAAAAACATGTGATCTGTGAATGAACTGCAGCTCGACCTGAGGAACCAGACTCTACTCTACTCCTACTCTACTCCTACTCTACTCCTACTCTACTCCTACTCCACTCTACTCCTACTCTACTCCTACTCTACTCTACTCCTACTCTACTCCTACTCTACTCCTACTCTACTCCTACTCTACTCCTACTCTACTCCTACTCCACTCTACTCCTACTCTACTCCTACTCTACTCCTACTCTACTCCTACTCTACTCCTACTCCACTCTACTCCTACTCTACTCCTACTCTACTCCTACTCTACTCCTACTCTACTCCTACTCCACTCTACCCTACTCTACTCTACTCTACCCTACTCTACTCTACTCTACTCTACTCTACTCTACTCTACTCTACTCTACTCTACTCTACTCTACTCTACTCTACTCTACTCTACTCTACTCTACTCTACTCTACTACTTATTATGTTTTACTTTTTGGCGTTTTAAAATGATAGTTTTAGTATTTGGGACTCTATTCACAACGAGGTAGAGTAGAGTAGAGTAGGGTAGGGTAGCGTAGAGTAGAGTAGGGTAGGGTAGAGTAGGGTAGCGTAGGGTAGAGTAGGGTAGAGTAGAGTAGGGTAGAGTAGAGTAGAGTAGAGTAGGGTAGGGTAGAGTAGAGTAGAGCAGAGTAGAGTAGAGTAGAGTAGAGTAGAGTAGAGCAGAGTAGGGTAGAGTAGAGTAGAGTAGGGTAGAGTAGAGTAGGGTAGAGTAGAGTAGGGTAGAGTAGAGCAGAGTAGGAAACAAAACCAAAACCAGGTGGAATGTGACATCACCTCCGTAGAAGTACTGGTCCACAGTCTTGAGCCAACCCACGTCATCATGAGTGTGAGGGACCAGGTGGACGTTCAGGAAGCCGGCCTTGGTCACATGACACGACTGCAAACACATGGGGGATGAGGGAGGGGGCTACACTTGTCATGTAAGTGTATCTTGTATTTTTTCTGACAGTTGAAAATAAAGAATAAAAAAAAAAAAAACTAGGGCTGTCAAAATTATCGCGTTAACTCACGTTAATTGCATTTTTCATTAACGCGTAAAAAAAAAATTAACGCATTAACGCACGTCCGAATGACCCGCCCATTTATCCATTATCACTCAGAATGCTGCGTGTGAGATGCATCAGAGCAGGTCCTCTGGGGATTCATGTTTTAAAAGAATACGTGCGTCACCGCGGGGCTGTTGTTTGCTGTGGACTGAAGTCCGCCTCCTCCGTGGCCGCTCTGACTGTGAGCCGCTCACAACAACACGACTGTGAGCCGCTCACAACAACACGGCTGTGAGCCGCTCACAACAACACGGCTGTGAGCCGCTCACAACAACACGGCTGTGAGCCGCTCACAACAACACGGCTGTGAGCCGCTCACAACAACACGGCTGTGAGCCGCTCACAACAACACGGCTGTGAGCCGCTCACAACAACACGGCTGTGAGCCGCTCACAACAACACGGCTGTGAGCGGCTTTGAGTGAGTGGTCGCCGCGGTAACATGGTCATAAGACCAAACACGCCACAGAACTATTGTCTGCATGTTGTGTTCGTGTCTTTGCAACCTGTGCGTAACCTGTGCGTAACCTGTGCGTAACCTGTGCGTAACCTCAGCGCGCAAATACAGTGTCCCTGTCTCCTCCTGAAACTAAACTAAACTGAAACGCTGAATTAAAGCTGGGGTAGGGGTGGGCGATATGGCCTAAAATTCATATCGCGGTATAATTTGGGTCATAGACGGTAGACGGTATATATCGCGGTATAATTTGGTGTGTGAATTTCAATATAGGTCTAGCAGGTTCTTGCATAAAATAGTCAAGATTGTTAATTATTTATATATTAGAATCTAATATATATTTTTTGAGTTAGAAAATCAGTTGTGAGACGAATAAAGAGACAAATAACATACATTATTTATGTATGTTACAGTAAATACCATTCACTGTAAAAGCAATTTTTAAAAAGAAAAACATATGCATTCATTTAAAATATAAAAAACTCACAAATGATGAAAACAAAGTCTGTAGGAGTTAGACATGGTCATTATTTATAGTGTCTGAGAGTTTTGTGCAGGTGCATGACTTCAGTAAAAGCTGTTTGTTTACAAAGCTGGTCTTGCCATTTGTTGACGCTCCCTAAGCGCTTTTCTCTGCGCTGGATGATTCAATGGATTTTATGTTCATTAAAACAGCGCATTGGATTTGAACAATTTATGTAAATGATCATTTTGGCACAAATAATTTTGTTTAACAAAGTAGCTTTCGTGAGATATTGACCGCGGAGGTCCGAATCTGACGCTAACTTTCCCAAACTGCGTGATGCTGCGGACACGGCACACACATGGATCTTGGCTCACGCTGGCGCTTCGAGCCTACGCCCCTTTGACACTGATTGGCCAAAAGGTAGACTCTTAAACTGTGATTACTGTGTGTGTATTTACCTCTGCTGGGGCCGCTGTGACAACAATACATAGACAGAAACACAGTGTTAATGCCGTGCTGTTGTTCGTTGTTTCCAGTGGTGTCCAATAGTGCTAGGCTAATGCTAGGCTAATAGTGCTAGGCTAATGCTGCTGAATGCCGGTTTGTTTTGGTCCTTTCTGCTGGCGTCAGAGCCTGCGCAATTTAATGACATAATGACGTATCGCAATATGCCGGTATAACAAAAATCTCTACCGTGGGCCACATTTATACCGTCTACCGCTTATACCGTTTATACCGCCCAGCCCTAAGCTGGGGTATGTAAATTTCCCCCTTTCATTAACAGCTCATGTTGGTTTTGCCCCAAAGCAAACAGATTTAAGTACATTTGATTCAGATTCAGATTCATTTATTTGCCATTTGCAGTAAAACCACATTGGAAAAACTGTGCAAGACTACCCCGGTGTGCGCCACACACACCAGAGCTCTTGCCACGGCGCCATCTTTACGGCGCCATAAATTTGGTATGAATGACAATGTGTCATTATATTTGATAATCTCATTTAACTTCAATTGGGAGTGGATTTGAAATAGAATGTTAAAAATGCGATTAATCGTGAGTTAACTCACCATTTCTGTGCAATTAATCAACTAAACAATTTTAATCGTTTGACAGCCCTAAAAAAAACACATGGTCCTTAAAGCTCAGGTCTGTAACTTTAGTCTGAATAACCCAAATGTCTAAAGCTGAGGTCTGTAAGTGTTTCCTGGTGTGAGTGTAGTGTTTCCTGGTGTGAGTAGTGTTTCCTGGTGTGAGTGTAGTGTTTCCTGGTGTGAGTGTAGTGTTTCCTGGTGTGAGTGTAGTGTTTCCTGGTGTGAGTAGTGTTTCCTGGTGTGAGTGTAGGGTTTCCTGGTGTGAGTGTAGTGTTTCCTGGTGTGAGTGTAGTGTTTCCTGGTGTGAGTAGTGTTTCCTAGTGTGAGTGTAGTGTTTCCTGGTGTGAGTGTAGTGTTTCCTGGTGTGAGTGTAGTGTTTCCTGGTGTGAGTGTAGTGTTTCCTGGTGTGAGTGTAGTGTTTCCTGGTGTGAGTAGTGTTTCCTGGTGTGAGTGTAGTGTTTCCTGGTGTGAGTGTAGTGTTTCCTGGTGTGAGTAGTGTTTCCTGGTGTGAGTAGTGTTTCCTGGTGTGAGTGTAGTGTTTCCTGGTGTGAGTAGTGTTTCATGGTGTGAGTAGTGTTTCCTGGTGTGAGTAGCGTTTCCTGGTGTGAGTGTAGTGTTTCCTGGTGTGAGTAGCGTTTCCTGGTGTGAGTGTAGTGTTTCCTGGTGTGAGTGTAGTGTTTCCTGGTGTGAGTGTAGTGTTTCCTGGTGTGAGTAGTGTTTCCTGGTGTGAGTGTAGTGTTTCCTGGTGTGAGTGTAGTGTTTCCTGGTGTGAGTAGTGTTTCATGGTGTGAGTAGTGTTTCCTGGTGTGAGTAGTGTTTCCTGGTGTGAGTGTAGTGTTTCCTGGTGTGAGTAGTGTTTCCTGGTGTGAGTAGTGTTTCCTGGTGTGAGTGTAGTGTTTCCTGGTGTGAGTGTAGTGTTTCCTGGTGTGAGTAGTGTTTCCTGGTGTGAGTGTAGTGTTTCCTGGTGTGAGTAGTGTTTTCCTGGTGTGAGTGTAGTGTTTCCTGGTGTGAGTGTAGTGTTTCCTGGTGTGAGTAGTGTTTCCTGGTGTGAGTGTAGTGTTTCCTGGTGTGAGTGTAGTGTTTCCTGGTGTGAGTGTAGTGTTTCCTGGTGTGAGTGTAGTGTTTCCTGGTGTGAGTGTAGTGTTTCCTGGTGTGAGTGTAGTGTTTCCTGGTGTGAGTAGTGTTTCATGGTGTGAGTAGTGTTTCCTGGTGTGAGTAGCGTTTCCTGGTGTGAGTGTAGTGTTTCCTGGTGTGAGTAGTGTTTCCTGGTGTGAGTAGTGTTTCCTGGTGTGAGTGTAGTGTTTCCTGGTGTGAGTAGTGTTTCCTGGTGTGAGTAGTGTTTCCTGGTGTGAGTAGTGTTTCCTGGTGTGAGTAGTGTTTCCTGGTGTGAGTGTAGTGTTTCCTGGTGTGAGTAGTGTTTCCTGGTGTGAGTGTAGTGTTTCCTGGTGTGAGTGTAGTGTTTCCTGGTGTGGAGTGTAGTATTTCCTGGTGTGAGTGTAGTGTTTCCTGGTGTGAGTGTAGTGTTTCCTAGTGTGAGTAGTGTTTCCTGGTGTGAGTGTAGTGTTTCCTGGTGTGAGTGTAGTGTTTCCTGGTGTGAGTGTAGTGTTTCCTGGTGTGAGTAGTGTTTCATGGTGTGAGTAGTGTTTCCTGGTGTGAGTAGTGTTTCCTGGTGTGAGTGTAGTGTTTCCTGGTGTGAGTAGTGTTTCCTGGTGTGAGTGTAGTGTTTCCTGGTGTGAGTGTAGTGTTTCCTGGTGTGAGTAGTGTTTCCTGGTGTGAGTAGTGTTTCCTGGTGTGAGTGTAGTGTTTCCTGGTGTGAGTAGTGTTTCCTGGTGTGAGTAGTGTTTCCTGGTGTGAGTGTAGTGTTTCCTGGTGTGAGTAGTGTTTCATGGTGTGAGTAGTGTTTCCTGGTGTGAGTAGTGTTTCCTGGTGTGAGTGTAGTGTTTCCTGGTGTGAGTGTAGTGTTTCCTGGTGTGAGTGTAGTGTTTCCTGGTGTGAGTAGTTGTTTCCTGGTGTGAGTGTAGTGTTTCCTGGTGTGAGTGTAATGTTTCCTGGTGTGAGTTTAGTGTTTCCTGGTGTGAGTGTAGTGTTTCCTGGTGTGAGTAGTGTTTCATGGTGTGAGTAGTGTTTCCTGGTGTGAGTAGTGTTTCCTGGTGTGAGTGTAGTGTTTCCTGGTGTGAGTAGTGTTTCCTGGTGTGAGTAGTGTTTCCTGGTGTGAGTGTAGTGTTTCCTGGTGTGAGTGTAGTGTTTCCTGGTGTGAGTGTAGTGTTTCCTGGTGTGAGTAGTGTTTCATGGTGTGAGTAGTGTTTCCTGGTGTGAGTAGTGTTTCATGGTGTGAGTAGTGTTTCCTGGTGTGAGTAGTGTTTCCTGGTGTGAGTGTAGTGTTTCCTGGTGTGAGTAGTGTTTCCTGGTGTGAGTAGTGTTTCCTGGTGTGAGTGTAGTGTTTCCTGGTGTGAGTGTAGTGTTTCCTGGTGTGAGTAGTGTTTCCTGGTGTGAGTGTAGTGTTTCCTGGTGTGAGTAGTGTTTCCTGGTGTGAGTGTAGTGTTTCCTGGTGTGAGTGTAGTGTTTCCTGGTGTGAGTAGTGTTTCCTGGTGTGAGTAGTGTTTCCTGGTGTGAGTGTAGTGTTTCCTGGTGTGAGTGTAGTGTTTCCTGGTGTGAGTAGTGTTTCCTGGTGTGAGTGGTGCTTCATGGTGTGAGTGTAGTGTTTCCTGGTGTGTGTGTGTGTCTGTAGTGTTTGATGGTGCGTTTCCTGGTGTGAGTGGCGTTTCCTGGTGTGAGTAGTGCTTAATGGTGTGAGTGGTGTTTCCTGGTGTGAGTGGTGCTTCATGGTGTGAGTAGCGTTTCATGGTGTGAGTGGTGCTTCATGGTGTGAGTGACGTTTCATGGTGTGAGTGGTGCTTCATGGTGTGAGTAGCGCTTCATGGTGTGAGTAGTGCTTCATGGTGTGAGTAGCGTTTCATGGTGTGAGTAGTGTTTCCTGGTGTGAGTAGTGTTTCCTGGTGTGAGTAGTGCTTCATGGTGTGAGTAGCGCTTCATGGTGTGAGTAGCGCTTCATGGTGTGAGTAGAGCTTCATGGTGTGAGTAGCGCTTCATGGTGTGAATAGTGTTTCCTGGTGTGAGTGTAGTGTTTCATGGTGAGTAGCGCTTCATGGTGTGAGTAGTGTTTCATGGTGTGAGTAGCGCTTCATGGTGTGAGTGTAGTGTTTCCTGGTGTGAGTAGCGCTTCATGGTGTGAGTAGCGCTTCATGGTGTTAGTAGTGTTTCCTGGTGTGAGTAGTGTTTCCTGGTGTGAGTAGCGCTTCATGGTGTTAGTAGTGTTTCATGGTGTGAGTAGTGTTTCCTGGTGTGAGTAGCGCTTCATAGTGTGAGTAGTATTTCATGGTGTGAGTAGCGCTTCATGGTGTGAGTGTAGTGTTTCCTGGTGTGAGTAGCGCTTCATGGTGTGAGTAGTGTTTCATGGTGTGAGTAGCGCTTCATGGTGTGAGTAGCGCTTCATGGTGTGAGTAGCGTTTCGTGGTGTGAGTAGCGCTTCATGGTGTGAGTAGCGCTTCATGGTGTGAGTAGTGTTTCCTGGTGTGAGTAGTGCTTCATGGTGTGAGTAGCGCTTCATGGTGTGAGTAGCGCTTCATGGTGTGAGTAGCGCTTCATGGTGTGAGTAGTGTTTCCTGGTGTGAGTAAAGATTAGAATCTTAGAGCTCAGATCTGAACCACAGCCTCAGGAAGTACTTTACTATTTTGTTAAATATGTTAAATATATTTATTAACAGAAACACACACACACCACACACACACACCAGAAACACCAGAAACACCAGCAACACCAGAAAACTTTTATTGTTGTGGAACTTTCAGAAAGGATTTTGATAAGAGATACTTAAATACAATATGATTTTGGGTAGTATTTTGTGAACAAATTTAGTTATAGCCCACCCTACCCCCACCCTACAGACACTCACCTGGTACCCGCATGTGTCTGCCTTCTCCCCCGGCCTCAGAGGGACCGCGTCGAGTCGGGAAACCAGCAGAGACAGAAGACAGATGAGCGGGAGGAGTAGAGAGGAGACCCGGGGAGAGCGCTGCAGATGTGTGCCTCTGTCCGTGGCCATGTTGAAGCTCTGCACTTGTCACGTGACACGTGTTTACATACTGCTGCTCACGTGACAGAGAGGGCGGGGCGACTATCACTTCTTAAAGCTGCGGTACGTAACTTTCATCCGCTCAGGACCCGCTGCATATCCGCTTACCTGTTCTGTCCCGCGGATCTAATAATGTATATATTGAATTCTGCTGCATGTCATGTGAATATATACATGTAAACTATTGGTATTGCCATTTTTAATTAGAAAGCATTGGATGAAATAAGATTTTGTATATATTGTAACTACACAAAAACCATAATGGACACAATACATTACTCCTGTTATATAAAGTCAAATATTATTTATTATTTAATGGCAATTACAATACTTACTATATATTGCATAGTTCCTTTCATATATTCTAAACCATATGTAAGTACACAAATAAAGTATTTTTTAATAATCTATGATGCAAACTAGACATTTTAATCTTTTTAAAATCAAATATGCATTACAAAAATTGTGGACGCAATTTTATAAAAATATAATCCAATAGATTCTGTCAGATCCAAAAGCAGCTGCAGCTCTAACAACATGGCCCTCCCTTCACTCATGCTACACAATGCAAATGAGTTCACTATAGCACAGGTTATGTATCAGTGTATTCACTTTATCAAAGACTGGGCTTTAATGGGACTGAAGTGTCCGTAAAAGTCTGTCAGGTCATTGGGTTTGGGACCAATGCTTTAGTCATTAACAATTCAAAACAAATACATATCTTGAATACATTTTTTGGGGAATAGCCTCTAGAAAGTCCAAAAGGCAGCAGTAGGTGTAGATTATGGCTCTCCTTCTGCAGCAGTAGGTGTAGATTATGGCTCTCCTTCTGCAGCTGTAGATGTAGATTATGGCTCTCCTTCTGCAGCTTTAGGTGTAGATTATGGCTCTCCTTCTGCAGCTGTAGGTGTAGATTATGGCTCTCCTTCTGCAGCTGTAGGTGTAGATTATGGCTCTCCTTCTGCAGCTGTAGGTGTAGATTATGGCTCTCCTTCTGCAGCTGTAGGTGTAGATTATGGCTCTCCTTCTGCAGCTGTAGATGTAGATTATGGCTCTCCTTCTGCAGCAGTAGGTGTAGATTATGGCTCTCCTTCTGCAGCTGTAGATGTAGATTATGGCTCTCCTTCTGCAGCAGTAGATGTAGATTATGGCTCTCCTTCTGCAGCTGTAGGTGTAGATTATGGCTCTCCTTCTGCAGCTGTAGATGTAGATTATGGCTCTCCTTCTGCAGCTGTATGTGTAGATTATGGCTCTCCTTCTGCAGCTGTAGGTGTAGATTATGGCTCTCCTTCTGCAGCAGTAGGTGTAGATTATGGCTCTCCTTCTGCAGCAGTAGATGTAGATTATGGCTCTCCTTCTGCAGCTGTAGGTGTAGATTATGGCTCTCCTTCTGCAGCTGTAGGTGTAGATTATGGCTCTCCTTCTGCAGCAGTAGATGTAGATTATGGCTCTCCTTCTGCAGCTGTAGGTGTAGATTATGGCTCTCCTTCTGCAGCTGTAGGTGTAGATTATGGCTCTCCTTCTGCAGCTGTAGATTATGGCTCTCCTTCTGCAGCTGTAGATGTAGATTATGGCTCTCCTTCTGCAGCAGTAGGTGTAGATTATGGCTCTCCTTCTGCAGCAGTAGATGTAGATTATGGCTCTCCTTCTGCAGCTGTAGATGTAGATTATGGCTCTCCTTCTGCAGCTGTAGATGTAGATTATGGCTCTCCTTCTGCAGCTGTAGTTGTAGATTATGGCTCTCCTTCTGCAGCAGTAGGTGTAGATTATGGCTCTCCTTCTGCAGCTGTAGATGTAGATTATGGCTCTCCTTCTGCAGCTGTAGGTGTAGAAGATGGCTCTCCTTCTGCAGCAGTAGGTGTAGATTATGGCTCTCCTTCTGCAGCTGTAGATGTAGATTATGGCTCTCCTTCTGCAGCTGTAGGTGTAGATTATGGCTCTCCTTCTGCAGCAGTAGGTGTAGATTATGGCTCTCCTTCTGCAGCAGTAGATGTAGATTATGGCTCTCCTTCTGCAGCTGTAGGTGTAGATTATGGCTCTCCTTCTGCAGCTGTAGGTGTAGATTATGGCTCTCCTTCTGCAGCAGTAGATGTAGATTATGGCTCTCCTTCTGCAGCTGTAGGTGTAGATTATGGCTCTCCTTCTGCAGCTGTAGATGTAGATTATGGCTCTCCTTCTGCAGCAGTAGATGTAGATTATGGCTCTCCTTCTGCAGCTGTAGGTGTAGATTATGGATCTCCTTCTGCAGCTGTAGATGTAGATTATGGCTTTCCTTCTGCAGCAGCAGTGTAGATTATGGCTCTCCTTCTGCAGCTGTAGATGTAGATTATGGCTCTCCTTCTGCAGCAGTAGATGTAGATTATGGCTCTCCTTCTGCAGCTGTAGGTGTAGATTATGGCTCTCTTTCTGCAGCAGTAGGTGTAGATTATGGCTCTCCTTCTGCAGCTGTATATGTAGATTATGGCTCTCCTTCTGCAGCTGTAGATGTAGATTATGGCTCTCCTTCTGCAGCAGTAGGTGTAGATTATGGCTCTCCTTCTGCAGCTGTAGGTGTAGATTATGGCTCTCCTTCTGCAGCAGTAGGTGTAGATTATGGCTCTCCTTCTGCAGCAGTAGGTGTAGATTATGGCTCTCCTTCTGCAGCTGTAGTTGTAGATTATGGCTCTCCTTCTGCAGCTGTAGGTGTAGATTATGGCTCTCCTTCTGCAGCAGTAGGTGTAGATTATGGCTCTCCTTCTGCAGCAGCAGTGTAGATTATGGCTCTCCTTCTGCAGCTGTAGGTGTAGATTATGGCTCTCCTTCTGCAGCAGTAGGTGTAGATTATGGCTCTCCTTCTGCAGCAGCAGTGTAGATTATGGCTCTCCTTCTGCAGCTGTAGATGTAGATTATGGCTCTCCTTCTGCAGCAGTAGGTGTAGATTATGGCTCTCCTTCTGCAGCTGTAGATGTAGATTATGGCTCTCCTTCTGCAGCTGTAGGTGTAGATTATGGCTCTCCTTCTGCAGCAGTAGGTGTAGATTATGGCTCTCCTTCTGCAGCTGTAGATGTAGATTATGGCTCTCCTTCTGCAGCTGTAGGTGTAGATTATGGCTCTCCTTCTGCAGCTGTAGGTGTAGATTATGGCTCTCCTTCTGCAGCTGTAGGTGTAGATTATGGCTCTCCTTCTGCAGCTGTAGGTGTAGATTATGGCTCTCCTTCTGCAGCTGTAGGTGTAGATTATGGCTCTCCTTCTGCAGCTGTAGGTGTAGATTATGGCTCTCCTTCTGCAGCAGTAGATGTAGATTATGGCTCTCCTTCTGCAGCAGTAGGTGTAGATTATGGCTCTCCTTCTGCAGCTGTAGGTGTAGATTATGGCTCTCCTTCTGCAGCAGTAGATGTAGATTATGGCTCTCCTTCTGCAGCTGTAGGTGTAGATTATGGCTCTCCTTCTGCAGCTGTAGGTGTAGATTATGGCTCTCCTTCTGCAGCTGTAGGTGTAGATTATGGCTCTCCTTCTGCAGCTGTAGGTGTAGATTATGGCTCTCCTTCTGCAGCTGTAGGTGTAGATTATGGCTCTCCTTCTGCAGCAGTAGGTGTAGATTATGGCTCTCCTTCTGCAGCTGTAGGTGTAGATTATGGCTCTCCTTCTGCAGCAGTAGGTGTAGATTATGGCTCTCCTTCTGCAGCAGTAGGTGTAGATTATGGCTCTCCTTCTGCAGCAGTAGATTATGGCTCTCCTTCTGCAGCAGTAGGTGTAGATTATGGCTCTCCTTCTGCAGCAGTAGGTGTAGATTATGGCTCTCCTTCTGCAGCAGTAGATTATGGCTCTCCTTCTGCAGCAGTAGGTGTAGATTATGGCTCTCCTTCTGCAGCTGTAGGTGTAGATTATGGCTCTCCTTCTGCAGCTGTAGGTGTAGATTATGGCTCTCCTTCTGCAGCTGTAGGTGTAGATTATGGCTCTCCTTCTGCAGCTGTATATGTAGATTATGGCTCTCCTTCTGCAGCTGTAGATGTAGGTTATGGCTCTCCTTCTGCAGCTGTAGATGTAGATTATGGCTCTCCTTCTGCAGCTGTAGGTGTAGATTATGGCTCTCCTTCTGCAGCAGTAGGTGTAGATTATGGCTCTCCTTCTGCAGCTGTAGGTGTAGATTATGGCTCTCCTTCTGCAGCTGTAGGTGTAGATTATGGCTCTCCTTCTGCAGCTGTAGGTGTAGATTATGGCTCTCCTTCTGCAGCAGTAGGTGTAGATTATGGCTCTCCTTCTGCAGCAGTAGGTGTAGATTATGGCTCTCCTTCTGCAGCTGTAGGTGTAGATTATGGCTCTCCTTCTGCAGCAGTAGGTGTAGATTATGGCTCTCCTTCTGCAGCAGTAGGTGTAGATTATGGCTCTCCTTCTGCAGCAGTAGGTGTAGATTATGGCTCTCCTTCTGCAGCTGTAGGTGTAGATTATGGCTCTCCTTCTGCAGCAGTAGGTGTAGATTATGGCTCTCCTTCTGCAGCAGTAGGTGTAGATTATGGCTCTCCTTCTGCAGCTGTAGGTGTAGATTATGGCTCTCCTTCTGCAGCAGTAGATGTAGATTATGGCTCTCTTTCTGCAGCTGTAGGTGTAGATTATGGCTCTCCTTCTGCAGCTGTAGGTGTAGATTATGGCTCTCCTTCTGCAGCTGTAGATGTAGATTATGGCTCTCCTTCTGCAGCTGTAGGTGTAGATTATGGCTCTCCTTCTGCAGCTGTAGGTGTAGATTATGGCTCTCCTTCTGCAGCTGTAGGTGTAGATTATGGCTCTCCTTCTGCAGCAGTAGGTGTAGATTATGGCTCTCCTTCTGCAGCAGTAGGTGTAGATTATGGCTCTCCTTCTGCAGCTGTAGGTGTAGATTATGGCTCTCCTTCTGCAGCAGTAGGTGTAGATTATGGCTCTCCTTCTGCAGCTGTAGATGTAGATTATGGCTCTCCTTCTGCAGCAGTAGATGGTTCCACGTGGCGCCTGCTCAGATAAATCTTGAACATTTGTCTAGTTTGGTCTGTCATGGTCTAGTTTGGTCTGTCATGGTCTAGTTTGGTCTGTCATGGTCTAGTTTGGTCTGTCATGGTCTAGTTTGGTCTGTCATGGTCTAGTTTGGTCTGTCATGGTCTAGTTTGGTCTGTCATGGTCTAGTTTGGTCTGTCATGTTCCAGTAAAGGTTTTCCCTTTTCACAGCATCAGAGTCTGACATGAGCACACACAGATTAGACCAGTGGACATTTCACTTTAGTATTTTCTTCTTTTTAGACTTACCAAAAGTACAGCACAGCCATTCCAAATGTCCTTGGCTCAGCGTCCCCGTCCTATTTATATCAAAAGATTCATAAAAAACAGGGTAATATTGATGTAGTAATTGTAAACACTAAACCCCAGTATACTGCTGTACTGCGGCCTGGACCTGACTGACCAGACCCAGATACTCAGAGGACACTGCAGTAAAGTGAGAGTATTGAAAACAAACAAGTCTCATAATCATAGGATCAGAGTTATCTAATATACACATTAACACTGAATACTCACCAAGAAGATGAATCATGTTCCATCTTCATTATGTGCAATACTGCCAACGAGAAGAACATCTAAAATACATCAAAGAAACATCAGATTTGTTGTTTTCTTTCAGACTCATGTTGTACAGTAATCACCAATGAACTATGATCTACTTTAACCTTAAAATGAGTTGCTAAGAACCATTAAATAATCATGATCATCTGTATTAAATATAACATATTTCCAGATTTGTCATGACCTTAGCCATTAGGATTTAGTTGAATGTAATTCTATTTGTTTTACTTAACAAAGTTAATACAAAACATATTTATATGTAAATGTACAATATTATGTACATGTGTATTTTGTAGAGGCGACCAAAATGACCACACACTGAATCTCACTCAATATGGTATCAATAATTGTAATATTCAATTTGTCATTTTTTTGCAATATATAGACTTACAGAAACATGTCTATTTATAATAAAAATAAATAATAAAGATGCAAACACAATAAACCATAAACTTATGGAGACGGTGGGTCTGGTCCTTGCCAAATGAAACCACCTAATGCAGTGCTTAAAAACCTCCACGTCCGTGATTGTGCGGCACAGATTATTCCTTTTTACAGCTTCTGGAAGAATAATAACAATACAAAGAGATTATTTAGTATAATACTTTCATACAATAGGCACATTTTACAGGTGACAATGCTGGCCAGTTAATGCTGTTAATGTGCCACCTGATAAATCACTGACACACAAATACACTGCACTAGTAAACATTCACAATGGCAGTCAGTTAATGAGCACACCTTTAGATGATATGAACACCTGTGACATGACTGCCCCCTGCTGGACAGAGCTAATACAAACAACATTGAAGTTACTTACAGTTTATGGGTCTCTAGTTTATGTACGGACGTCCTGTCACCTCTGCTAATACAAAAGAACAGCAAATTGTACATTTTGTGAAACCCTGGTCAGTGAAAAGTGCCAAATATATTCTTTACATGTAGTATCTGCTGTGATCGGACAAACATACACACTTAAAAGTAGCTTCCAGTATCCAGGTGGTAAATTATGGAATACTAATCATCTCTTACACGTAAAAGAAAGTACAACAAGTAAAAACATTCGGATAAATACTAGAAACTAACTACAAAGGTATTCCTCATAGACTGTATTCCTCCAGCATCTGTCAAACTATCTTTACGGTTATACACAAATGTGACTCTGGGATTTAACACAAACTTTACTGATAAACTTTACTGCGCTCTAAAAGCACAAAACATTCACACAGACACTATAACCCCAGTTAACTTTATAACACAACTGGGGATAATATAAATGATCTTTGACGATGTACTCACAGCGGACTTTCGGAGAATGCAGTTAACCCCGAGTGTCAGTTTGTGCGCGGCGCGTCCGCAGCGCGTCCGCAGCGCGTCCGCAGCGCGGATCACACGCGTATCTCTGCGGAGGTTAGAGAGCGTATCTCTGCGGAGGTTAGAGAGCGTATCTCTGTGGAGGTTAGAGAGCGTATCTCTGCGGAGGTTAGAGAGCGTATCTCTGCGGAGGTTAGAGAGCGTATCTCTGCGGAGGTTAGAGAGCGTATCTCTGCGGAGGTTAGAGAGCGTATCTCTGTGGAGGTTAGAGAGCGTATCTCTGCGGAGGTTAGAGAGCGTATCTCTGCGGAGGTTAGAGAGCGTATCTCTGTGGAGGTTAGAGAGCGTATCTCTGCGGAGGTTAGAGAGCGTATCTCTGCGGAGGTTAGAGAGCGTATCTCTGCGGAGGTTAGAGAGCGTATCTCTGTGGAGGTTAGAGAGCGTATCTCTGCGGAGGTTAGAGAGCGTATCTCTGCGGAGGTTAGAGAGCGTATCTCTGCGGAGGTTAGAGAGCGTATCTCTGCGGAGGTTAGAGAGCGTATCTCTGAGGAGGTTAGAGAGCGTATCTCTGCGGAGGTTAGAGAGCGTATCTCTGCGGAGGTTAGAGAGCGTATCTCTGCGGAGGTTAGAGAGCGTATCTCTGCGGAGGTTAGAGAGCGTCACTCTGTGGATCTGGTTTGAATCCGCCGCGGGTCCGCTCTGCGGATCTGATTCTTTGCGGATGTGGCGGACCTAATGCGGATCTGCCCCGGAGTCTGTTGCTATCTGGGCTGGTTTCTCTCTCTCTCTCTGGTCTCTCTCTCTGGTCTCTCTCTCTGGTCTCTCTCTCTGGTCTCTCTCTCTGGTCTCTCTCTGGTCTCTCTCTGGTCTCTCTCTCTGGTCTCTCTCTGGTCTCTCTCGCGGGTCTCTTTTTCTGGTCTAAACTAAAGCAGGACTAGAGCAGGACTAAAGCAGGACTAAAGAAGGTCTAAAGCAGGTCTAAAGCAGGACTAAAGCAGGTCTAAAGCAGGACTAAAGCAGGTCTAAAGCAGGTCTAAAGCAGGACTAAAGCAGGTCTAAAGCAGGACTAAAGCAGGTCTAAAGCAGGACTAAAGCAGGTCTAAAGCAGGACTAAAGCAGGACTAAAGAAGGTCTAAAGCAGGTCTAAAGCAGGACTAAAGCAGGACTAAAGCAGGTCTAAAGCAGGACTAAAGCAGGTCTAAAGCAGGACTTAAGCAGGACTAAAGCAGGACTAAAGAAGGTCTAAAGCAGGACTAAAGTAGGTCTAAAGCAGGTCTAAAGCAGGACTAAAGCAGGACTAAAGCAGGACTAAAGCAGGTCTAAAGCAGGACTAAAGCAGGTCTAAAGCAGGTCTAAAGCAGGACTAAAGCAGGACTAAAGCAGGACTAAAGCAGGTCTAAAGCAGGACTAAAGCAGGTCTAAAGAAGGTCTAAAGCAGGACTAAAGCAGGACTAAAGAAGGTCTAAAGCAGGACTAAAGCAGGACTAAAGCAGGACTAAAGCAGGTCTAAAGAAGGTCTAAAGCAGGACTAAAGCAGGACTAAAGCAGGACTAAAGAAGGTCTAAAGCAGGTCTAAAGCAGGTCTAAAGCAGGTCTAAAGCAGGACTAAAGCAGGTCTAAAGCAGGTCTAAAGCAGGACTAAAGCAGGACTAAAGAAGGTCTAAAGCAGGTCTAAAGCAGGACTAAAGCAGGACTAAAGCAGGACTAAAGCAGGACTAAAGCAGGACTAAAGCAGGTCTAAAGCAGGACTAAAGCAGATAAATAAAAAGACAACATCATTTACAATGTTATTTCCAAACTTTATTTCCAACATTTTGTTAAAATCGTATAAAGTTTAAAACACTAAATTTCACATGTTTAGAGTCTGTGTCCTAGAAGCTGATTGGCTGCCATGTTGATCCGAGTCCTGTGATTGGTCGATGGGGGTCACCAGGGCGGAGACATGGGCTGTGGGTTCTGCAGGTACGACATGACGACAGCAGAGATGGAGAGCCTGAAGAGACACATGGTTAGAGACCAGAGTGAGACCAGAGAGAGGCCAGAGAGAGACCAGAGTGAGACCAGAGAAAGACCAGAGAGAGACCAGAGAGAGACCAGAGAGAGAGACCAGAGAGAGACCAGAGAGAGACCAGAGAGAGACCAGAGAGAGACCAGAGAGAGAGACCAGAGAGAGACCAGAGAGAGACCAGAGAGAGAGACCAGAGAGAGAGACCAGAGAGAGACCAGAGAGAGAGACCAGAGAGAGACCAGAGAGACCAGAGAGAGAGACCAGAGAGAGAGACCAGAGAGAGACCAGAGAGAGACCAGAGAGAGACCAGAGAGAGAGACCAGAGAGAGACCAGAGAGAGAGACCAGAGAGAGACCAGAGAGAGACCAGAGAGAGAGACCAGAGAGAGACCAGAGAGAGAGACCAGAGAGAGAGACCAGAGAGAGACCAGAGAGAGACCATAGAGAGAGACCAGAGAGAGACCAGAGAGAGAGACCAGAGAGAGACCAGAGAGAGACCAGAGAGAGACCAGAGAGAGACCAGAGAGAGACCAGAGAGAGACCAGAGAGAGAGACCAGAGAGAGACCAGAGAGAGAGACCAGAGAGAGAGACCAGAGAGAGAGACCAGAGAGAGACCAGAGAGAGAGACCAGAGAGAGACCAGAGAGAGACCAGAGAGAGACCAGAGAGAGAGACCAGAGAGAGACCAGAGAGAGACCAGAGAGAGAGACCAGAGAGAGACCAGAGAGAGAGACCAGAGAGAGACCAGAGAGAGAGACCAGAGAGAGACCAGAGAGAGACCAGAGAGAGAGACCAGAGAGAGAGACCAGAGAGAGACCAGAGAGAGACCAGAGAGAGACCAGAGAGAGACCAGAGAGAGACCAGAGAGAGACCAGAGAGAGAGACCAGAGAGAGACCAGAGAGAGAGAGAGACCAGAGAGAGAGACCAGAGAAGAGACCAGAGAGAGAGCACAATTCCAGAGAGAGACAGAGAGAGAGACCAGAGAGAGAAACCAGAGAGGAGAATACCAGAGAGAGACCAGAGAGAGAGACCAGAGAGAGAGAACCAGAGAGAGAGACCAGAGAGAGAGACCAGAGAGAGAGACCAGAGAGAGACCAGAGAGAGACCAGAGAGAGACCAGATTGTTTTTTTTGTGTGTATTTACTTTTACACATCATTACACACTGGTTTTAGGTTGTGATTTGGAGCAGTTTGCTAAATGAACATGTTTTGATGCTAAATGAATCTCTAGTACATTACAAAGTCTGGGATCATAGACCTTTAAAGAATGTATGCAGCGTGAGGCCTATTGTTCTGTGTTCTGTGGGTTAGATCCATTTCAGTCCTGGTTCAGTCCTGGTTCAGCCCTGGTTCAGTCCTGGTTCAGTCCTGGTTCAGTCCTGGTTCAGTCCATGTTCAGTCCTGGTTCAGTCCTGGTTCAGTCCTGGTTCAGCCCTGGGTCAGACCAGGTTCAGTCCTGGTTCAGTCCTGGTTCAGTCCTGGTTCAGTCCTGGGTCAGACCAGGTTCAGTCCTGGTTCAGCCCTGGTTCAGTCCTGGTTCAGCCCTGGGTCAGACCAGGTTCAGTCCTGGTTCAGTCCTGGTTCAGTCCTGGTTCAGTCCAGGTTCAGTCCTGGTTCAGTCCTGGTTCAGTCCTGGTTCAGCCCTAGGTCAGACCAGGGTCAGCCCTGGTCCAGACCTGGTTTCAGGTTCTCTGGTTCTTCTCCTTAACTTTGTTGTACTCCGTTCGAGTGGATGATCCTGACCACGATCATCGCTAACTGCATCGTCCTGGCGCTGGAGCAGCACCTGCCGGACGGAGACAAGACCCCCCTGTCAGAGCGACTGGTAAGTCTCACACAGCAGTCAGAGCGACTGGTAAGTCTCATACAGCAGTCAGAACGACTGGTAAGTCTCACACAGCAGTCAGAGCGACTGGTAAGTCTCATACAGCAGTCAGAGCGACTGGTAAGTCTCACACAGCAGTCAGAACGACTGGTAAGTCTCATACAGCAGTCAGAACGACTGGTAAGTCTCACACAGCAGTCAGAACGACTGGTAAGCCTCACACAGCAGTCAGAACGACTGGTAAGTCTCACACAGCAGTCAGAACGACTGGTAAGTCTCATACAGCAGTCAGAGCGACTGGTAAGTCTCACACAGCAGTCAGAACGACTGGTAAGTCTCATACAGCAGTCAGAACGACTGGTAAGTCTCACACAGCAGTCAGAGCGACTGGTAAGTCTCATACAGCAGTCAGAGCGACTGGTAAGTCTCACACAGCAGTCAGAGCGACTGGTAAGTCTCATACAGCAGTCAGAACGACTGGTAAGTCTCATACAGCAGTCAGAACGACTGGTAAGTCTCACACAGCAGTCAGAGCGACTGGTAAGTCTCATACAGCAGTCAGAGCGACTGGTAAGTCTCACACAGCAGTCAGAGCGACTGGTAAGTCTCACACAGCAGTCAGAACGACTGGTAAGTCTCACACAGCAGTCAGAGCGACTGGTAAGTCTCACACAGCAGTCAGAACGACTGGTAAGTCTCATACAGCAGTCAGAACGACTGGTAAGTCTCATACAGCAGTCAGAACGACTGGTAAGTCTCACACAGCAGTCAGAACGACTGGTAAGTCTCATACAGCAGTCAGAACGACTGGTAAGTCTCACACAGCAGTCAGAGCGACTGGTAAGTCTCACACAGCAGTCAGAGCGACTGGTAAGTCTCATACAGCAGTCAGAACGACTGGTAAGTCTCACACAGCAGTCAGAACGACTGGTAAGTCTCATACAGCAGTCAGAACGACTGGTAAGTCTCACACAGCAGTCAGAGCGACTGGTAAGTCTCACACAGCAGTCAGAACGACTGGTAAGTCTCACACAGCAGTCAGAACGACTGGTAAGTCTCACACAGCAGTCAGAACGACTGGTAAGTCTCATACAGCAGTCAGAACGACTGGTAAGTCTCATACAGCAGTCAGAACGACTGGTAAGTCTCATACAGCAGTCAGAGCGACTGGTAAGTCTCACACAGCAGTCAGAACGACTGGTAAGTCTCACACAGCAGTCAGAACGACTGGTAAGTCTCATACAGCAGTCAGAACGACTGGTAAGTCTCACACAGCAGTCAGAGCGACTGGTAAGTCTCACACAGCAGTCAGAGCGACTGGTAAGTCTCATACAGCAGTCAGAACGACTGGTAAGTCCTCATACAGCAGTCAGAACGACTGGTAAGTCTCATACAGCTGTCAGAACGACTGGTAAGTCTCACACAGCAGTCAGAACGACTGGTAAGTCTCATACAGCAGTCAGAGCGACTGGTAAGTCTCATACAGCAGTCAGAGCGACTGGTAAGTCTCACACAGCAGTCAGAACGACTGGTAAGTCTCACACAGCAGTCAGAACGACTGGTAAGTCTCACACAGCAGTCAGAACGACTGGTAAGTCTCACACAGCAGTCAGAGCGACTGGTAAGTCTCATACAGCAGTCAGAGCGACTGGTAAGTCTCATACAGCAGTCAGAACGACTGGTAAGTCTCATACAGCAGTCAGAACGACTGGTAAGTCTCACACAGCAGTCAGAGCGACTGGTAAGTCTCACACAGCAGTCAGAACGACTGGTAAGTCTCATACAGCAGTCAGAACGACTGGTAAGTCTCACACAGCAGTCAGAACGACTGGTAAGTCTCATACAGCAGTCAGAACGACTGGTAAGTCTCATACAGCAGTCAGAACGACTGGTAAGTCTCACACAGCAGTCAGAACGACTGGTAAGCCTCACACAGCAGTCAGAACGACTGGTAAGTCTCACACAGCAGTCAGAACGACTGGTAAGTCTCACACAGCAGTCAGAACGACTGGTAAGCCTCACACAGCAGTCAGAACGACTGGTAAGTCTCACACAGCAGTCAGAGCGACTGGTAAGTCTCATACAGCAGTCAGAGCGACTGGTAAGTCTCATACAGCAGTCAGAACGACTGGTAAGTCTCACACAGCAGTCAGAACGACTGGTAAGTCTCATACAGCAGTCAGAACGACTGGTAAGTCTCATACAGCAGTCAGAACGACTGGTAAGTCTCACACAGCAGTCAGAACGACTGGTAAGTCTCATACAGCAGTCAGAACGACTGGTAAGTCTCATACAGCAGTCAGAACGACTGGTAAGTCTCATACAGCAGTCAGAACGACTGGTAAGTCTCACACAGCAGTCAGAACGACTGGTAAGTCTCATACAGCAGTCAGAACGACTGGTAAGTCTCACACAGCAGTCAGAACGACTGGTAAGTCTCATACAGCAGTCAGAACGACTGGTAAGTCTCACACAGCAGTCAGAATGACTGGTAAGCCTCACACAGCAGTCAGAACGACTGGTAAGTCTCACACAGCAGTCAGAACGACTGGTAAGTCTCACACAGCAGTCAGAACGACTGGTAAGTCTCACACAGCAGCAGTCAGAACGACTGGTAAGTCTCACACAGCAGTCAGAACGACTGGTAAGTCTCATACAGCAGTCAGAACGACTGGTAAGTCTCACACAGCAGTCAGAACGACTGGTAAGTCTCATACAGCAGTCAGAACGACTGGTAAGTCTCACACAGCAGTCAGAATGACTGGTAAGCCTCACACAGCAGTCAGAGCGACTGGTAAGTCTCACACAGCAGTCAGAACGACTGGTAAGTCTCATACAGCAGTCAGAATGACTGGTAAGCCTCACACAGCAGTCAGAACGACTGGTAAGTCTCACACAGCAGTCAGAACGACTGGTAAGTCTCACACAGCAGTCAGAACGACTGGTAAGTCTCACACAGCAGTCAGAACGACTGGTAAGTCTCATACAGCAGTCAGAACGACTGGTAAGTCTCATACAGCAGTCAGAACGACTGGTAAGTCTCACACAGCAGTCAGAACGACTGGTAAGTCTCACACAGCAGTCAGAACGACTGGTAAGTCTCATACAGCAGTCAGAACGACTGGTAAGTCTCATACAGCAGTCAGAACGACTGGTAAGTCTCATACAGCAGTCAGAGCGACTGGTAAGTCTCACACAGCAGTCAGAATGACTGGTAAGTCTCACACAGCAGTCAGAACGACTGGTAAGTCTCATACAGCAGTCAGAACGACTGGTAAGTCTCATACAGCAGTCAGAACGACTGGTAAGTCTCATACAGCAGTCAGAGCGACTGGTAAGTCTCACACAGCAGTCAGAACGACTGGTAAAGTCTGCCTGGGTCTAAGCACCAGATATAACCACATTCCTCCAGTATCATAAATGTAACTGTTATGATTCATGTAGAGTCAGATCTGTTTCATCTGTTTGAGTCTCTCCAGACTGAAGTCTTTCAGACTTGGTTCAGCCCTGGTCCAGCCTTGGTTCAGCCCTGGTCCAGCCCTAGTCCAGCCTTGGTTTAGCCCTGGTCCAGCCTTGGTCCAGCCCTGGTCCAGTCCTGGTCCAGCCCTGGTTCAGCCCTGGTCCAGTCCTGGTCCAGCCCTGGTTCAGCCCTGGTCCAGTCCTGGTCCAGTCCTGGCTCAGACCTGGTCCAGCCCTAGTCCAGCCTTGGTTTAGCCCTGGTCCAGCCTTGGTCCAGCCCTGGTTCAGCCCTGGTCCAGTCCTGGTCCAGTCCTGGCTCAGACCTGGTCCCTTGTCCTGCAGGAGGAGACGGAGCCGTACTTCATCGCCATCTTCTGCTTCGAGTCTGGGATAAAGATCTTGGCGTTGGGGTTCGCGCTTCACAAAGGCTCGTATCTGAGGAACGGCTGGAACGTCATGGACTTCGTGGTGGTACTCACGGGGTAAGAACTGATGGTACTACTGCTGCTGGTACTACTACTGCTGCTGCTGCTGCTGCTGCTGCTGCTGCTGCTGCTGCTGCTGCTGCTGGTACTGACCAGAGAGAGAGCAGAGAGAGACCAGAGAGAGACCAGAGAGAGACCAGAGAGAGACCAGAGAGAGACCAGAGAGAGACTAGAGAGAGACCAGAGAGAGACCAGAGAGAGACCAGAGAGAGAGACAGAGAGAGACCAGAGAAACCAGAGAGAGACCAGAGAGAGACTAGAGAGAGACCAGAGAGAGACCAGAGAGACCAGAGAGAGACCAGAGAGAGACCAGAGAGAGACCAGAGAGAGACTAGAGAGAGACCAGAGAGAGACCAGAGAGAGACCAGAGAGAGACCAGAGAGAGACCAGAGAGAGACTAGAGAGAGAGCAGAGAGAGACCAGAGAGAGACCAGAGAGAGACCAGAGAGAGACCAGAGAGACCAGAGGGAGACCAGTTTTGTTTTTGAATAGGAACAATGTTGGTTAGAATCTCAAAATAGAGGAAATGTCCCAGAGCACACTCTGATCTCTGCAGGGACAGGCTTCCTCCGGTGCAGCTGAGGAGCGTGTGGAGATAAATATGGTCTCCCCCCTCCTCCCCCCTCCTCCCCCCTCCTCACCCCTCCTCCCCCCTCCCTCTGGTGGGGGAGGGGCTGTAACAAGACCAATGTTTGTCAGGGGAGGACTGAAGCAAACACAGAGAAAAACCGGGGTTGGGATGAACTCTAGCCCACGACACAGGACGATGTGAAAGAGGAACTATGAGAGGCACGCCTTCAGGTTGGCCCTTTAAAGCTAGGGTACCTGAATTCAAATCTACCTCTAAAGCAGTTCACACATTTTAACTTTCATGTATATTTGGCCTTTGTCACAACTTTAGATCAACTTTCTCTGGCGTCTCTTTCTGGTCTCTCTCTATGGTCTTGTGCTCTCTCCCACTCTCTCTCGTCTCTCCCTCTTTTCTCTCTGGTCCCTCTCTTGACTCTCACTTTGGTCTCTCTATGCTCTCTCGCTCTCTCCCTCATCTCTCCTTCTGCTCTCTTTGGTCTCTCTATGCTCTCGCTCTCTCTCTCTCTCTCTCTCTCGTTTCTCCCTCTGCTCTTTCTGGTCCCTCTCTCTGGTCTCTATGCTCTCGCTCGCTCTCTCTCGTTTCTATTTCTGCTCTCTCCGGTCCCTCTCTTGACTCTCTCTTTGGTCTCTCTATGCTCTCTCTCTCTCTCTCTCTCTCTCTCACACTTTCTCGTCACTCCCTCTGTCCACTCTTGTCCCTCTCTCTGGTCTCTCTCTATGTTCTCTCGCTCTCTCTTTCGTCTCTCTCTCTTGCTCCCTCCCTCTCTCTCTTGTCTCTCCCTCTGCACTCTCTGGTCCCTCTATCTGGTCTTTCTCTCTCTCTCTCTCTCTCTCTCTGCTCTCTCTCTGGTAGCCATTCTCTTTCCATCTCTCTTTCTATCTCTTTCTATCTCTTTCTCTCTCTCCTCTCTCTCTCTCTCTCTCTCTCTCTCTCTCTCTCTCTCTCTCTCTCTCTCTCTCTCTCTCTCTCTCTCTCTGGTCTCTCTCTCTCTCTCTCTCTCTCTCTCTCTCTCTCTCTCTCTCTCTCTCTCTCTCTCTCTCTCTCTCTCTGCTTTGCTTTTATTTTCCTTCCAATAAACAAGCGGCTGTTTGCTCCGGGGCGTAACTCCGTAGTTTCACTAAGTAACGCTGGGTCAACGTGAGAGTATACAGTTTGGTAAAGCTGCAGCAGGCGGGCATCAGGCAGACATCAGTCAGACATCAGTCAGACATCAGTCAGACATCAGTCAGGCATCAGGCAGACATCAGTCAGACATCAGTCAGGCATCAGGCAGACATCAGGCAGGCATCAGGCAGACATCAGTCAGACATCAGTCAGGCATCAGGCAGACATCAGTCAGGCATCAGGCAGACATCAGTCAGACATCAGTCAGACATCAGTCAGACATCAGTCAGGCATCAGGCAGACATCAGTCAGACATCAGTCAGGCATCAGGCAGACATCAGTCAGGCATCAGGCAGACATCAGGCAGACATCAGGCAGACATCAGGCAGGCATCAGGCAGGCATCAGGCAGGCATCAGGCAGACATCAGGCAGACATCAGGCAGACATCAGGCAGACATCAGGCAGACATCAGTCAGACATCAGGCAGACATCAGGCAGACATCAGTCAGACATCAGGCAGACATCAGGCAGACATCGGCACGGTGGCTGAGTGGATAGCACTCTCGCCTCTCAGCAAGAAGGTCCTGGGTTCGAATCCCGGTCGGACCAGGGCCTTTCTGAGTGGAGTTTGCATGTTCTCCCCGTGTCTGCGTAGGTTTCCTCCGGGTACTCCGGTTTCCCCTACCACTAAAAATATGTCCAATAGTTCTGGCATGCGCTTCCTGTACTGGCGACCCCGCTCCCATCTCTGTGTGGAGTGAGATACAAATGCCCAAAATTAACAATTGTAAACCGCTTTGAGACTCAGATCTGCAGTGAAAAGGCGGTATATAAATAAAAACTTACTTACTTACTTACATCAGGCAGACATCAGGCAGACATCAGTCAGACATCAGGCAGACATCAGTCAGACATCAGTCAGACATCAGGCAGACATCAGGCAGACACCAGGCAGACATCAGGCAGACATCAGTCAGACATCAGGCAGACATCAGGCAGACATCAGGCAGGCATCAGGCAGACATCAGTCAGGCATCAGGCAGACATCAGGCAGACATCAGGCAGACATCAGGCAGACATCAGTCAGGCATCAGGCAGACATCAGGCAGACATCAGGCAGACATCAGTCAGACATCAGGCAGACATCAGTCAGACATCAGGCAGACATCAGGCAGACATCAGGCAGACATCAGGCAGACATCAGGCAGACATCAGTCAGACATCAGCAGACATCAGGCAGACATCAGGCAGACATCAGTCAGACATCAGGCAGACATCAGGCAGACATCAGGCAGACATCAGGCAGATATCTCCGCCATGGCAGATTGAAGCAACGGACATGAGTTGTTTGAGCCCAGAGCTTTCCACGATAGACAAGGGCTGGGGCAGAGGGCTGGGGCAGAGGGCTGGGGCAGAGGGCTGGGGCAGAGGGCTGGGGGCAGAGGGCTGGGGGCAGAGGGCAGACGGCTGGGGGCAGAGGGCTGGGGCAGAGGGCTGGGGCAGAGGGTTGGGGCAGAGGACTGGGGGCAGAGGGCTGGGGGCAGAGGGCAGGGGGCAGAGGGGCTGGGGCAGAGGGCTGGGGCAGAGGGCTGGGGGCAGAGGGGAGGGGGCAGAGGGCTGGGGGCAGAGGGCTGGGGCAGAGGGCTGGGGGCAGAGGGCTGGGGCAGAGGGCTGGGGGCAGAGGGCTGGGGCAGAGGGCTGGGGCAGACGGCTGGGGCAGAGGGCTGGGGCAGAGGGCTGGGGCAGACGGCTGGGGCAGAGGGCTGGGGCAGAGGGCTGGGGCAGAGGGCTGGGGCAGAGGGCTGGGGCAGAGGGCTGGGGCAGAGGGCTGGGGCAGAGGGCTGGGGGCAGAGGGCTGGGGCAGAGGGCTGGGGCAGAGGGCTGGGGCAGACGGCTGGGGCAGAGGGCTGGGGCAGAGGGCGGGGCAGAGGGCTGGGGCAGAGGGCTGGGGCAGAGGGCTGGGGGCAGAGGGCTGGGGGCAGAGGGCTGGGGCAGAGGGCTGGGGCAGAGGGCTGGGGCAGAGGGCTGGGGCAGAGGGCTGGGGCAGAGGGCTGGGGCAGAGGGCTGGGGGCAGAGGGCTGGGGCAGAGGGCTGGGGCAGAGGGCTGGGGCAGAGGGCTGGGGCAGAGGGCTGGGGCAGAGGGCTGGGGCAGAGGGCTGGGGCAGAGGGCTGGGGGCAGAGGGGAGGGGGCAGAGGGCTGGGGGCAGAGGGCTGGGGCAGAGGGCTGGGGCAGAGGGCTGGGGCAGAGAGCTGGGGCAGAGGGCTGGGGCAGAGGGCTGGGGGCAGAGAGCTGGGGCAGAGGGCTGGGGGCAGAGGGCTGGGGCAGAGGGCTGGGGCAGAGGGCTGGGGCAGAGGGCTGGGGCAGAGGGCTGGGGACAGAGGGCAGGGGGCAGAGGGCTGGGGCAGAGGGCTGGGGCAGAGGGCTGGGGCAGAGGGCTGGGGCAGAGGGCTGGGGCAGAGGGCAGAGAGCAGGGGCAGAGGGCAGAGGGCTGGGGGCAGAGGGCTGGGGGCAGAGAGCAGGGGGCAGAGGGCTGGGGGCAGAGGGCTGGGGCAGAGGGCTGGGGCAGAGAGCAGGGGGCAGAGGGCTGGGGGCAGAGGGCTGGGGGCAGAGGGCTGGGGGCAGAGAGCAGGGGGGGCAGAGGGCTGGGGGCAGAGAGCTGGGGGCAGAGGGCTGGGGCAGAGGGCTGGGGCAGAGGGCTGGGGCAGACGGCTGGGGCAGAGGGCTGGGGGCAGAGGGCTGGGGGCAGAGGGCTGGGGGCAGAGGGCTGGGGGCAGAGGACTGGGGCAGAGGGCTGGGGCAGAGGGTTGGGGGCAGAGGACTGGGGCAGAGGGCTGGGGGCAGAGGGCTGGGGCAGAGGGCTGGGGCAGAGAGCTGGGGCAGAGGGCTGGGGGTAGAGAGCTGGGGCAGAGGGCTGGGGCAGAGGGCTGGGGGCAGAGGGCTGGGGGCAGAGGGCTGGGGCAGAGGGCTGGGGCAGAGGGCTGGGGCAGAGGACTGGGGGCAGAGGGCTGGGGGCAGAGGGCTGGGGCAGAGGGTTGGGGCAGAGGACTGGGGGCAGAGAGCTGGGGCAGAGGGCTGGGGGCAGAGGGCTGGGGCAGAGGACTGGGGGCAGAGAGCTGGGGCAGAGGGCTGGGGCAGAGGGCTGGGGCAGAGGGCTGGGGCAGAGGGTTGGGGCAGAGGACTGGGGGCAGAGGGCTGGGGCAGAGGGCTGGGGCAGAGGGCTGGGGCAGAGGACTGGGGCAGAGGGCTGGGGCAGAGGGCTGGGGCAGAGGACTGGGGGCAGAGGGCTGGGGCAGAGGGCTGGGGCAGAGGGTTGGGGCAGAGGGCTGGGGGCAGAGGGCTGGGGCAGAGGGCTGGGGCAGAGGGCTGGGGCAGAGGACTGGGGGCAGAGGGCTGGGGGCAGAGGGCTGGGGCAGAGGGTTGGGGCAGAGGACTGGGGGCAGAGAGCTGGGGCAGAGGGCTGGGGGCAGAGGACTGGGGGCAGAGAGCTGGGGCAGAGGGCTGGGGCAGAGGGCTGGGGCAGAGGGCTGGGGCAGAGGGTTGGGGCAGAGGACTGGGGGCAGAGGGCTGGGGCAGAGGGCTGGGGCAGAGGGCTGGGGCAGAGGGCTGGGGCAGAGGGCTGGGGCAGAGGGCTGGGCAGAGGGCTGGGGCAGAGGACTGGGGGCAGAGGGCTGGGGCAGAGGGCTGGGGCAGAGGGCTGGGGGCAGAGGGCTGGGGCAGAGGGCTGGGGCAGAGGACTGGGGGCAGAGAGCTGGGGCAGAGGGCTGGGGCAGAGGGCTGGGGGCAGAGGGCTGGGGCAGAGGACTGGGGGCAGAGGGCTGGGGCAGAGGGCTGGGGCAGAGGGCTGGGGGCAGAGGGCTGGGGCAGAGGACTGGGGCAGAGGGCTGGGGCAGAGGGCTGGGGCAGAGGGCTGGGGGCAGTGGGCTGGGGGCAGAGGGCTGGGGCAGAGGGCTGGGGGCAGAGGGCTGGGGCAGAGGGCTGGGGGCAGAGGGCTGGGGCAGAGGGCTGGGGCAGAGGGGAAAAAATCCATAACTTTGGTGCATATTTGGTGTTGTTTCTTACGTCATTACTGCGGTTGTTGCCGCTGTAGAATCTCACTGAGAGCTGCATGAGTTGTTTGTTTACGCAGTTTTGACGAGAGAAAGTAACTTGTGCGCACAAACCCCGTGTCATCTGATCGCTCTTTGTGATCGGCACATTTCACCGATCATGCAAATTAAGCTGTGATCGGTGCACCTCTACTCTTGCTCTCTCTCGCTCTCTCTCTCGTCTCTCTCGCGGTATCTCAGGTCTCTCTGGGATCCATTCTCTCTCTCTCCCTCTGCTCTCTCTGGTCTCTCTCGCTGCACTCTTTCTGGTATCTCAGGTCTCTCTGGGATCCATTCTCTCTCTCTCCCTCTGCTCTCTCTGGTCTCTCTCGCTGCACTCTTTCTGGTATCTCAGGTCTCTCTGGGATCCATTCTCTCTCTCTCTCTCTGGTCTCTCTGGTCTCTCTGCTCTCTCTGCTCTCTCTGCTCTCTCTGAAGGCCCTGATCCCTGCACTGTAAAACATTTCCTTGTAGAAAAATGGTAAAAAGTTGGCAAATATGGTTCCAGGGTAGGGCTGGGCGGTATAAACGGTATAAGCGGTAGACGGTATAAATTTGGCCCACGGTAGAGATTTTTGTTATACCGGCATATTGCGATAGGTCATTATGTCATTAAATTGCGCAGGTTCTGACGCCAGCAGAAAGGACCAAAACAAACCGGCATTCAGCAGCATTAGCCTAGCACATTAGCCTAGCATTAGCCTAGCACTATTGGACACCACTGGAAACAACGAACAACAGCACGGCATTAACACAGTGTTTCTGTCTATGTATTGTTGTCACAGCGGCCCCAGCAGAGGTAAATACACACACAGTAATCACAGTTTAAGAGTCTACCTTTTGGCCAATCAGTGTCAAAGGGGCGTAGGCTCGAAGCGCCAGTGTGAGCCAAGATCCATGCGTGTGCCGTGTTCGCAGCATCACAGCAGAAGTTTGGGAAAGTTAGCGTCAGATTCGGACCTCCGCGGTCAATATCTCACGAAAGCTACTTTGTTAAACAAAATTATTTGTGCCAAAATGACCATTTACATCAATTGTTCAAATCCAATGCCCTGTTTTAATGAACATAAATCCATTGAATCATCCAGTTCACTGTAAGCGCAGAGAAAAGCACTTAGGGAGCGTCAACAAATGGCAAGACCAGCTTTGTAAACAAACAGCTTTTACTGAAGCCATGTACCTGCACAAAACTCTCAGACACTATAAATAATGACCATGTCTAACTCCTACAGACTTTGATTTCAACATTTGTGAGTTTTTTATATTTTAAATGAATGCATATGTTTTTCTTTTTAAAAATTGCTTTTACAGTGAATGGTATTTACTGTAACATACATAAATAATGTATGTTATTTGTCTCTTTATTCGTCTCACAACTGATTTTCTAACTCAAAATATATATATATTAGATTCTAATATATAAATAATTAACAATCTTGACTATTTTATGCAAGAACCTGCTAGACCTATATTGAAATTCACACACCAAATTATACCGCAATATGAATTTTAGGCCATATCGCCCACCCCTATTCCAGGGATTTACCGTTTTCTCAACATGGCATTACCGTTGCTAATGTTAACGGTTAAAGACAGTTTCACTGAATCACATTAAGCCTTTGTGATTTCAGGATTTAACTGTATGTTCCTGTTCATTCACACACAACAGAAACACCATTATAATGTTCATTTTGTATTATTACACCATACGACCTTCAACTAAAAACTGGGGGCGACAGTAGCTCAGTTGGTAGAGCATTGGCCTTAGAGCCTGAAGGTTGTAGGTTCAATCCCACCGTAAGACCTACTTCACGACTCCCACTGATGACTGCTGTCGTTGTGTCCTTAGGCAAGACACTTAACCCCACTTTGCCTGAAGCCCCACTGAAAGATCTCAGCTCCTGTGGACTCACCTCCTGCAGGAGGATCAGTGAGGGGCTGGTGCTCTGTGGACTGACTGCCACCCCCCCAACCCAGAAATGGATTAAGGGGAAGAAAATGGATGGATGGATGAACAAAAAACTACACAGTTTAATTTTGTTTTCCTTTAATGAACACAACTATTCAATTATTTTAACATCTTCAGTTTATACAAGATTATAGTTGAAATCTCTACTTCTATAAAATGCTTAATGCAAATAGTCATTTCAACCAAAGCAGAAGTTTATAACCCTGACACATGCCTCTTACTCTCATGGTTGCTTGCTAGCAAAGTTGATGTTAAATTACGGTAATCCATTGTGATTCTCAGTGTGATTTTATGGTATTGTAACGTTTTTTGAAATCACACGCCACTGGATGTTTTTTAACCAATTTATAGTTAAATTTGCATGTTTGAATTGTTTTTCAAAATAACATTTCTTTAATGTTGAAATTTCATTATAATTTTACAAAAATTTGTTACAGTGTGGTCCTCTGCTCTGGTGTCACAGTTCACAGCGGGACATTGTCTCCACAGCGCCCCCTGTGGCCCTCACAGCACACACGGACTGTAGAGCACCTTTAATAATTCAACAATAACAGACAGACAGGGCGCAGATCAGAGCAGCAGCTGCAGGGGGCAGCAGTGAGGGCAGCACGCAAATGTCGAGAGAGAGAGAGAGATGCCAGAGAGAGAGAGATGCCAGAGAGAGAGAGAGAGAGAGATGCCAGAGCGAGATGCCAGAGAGAGAGAGATGCCAGAGAGAGAGAGATGTGTCTACAGAGGGACTATGAGCACTATCGAAAGAGACCAGAGAGAGAGAGAGATGCCATAGCGAGATGCCAGAGAGAGAGAGAGAGAGAGATGCCAGAGCGAGATGCCAGAGAGAGAGAGAGAGAGAGATGCCAGAGCGAGATGCCAGAGAGAGAGAGAGAGAGAGAGATGCCAGAGCGAGATGCCAGAGAGAGAGAGAGGCCAGAGAGAGATGCCAGAGCGAGATGCCAGAGAGAGAGAGAGAGAGAGATGCCAGAGAGAGAGAGAGAGAGAGATGCCAGAGAGAGATGCCAGAGAGAGAGAGAGGCCAGAGAGAGATGCCAGAGAGAGAGAGAGAGAGCGAGAGGCCAGAGAGAGATGCCAGAGAGAGAGAGAGAGAGAGATGCCAGAGAGAGATGCCAGAGAGAGAGAGAGGCCAGAGAGAGATGCCAGAGAGAGAGAGAGAGAGCGAGAGGCCAGAGAGAGATGCCAGAGAGAGAGAGAGAGAGAGATGCCAGAGCGAGATGCCAGAGAGAGAGAGAGAGAGAGATGCCAGAGCGAGATGCCAGAGAGAGAGAGAGGCCAGAGAGAGATGCCAGAGAGAGAGAGAGAGAGCGAGAGAGATGTGCCTACAGAAGGACTATGAGCACTATCGAAAGAGACCAGAGAGAAAGAGAGATGCCAGAGCGAGATGCCAAAGAGAGAGAGAGGCCAGAGAGAGAGAGAGAGAGAGATGCCAGAGAGAGAGAGAGAGAGAGAGGCCAGAGAGAGAGAGATGCCAGAGAGAGAGAGAGGCCAGAGAGAGATGCCAGAGAGAGAGAGAGGCCAGAGAGAGATGCCAGAGAGAGAGAGAGAGAGATGTGCCTACAGAAGGACTATGAGCACTATCGAAAGAGACCAGAGAGAGAGAGAGATGCCATAGCGAGATGCCAGAGAGAGAGAGAGGCCAGAGAGAGAGAGAGAGAGATGCCAGAGAGAGAGAGATGCCAGAGCCGAGATGCCAGAAAGAGAGAGAGAGAGATGCCAGAGAGAGAGAGATGCCAGAGAGAGAGAGAGGCCAGAGAGAGATGCCAGAGAGAGAGAGAGATAGATGTGCCTACAGAAGGACTATGAGCACTATCGAAAGAGACCAGAGAGAGAGAGAGATGCCAGAGAGAGAGATGCCAGAGAGAGAGAGAGGCCAGAGAGAGAGAGAGAGAGATGCCAGAGAGAGAGATGCCAGAGCCGAGATGCCAGAGAGAGAGAGAGAGAGATGCCAGAGCGAGATGCCAGAGAGAGAGAGAGGCCAGAGAGAGAGATGCCAGAGCGAGATGCCAGAGAGAGAGAGAGGGGAGAGAGAGAGGCCAGAGAGAGAGATGCCAGAGCGAGATGCCAGAGAGAGAGAGAGGGGAGAGAGAGATGCCAGAGCCGAGATGCCAGAGAGAGAGAGAGAGAGATGCCAGAGCGAGATGCCAGAGAGAGAGAGAGGCCAGAGAGAGAGATGCCAGAGCGAGATGCCAGAGAGAGAGAGAGGGGAGAGAGAGATGCCAGAGAGAGAGAGAGAGATGCCAGAGAGAGAGAGAGAGATGCCAGAGCGAGATGCCAGAGAGAGAGATGCCAGAGAGAGAGAGAGAACAGGCCTGCCTACAGAAGGACTATGAGCACTATGGAAAGAGACCAGAGAGAAGGAGAGAGACCAAAGAGAGACCAGTCACACCAGAGAGTGACAAGAGAGAGACCATAAGCGAACAAACGAGCAGATCATTGGAGCAGAGCGGTCTTGGAGAAACAGAATAGAGTCGATTTCTTAGCTCTCTCCACACACTCCTGCTTTACAAACCTACTCTGGGACAGAAGCTACTCACCCATTGGAGGGAGGAGGGAGGGAGGAGGGAGGGAGGAGGGAGGCAGGAGGGAGGGAGGAGGGAGGGAGGAGGGAGGCAGGAGGGAGGCAGGAGGGAGGGAGGAGGGAGGCAGGAGGGAGGGAGGAGGGAGGGAGGAGGGAGGCAGGAGGGAGGCAGGAGGGAGGGAGGAGGGAGGGAGGAGGGAGGGAGGAGGGAGGGAGGAGGGAGGCAGGAGGGAGGGAGGAGGGAGGGAGGAGGGAGGGAGGAGGGAGAGCTGTGACCATGTGTCATCTCAGTGTGGGTCCTGTTCTCCCTCCAACCCCTCCCTCATGGTCATAAACCACACACACACACACACACACACACACACACACACACACACACACACACACACACACACACACACACACACACACACACACACACACACACACACACACACACACACAGATTTATAGGAGCTGGACACAGGAGGACTAGCCTATGCACCAATGTTTCACTGTTGCATGTAAAGCCTCAATCCCACTGAGCTACCAGGTCTAAACCAGGTCTAAACCTGGTCTAAACCTGGTCTAAACCTGGTCTAAACAAGGTCCAAAACTCTCTAGTCTCTCTGGTCTCTCCCTCAGGTCTCTCTCTCTCTCTCGCCTCTCTGTGGTCCCTTTCTGGTCCCTCTGGTTCCTCTCTGGGCTCTTTTCTGGTCTCTCTTTCTCTCTCTCTGGTCTTTCTCTGCTCTATTTCTGGTCCCACTGGTTTCTCTCTCTGGGGTTTTTTTCTGGTCTCTCTCTTGGCTTTCTCTCTCTGGTCTTTGTGGACACTCTCTGGTCTCTCTCTGGTCTCTCTGGTCTTTTGTACATCCTCTGGTCTCTCTCTGGTCTCTCTGTTCTCTCTCTGGTCTCTCTCTGGTCTCTCTCTGGTCTCTCTCTGTTCTCTCTCTGTTCTCTCTCTGGTCTCTCTCTGGTCTCTCTCTGGTCTCTCTCTGGTCTCTCTCTGTTCTCTCTCTATTCTCTCTCTATTCTCTCTCTGTTCTCTCTCTGGTCTCTCTCTGGTCTCTCTCTGGTGTCTCTCTGGTCTCTCTCTCTGGTCTCTCTCTGTTCTCTCTCTGTTCTCTCTCTGGTGTCTCTCTGGTGTCTCTCTCTGGTGTATCTCGGGTCTCTCTCTGGTCTCTTCAGTTGTTCCTCTCCTGCTGAAGCTGCAGCACAGAAATTGGGTCACGATCCACCTGCTCCGCTGCTGTTTCCTGAATTCCAAAGCAGCAGTGCATCCTCCACCTCCTCATCCATCTGCTTTCTAGAGAGAGACCAGAGAAAGGCCAGAGAGAGAGACCAGAGAGAGAGACCAGAGAGAGAGACCAGAGAGAGACCAGAGAGAAACCAGAGAGAGAGACCAGAGAGAGAGACCAGAGAGAGAGACCAGAGAGAGACCAGAGAGAAACCAGAGAGAGAGACCAGAGAGAGACCAGAGAAAGGCCAGAGAGAGAGACCAGAGAGAGACCAGAGAGAGACCAGGGAGAGAGACCAGAGAGAGACCAGACAGAGACCAGGGAGAGAGACCAGAGAGAGACCAGAGAGAGAGACCAGAGAGAGACCAGAAAGAGATACCAGAGAGAAACCAGGGAGAGAGACCAGAGAAAGGCCAGAGAGAGAGACCAGAGAGAGACCAGAGAGAGACCAGAGAGAGAGACCAGAGAGAGACCAGGGGGAGAGACCAGAGAGAGACCAGAGAGAGACCAGAGAGAGAGACCAGAGAGAGAGACCAGAGAGAGACCAGGGAGAGACCAGGGAGAGACCAGAGAGAGACCAGAGAGAGAGACCAGAGAGAGAGACCAGAGAGAGACCAGAGAGAGACCAGAGAGAGACCAGAGAGAGAGACCAGAGAGAGAGAGACCAGAGAGAGACCAGAGAGAGACCAGAGAGAGAGACCAGAGAGAGACCAGGGAGAGACCAGGGAGAGACCAGAGAGAGACCAGAGAGAGAGACCAGAGAGAGACCAGAGAGAGACCAGAGAGAGAGACCAGAGAGAGAGACCAGAGAGAGACCAGAGAGAGAGACCAGAGAGAGAGAGACCAGAGAGAGACCAGAGAGAGAGACCAGGGAGAGAGACTGGTCTCTCTCTGGTCTCTCTCGCTGGTCTCTCTCCCTCTTTTCTGTCTGACAAAGCTGATAGATACATGAAACTAGCTGAAACTTCAGTGACTGACATTGATGTTCTGACACAGCCCTATTGTTGTGGTCTGAGAGTTACGTTCCTCAGCTTTAATCTCACTGTGACGTCACGCGGCTCACGTTCAAACTCGTTTGTGGGTCACTGCTGCTGATGCTGCGGCACGACCAGAGATTCCATCAATGAGCAGCCCGACTCTGTTGCCCCGGTAACACCTAGAACCCTCCCCTCCTACCGGCGCGTTTCCGTGGAGACGCCGGGAGGGTAGTGTCTCCATGGCGACGGGAGAAGACCGGCGGATAACCACTCTGCCGGTGTTAAAACAGCTCTTCTATCTGATTTCAATCTGTTTTGTCCAGTAAAGACAGCTCTTCCATTCAAGAGGACTCTTTCTAGTCTCTCTATGGTCTCTCTCTGGTCTCTCTCTGGTCCCTCTTCTAGTCTCTTTCTGGTCTCTCTCTCTGTTTTCTCTCTCTATTCTCTCTCTCTCTGATCGCTCTCTAGTCTCTCTCTAGTCTCTCTTGTCCCCCTCTCTAGTTTTTCTATGGTCTCTCCCTCTTGTCTCACTAGTGTCACTCTCGGGTCTCTGTCGCTGGTTTTTCTCTCTGGTCTCTCTATGGTCTTCCTCTGGTCTTTCTCTGGTGTATAGTCTCTCTGGTCTCTCTCTGGTCCCTCTCTTGTCTCTCTTGTCTCCCTCTGGTCTCTCTCTGGTCTTTCTCTGGTGTCTAGTCTCTTTGGTCTCTCTCTGGTCCCTCTCTTGTCTCCCTCTGGTTTCTGTCTGGTCTTTCTCTGGTGTCTAGTCTCCCTCTGGTCTCTCTCTGTTCTCCCTCTGGTCTCCCTCTGGTCTCTCTCTGGTCTTTCTCTGGTGTCTAGTCTCCCTCTGGTCTCTCTCTGTTCTCCCTCTGGTCTCCCTCTGGTCTCTCTCTGGTCTTTCTCTGGTGTCTAGTCTCCCTCTGGTCTCTCTCTCTGATCTCTCTCTGGTCCCTCTCTTGTCTCTCTTGTCTCCCTCTGGTCTCCCTCTGGTCTCTCTCTGGTCTTTCTCTGGTGTCTAGTCTCCCTCTGGTCTCCCTCTGGTCTCTCTCTGGTCTTTCTCTGGTGTCTAGTCTCCCTCTGGTCTCTCTCTGGTCTCTGGTCTCTCTCTCTGATCTCTCTCTGGTCCCTCTCTTGTCTCTCTGGTCTCCCTCTGGTCTCCCTCTGGTCTCCCTCTGGTCTCTCTCTGGTCTTTCTCTGGTGTCTAGTCTCCCTCTGGTCTCTCTCTGGTCCCTCTCTTGTCTCTCTTGTCTCCCTCTGGTCTCTCTCTGTTCTCCCTCTGGTCTCCCTCTGGTCTCTCTCTGGTCTTTCTCTGGTGTCTAGTCTCCCTCTGGTCTCTCTCTGTTCTCCCTCTGGTCTCCCTCTGGTCTCTCTCTGGTCTTTCTCTGGTGTCTAGTCTCCCTCTGGTCTCTCTCTGGTCTCTCTCTCTGATCTCTCTCTGGTCCCTCTCTTGTCTCTCTTGTCTCCCTCTGGTCTCCCTCTGGTCTCTCTCTGGTCTTTCTCTGGTGTCTAGTCTCCCTCTGGTCTCCCTCTGGTCTCTCTCTGGTCTTTCTCTGGTGTCTAGTCTCCCTCTGGTCTCTCTCTGGTCTCTGGTCTCTCTCTCTGATCTCTCTCTGGTCCCTCTCTTGTCTCTCTGGTCTCCCTCTGGTCTCCCTCTGGTCTCTCTCTGGTCTTTCTCTGGTGTCTAGTCTCCCTCTGGTCTCTCTCTGGTCCCTCTCTTGTCTCTCTAGTCTCCTTCTGGTCTCTCTGCTCCCTGTAGTGATTGGTGTGATGGCTGCAGTGCTCAGATGGACCTCCAGGGGGCGAGCAGTAGCAGAGGTGCAAACAGGGGCGCACGCCTGGGAAACACCTGCCCATCACACATGGTCTCTGAGGACCGTGGCGTGTTTGAAGTCCTCACAGGCTTCAGCGGTGGGGCTGTCAAAAGCACCAGCAAGCACATATTAAACTATAACCATGGAAACCAGAAACAAAATGTCAAAATATCTTTAACCCATTACATTTCTCCCTCTGAAGTATTTTCTTTTTTTGACTAATTCTATTCATTTGTAAATTCTCTGGACCAATGAAAAGCCTCGGGGTAAACCAAGAATGGACCATTTCAGACTTTTTTCTGCTGAAAAAAGTCTGAAATGTGCGACCGCGGGAACTTTCTGATGTCTGCTGTATGAACCATGGACGCACGGACAGGACCATGGACGCACGGACAGAACCATGGACGCACGGACAGAACCATGGACGCACGGACAGGACCATGGACACACGGACAGGACCATGGACGCACGGACAGGACCATGGACGCACGGACAGAACCATGGACGCACGGACAGAACCATGGACGCACGGACAGGACCATGGACACACGGACAGGACCATGGACGCACGGACAGGACCATGGACACACGGACAGGACCATGGACGCACGGACAGGACCATGGACGCACGGACAGGATCATGGACGCACAGACAGGACCATGGACGCACGGACAGAACTATGGACGCATGTTCAGAACCATAGACGCACGGACAGGACCATGGACGCACAGACAGAACCATGGACGCACAGACAGAACCATGGACGCACGGACAGAACCATGGACGCACGGACAGAACCATGGATGCACGGACAGAACCATGGACGCATGTTCAGAATCATTGACGCATGTTCAGGACCATTGACGCATGTTCAGGACCATAGACATGCATACACAACCATAAACATGTGTACACAACCATAAACATGCGTACAGGACCATAAACATGCGTACAGGACCATAGACATGCGTACAAAACTATAGACATGTGCGTACAGAACCATAGACATGCGTACCATAGACATGCGTACAGGACCATAGACATGCGTACAAAACTATAGACATGTGCGTACAGAACCATAGACACGCGTACAGAACCATAGACATGCGTACCATAGACATGCGTACAGGACCATAGACATGCGTACAGAACCATAGACGTGCGTACAGAACCATAGACATGCGTACAGAACCATAGACATGTGAGTACAGAACCATAGACATGCGCACAGAACCATAGACACGCTTACAGAACCATAGACATGTGAGTACAGAACCATAGACATGCGTACAGAACCATAGACATGTGCGTACAGAACCATAGACATGCGTACCATAGACATGCTTACAGGACCATAGACATGCGTACAGGACCATAGACATGTGCGTACAGAACCATAGACATGCGTACAGAACCATAGACGTGCGTACAGAACCATAGACATGCGTACAGAACCATAGACATGTGCGTACAGAACCATAGACATGTGCGTACAGAACCATAGACATGCGTACAGAACCATAGACATGTGAGTACAGAACCATAGACATGCGTACAGAACCATAGACATGTGAGTACAGAACCATAGACATGCGCACAGAACCATAGACACGCGTACAGAACCATAGACATGTGAGTACAGAACCATAGACATGCGTACAGAACCATAGACATGTGCGTACAGAACCATAGACATGCGTACCATAGACATGCGTACAGGACCATAGACATGCGTACAGGACCATAGACATGTGCGTACAGAACCATAGACATGTGCGTACAGAACCATAGACATGCGTACAGAACCATAGACATGCGTACCATAGACATGCGTACAGGACCATAGACATTCGTACAGGACCATAGACATGCGCACAGAACCATAGACATGTGCGTACAGAACCATAAACATGCGTACAGAACCATAGACATGCGTACAGAACCATAGACATGCGTACAGAACCATAGACATGCGCACAGAACCATAGACATGCGTACAGAACCATAGACATGCGTACAGAACCATAGACATGTGCTTACAGAACCATAGACATGCGTACAGGACCATACACATGCGCACAGAACCATAGACATGTGCGTACAGAACCATAAACATGCGTAGAGAACCATAGACCGGCGTACAGAACCATAAACATGTGCGTACAGAACCATAGACATGCGTACCATAGACATGCGTACAGGACCATAGACATGCGTACAGGACCATAGACATGTGCGTACAGAACCATAGACATGTGCGTACAGAACCATAGACATGCGTACAGAACCATAGACATGCGTACCATAGACATGCGTACAGGACCATAGACATTCGTACAGAACCATAGACATGTGTACAGAACCATAGACATGTGCGTACAGAATCATACATGCGCACAGAACCATAGACATGCGTACAGAACCATAGACATGCGTACAGAACCATAGACATAACAACATGACATGTGCTTACAGAACCATAGACATGTGTACAGAACCATAGACATGTGCGTACAGAACCATAGACATGTGCGTACAGAACCATAGAACATGCGTACAGAAACATAGACATGTGCGTACAGAACCATAGACATGCGTACAGAACCATAGACGTGCGTACAGAACCATAAACGTGCGTACAGAACCATAGACATGTGCGTACAGAACCATAGACATGTGCGTACAGAACCATAGACATGCGCACAGAACCATAGACGTAAGTACAGAACCATAGACATGCGTACAGAACCATAGACGTAAGTACAGAACCATAGACATGCGTACAGAACCATAGACATGTGCGTACAGAACCATAGACATGTGCATACAGAACCATAGACATGCGCACAGAACCATAGACACGCGTACAGAACCATAGACATGTGCGTACCATAGACATGCGTACAGGACCATAGACATGCGTACAGGACCATAGACATGCGCACAGAACCATAGACATGTGCGTACAGAACCATAAACATGCGTACAGAACCATAGACATGGGTACAGAACCATAGACATGCGCACAGAACCATAGACATGCGTACAGAACCATAGACATGCGTACAGAACCATAGACATGTGCGTACAGAACCATAGACATGCGTACAGGACCATACACATGCGCACAGAACCATAGACATGTGCGTACAGAACCATAAACATGCGTACAGAACCATAGACCGGCGTACAGAACCATAGACATGTGTACAGAACCATAGACATGTGAGTACAGAACCATATACATGCGCACAGAACCATAGACGTGCGTGCAGAACCATAGACATGGGTACAGAACCATAGACATGCGTACAGAACCATAGACATGCGTACAGAACCATAGACATGCGTACAGAACCATAGACATGTGCGTACAGAACCATAGACATGTGCGTACAGAACATAGACATGTGCGTACAGAACCATAGACATGCGTACAGAACCATAGACGTAAGTACAGAACCATAAACATGCGTACAGAACCATAGACATGTGCGTACAGAACCATAGACATGCGTACAGAACCATAGACGTAAGTACAGAACCATAGACATGCGTACAGAACCATAGACATGTGCGTACAGAACCATAGACATGCGTACAGAACCATAGACATGCGTACAGAACCATAGACATGTGCGTACAGAACCATAGACATGTGCGTACAGAACCATAGACATGTGCGTACAGAACCATAGACATGTGCGTACAGAACCATAGAAGTGCGTACAGAACCATAGACATGTGCGTACAGAACCATAGACATGCGTACAGAACCATAGACGTGCGTACAGAACCATAGACGTGCGTACAGAACCATAGACATGTGCGTACAGAACCATAGACGTGCGTACAGAACCATAGACATGCATACAGAACCATAGACGTGCGTACAGAACCATAGACGTGCGTACAGAAGTGGATTTGATGTATTTTTCCCAGTTAGTGCCACTTTGTTGCCTAACTCTTGTTTGTATTGAGACATATTTGGGCAAGTAAAATATAAATGGTACTTGCCTGAATATCAAGTGGCTGACAAAGCTTTATGTCAAGGCCTGATCATAAAGTGATTGCCTCTAGTCTCTCTCTGGTCTCGCTCTATGGTCTCTGTCTATGGTCTCTATCTATGGTCTCTGTCTATGGTCTCTCTGGTCTATCTCTCTCCATGGTCTCTCTTTTTGTGCTCTCTCTCTGGTCTCTCTCTGGTCTCTCTCTCTGGTCCAGTTCTGGTTTCTGTCTCCGATCTCTTTCTGGTCTATCCCTGATCTCTCTAGTCTCTCTGGTCTCTCTGGTCTCTGTCTGGCCCCTCTCTGGTCTATCTCTCTGGTCTAAATCTGGTCTCTCTCTGGTCTCTCTTGCTGATCTCTCTCTGGTGTCTCTCTGGTCTCTCTCTCTAGTGTCTCTCTAGTCTCTCTCTGGTCTCTCTCTGGTCTCTCTCTGGTCCCTTTTGCTGGTCTCTCTTGCTGGTCTCTCTCGGACCTGTCTCTCTGGTCTCTCTCTGGTCTCTCTCTGGTCTCTCTCTGGTCTCTCTCTCTGGTCTCTCTCTGGTCTCTCTCTCTGGTCTCTCTCTGGTCTCTCTCTGTCTCTCTCTGGTCTCTCTCTGGTCTCTCTCTCTGGTCTCTCTCTGGTCTCTCTCTGGTCTCTCTCTCTGGTCTCTCTCTGGTCTCTCTCTGGTCTCTCTCTGGTCTCTCTCTGGTCTCTCTCTGGTCTCTCTCTGGTCTCTCTCTGGTCTCTCTCTGGTCTCTCTCTGGTCTCTCTCTGGTCTCTCTCTCTCTCTTGGTCTCTCTCTGGTCTCTCTCTGGTCTCTCTCTGTCTCTCTCTGGTCTCTCTCTGGTCTCTCTCTCTGGTCTCTCTCTGTCTCTCTCTGGTCTCTCTCTCTGGTCTCTCTCTGGTCTCTCTCTGGTCTCTCTCTGGTCTCTCTCTGGTCTCTCTCTGTCTCTCTCTGGTCTCTCTCTGGTCTCTCTCTGGTCTCTCTCTGGTCTCTCTCTGGTCTCTCTCTCTGTCTCTCTCTGGTCTCTCTCTCTGGTCTCTCTCTGGTCTTTGGTATGAGTCTGCACTGCCGTGTGACTTTAGAGTTTTTCCTGTTTTCCTGCAGCTTAGAGCTGATACAGGTCCAAACAATACGGCTTCCTTTCCTGTTTCTCCAATCTCACACTTCTCTCTCTCTGCAGAATCCTGTCGTCAGTGGGATCTCAGTTGGACCTAAGAACTCTCCGCGCCGTCAGAGTGCTGCGGCCGCTCAAATTGGTCTCAGGGATCCCCAGTGAGTACCCCCTGTCCTCTGTCTGAGCCTGGTCTGGACCTGGTCTCTGTCTGAACCTGGTCTCTGTCTGGACCTGTCCTCTGTCTGAGCCTGGTCTGGACCTGTCCTCTGTCTGAGCCTGGTCTGGACCTGGTCTCTGTCTGAACCTGGTCTCTGTCTGGACCTGTCCTCTGTCTGAGCCTGGTCGGGACCTGTCCTCTGTCTGAGCCTGGTCTGGACCTGGTCTCTGTCTGAGCCTGGTCTGGACCTGTCCTCTGTCTGAGCCTGGTCTGGACCTGGTCTCTGTCTGGACCTGTCCTCTGTCTGAGCCTGGTCTGGACCTGTCCTCTGTCTGAGCCTGGTCTGGACCTGGTCTCTGTCTGAGCCTGGTCTGGACCTGTCCTCTGTCTGAGCCTGGTCTGGACCTGGTCTCTGTCTGGACCTGTCCTCTGTCTGAGCCTGGTCTCTGTCTGAACCTGGTCTCTGTCTGAGCCTGGTCTCTGTCTGAGCCTGGTCTGGACCTGGTCTCTGTCTGAGCCTGGTCTGGACCTGTCCTCTGTCTGAGCCTGGTCTGGACCTGGTCTCTGTCTGGACCTGTCCTCTGTCTGAGCCTGGTCTGGACCTGGTCTCTGTCTGAGCCTGGTCTGGACCTGTCCTCTGTCTGAGCCTGGTCTGGACCTGGTCTCTGTCTGAGCCTGGTCTGGACCTGTCCTCTGTCTGAGCCTGGTCTGGACTTGGTCTCTGTCTGGACCTGTCCTCTGTCTGAGCCTGGTCTGGACCTGGTCTCTGTCTGAGCCTGGTCTGGACCTGTCCTCTGTCTGAGCCTGGTCTGGACCTGGTCTCTGTCTGAGCCTGGTCTGGACCTGTCCTCTGTCTGAGCCTGGTCTGAGCCTGGTCTCTGTCTGAACCTGGTCTCTTACATAACGATCCACACATTACAAATCTTGAATCCACCTGTTAGATCCAGCTGTTAGCTAGCAGCTAGTTAGCCACAGGCTAACACACACACACACACACACACATCTGGCTCCGTTCTGACCCTCTCCCTGCCCTCCCCGCTGCCCTCCCCCCTGCCCTCCCCCCTGCCCTCCCTCCCCCGCAGGTCTACAGGTAGTATTGAAGTCCATCATGAAGGCCATGATCCCGCTGCTCCAGATCGGCCTGCTCCTGTTCGTGGCCATCCTCATGTTCGCCATCATCGGATTAGAATTCTACATGGGAAAGTTTCATACCACCTGCTTCGACGACGTCACACGTGAGTCTCTCTCTGGTCTCTCTCTGGTCTCTCTCTCTGGGCTCGCTTTGGTCCCTCTCTGGTCTCTCTCTGGTCTCTCTCTCTTCTCTCTCTGGTCTCTCTCTGGTCTCTCTCTGGTCTCTCTGGTCTCGCTCTGGTCTCTCTCTCTCTGGTCTCTCTGGTCTCTCTCTCTGGTCTCTCTCTGGTCTCTCTCTGGTTTCTCTGGTCTCTCTCTGGTCTCTCTCTGGTCTCTCTCTCTTCTCTCTCTGGTCTCTCTCTGGTCTCTCTCTGGTCTCTCTGGTCTCGCTCTGGTCTCTCTCTCTCTGGTCTCTCTGGTCTCTCTCTCTGGTCTCTCTCTGGTTTCTCTGGTCTCTCTCTGGTCTCTCTCTCTGGTCTCTCTCTGGTCTCTCTCTGGTCTCTCTCTGGTCTCTCTCTGGTCTCTCTGGTCTCTCTCTGGTCTCTCTCTCTGGTCTCTCTCTGGTCTCTCTGGTCTCTCTGGTCTCTCTGGTCTCTCTCTGGTCTCTCTGGTCTCTCTCTGGTCTCTCTCTCTGGTCTCTCTCTGGTCTCTCTCTGGTCTCTCTCTGGTCTCTCTGGTCTCTCTCTGGTCTCTCTCTGGTCTCTCTGGTCTCTCTGGTCTCTCTCTGGTCTCTCTCTGGTCTCTCTCTGGTCTCTCTCTCTGGTCTCTCTCTGGTCTCGCTCTCTGGTCTCTCTCTGGTCTCTCTCTCTCTCTGGTCTCTCTCTGGTCTCTCTCTGGTCTCTCTCTGGTCTCTCTCTGGTCTCTCTCTGGTCTCTCTCTGGTCTCTCTGGTCTCTCTTGGTCTCTCTCTGGTCTCTCTGGTCTCTCTGGTCTCTCTCTGGTCTCTCTCTGGTCTCTCTCTGGTCTCTCTCTCTGGTCTCTCTCTGGTCTCGCTCTCTCTGGTCTCTCTCTGGTCTCTCTCTCTCTCTGGTCTCTCTCTGGTCTCTCTCTGGTCTCTCTCTAACCCCTCCCTCTCTCTGGTCTCTCTCTGGTCTCTCTCTGGTCTCTCTCTGGTCTCTCTCTGGTCTCTCTCTTGGTCTCTCTCTGGTCTCTCTCTGGTCTCTCTGGTCTCTCTGGTCTCTCTCTGGTCTCTCTGGTCTCTCTGGTCTCTCTCTGGTCTCTCTCTCTCTGGTCTCTCTCTGGTCTCTCTCTGGTCTCTCTCTCTGGTCTCTCTCTCTCTCTTCTCTCTCTGGTCTCTCTCTGGTCTCTCTCTGGTCTCTCTCTGGTCCCTCTCTCTGGTCTCTCTCTGGTCTCTCTCTGGTCTCTCTCTGGTCTCTCTCTGGTCTCTCTCTGGTCTCTCTCTGGTCTCTCTCTGGTCTCTCTCTTGTCTCATTTGATAACATATAACCAAAGACTGTCAGACTTACTCCTTCTCCCTCTCCTCCCCCCTCTCCTCCCTCTCCTCCCTCTCCCCCCCTCTCCTCCCTCTCCCCCCCTCTCCTCCCTCTCTCCCCTCTCTCCCCCCTCCTCCCTCCTCCCTCTCACAGACGAAGTGGTAGATGAGCGCCCCTGTGGCACAGAGCTGCCCTCTCGCCTCTGTCCTAACGGGACGTCCTGCAGAGGAGGTTGGCTCGGTCCAAACTACGGCATCACACAGTTCGACAACATCCTGTTCGCGGTCCTCACTGTGTTCCAGTGCATTACTATGGAGGGCTGGACCGACATGCTGTACTATGTGAGTCCAGGACACCATGTGACAGCCAGAACTATATGGACATTTCACCCAGAACCATGTAGACCTATGACCCAGAACCATATGGACCTATGACCCAGAACCATGTAGACCTATGACCAAGAACCATGTAGACCTATGACCCAGAACCATATGGACCTATGACCCAGAACCATATGGACCTATGACCCAGAACCATATGTACATGTGACCCTGAGCCATATGGACATTTACTCCTCACCCCCTTTTGTTCAATAACTAAATCAAACATTTTGTTAAGAAGTGCAGGAAACAATTCACAGTGAAATCAATGGGATCATATTAGAAGTCTAGCAGGACGAGTCACTGCAGCAGAGGTGGAGTAGCCTCTGGGTGGAGCAGGATGAGTCACTGCAGCAGAGGTGGAGTAGCCTCTGAGTGGATCAGGACAGGTCACTGCAGCAGAGGTGGAGTAGCCTCTGAGTGGAGCAGGACGAGTCACTGCAGCAGAGGTGGAGTAGCCTCTGAGTGGAGCAGGACAGGTTACAACAGCAGAGGTGGAGTAGCCTCTGGGTGGAGCAGGATGAGTCACTGCAGCAGAGGTGGAGTAGCCTCTGAGTGGATCAGGACAGGTCACTGCAGCAGAGGTGGAGTAGCCTCTGAGTGGAGCAGGACGAGTCACTGCAGCAGAGGTGGAGTAGCCTCTGAGTGGATCAGGACAGGTCACTGCAGCAGAGGTGGAGTAGCCTCTGAGTGGAGCAGGACGAGTCACTGCAGCAGAGGTGGAGTAGCCTCTGAGTGGAGCAGGACAGGTTACAACAGCAGAGGTGGAGTAGCCTCTGGGTGGAGCAGGACGAGTCACTGCTGCAGAGGGGGAGTAGCCTCTGGGTGGAGCAGGACGAGTCACTGCTGCAGAGGGGGAGTAGCCTCTGGGTGGAGCAGGACGAGTCACTGCAGCAGAGGTGGAGTAGTCTCTGGGTGGAGCAGGACAGGTCACAGCAGCAGAGGTGGAGTAGCCTCTGAGTGGAGCAGGACAGGTCACTGCAGCAGAGGTGGAGTAGCCTCTGGGTGGAGCAGGACGGGTCACAGCAGCAGAGGTGGAGTAGCCTCTGGGTGGAGCAGGACGGGTCACAGCAGCAGAGGTGGAGTAGCCTCTGGGTGGAGCAGGACAGGTCACAGCAGCAGAGGTGGAGTAGCCTCTGAGTGGAGCAGGACAGGTCACTGCAGCAGAGGTGGAGTAGCCTCTGGGTGGAGCAGGACAGGTCACAGCAGCAGAGGTGGAGTAGCCTCTGGGTGGAGCAGGACAGGTCACAGCAGCAGAGGTGGAGTAGCCTCTGGGTGGAGCAGGACGAGTCACTGCTGCAGAGGGGGAGTAGCCTCTGGGTGGAGCAGGACGAGTCACTGCAGCAGAGGTGGAGTAGCCTCTGGGTGGAGCAGGACGAGTCACTGCAGCAGAGGTGGAGTAGCCTCTAGGTGGAGCAGGACGAGTCACTGCAGCAGAGGGGGAGTATCCTCTGGGTGGAGCAGGACGAGTCACTGCAGCAGAGGTGGAGTAGCCTCTGGGTGGAGCAGGACGAGTCACTGCAGCAGAGGTGGAGTAGCCTCTGGGTGGAGCAGGACGAGTCACTGCAGCAGAGGTGGAGTAGCCTCTGGGTGGAGCAGGACGAGTCACTGCAGCAGAGGTGGAGTAGCCTCTGGGTGGAGCAGGACGAGTCACTGCAGCAGAGGTGGAGTAGCCTCTGGGTGGAGCAGGACGAGTCACTGCAGCAGAGGGGGAGTATCCTCTGGGTGGAGCAGGACGAGTCACTGCAGCAGAGGTGGAGTAGCCTCTGGGTGGAGCAGGACGAGTCACTGCAGCAGAGGTGGAGTAGCCTCTGGGTGGAGCAGGACAGGTCACAGCAGCAGAGGTGGAGTAGCCTCTGGGTGGAGCAGGATGAGTCACTGCAGCAGAGGTGGAGTAGCCTCTGGGTGGAGCAGGATGAGTCACTGCAGCAGAGGTGGAGTAGCCTCTGAGTGGAGCAGGACAGGTCACTGCAGCAGAGGTGGAGTAGCCTCTGGGTGGAGCAGGACGGGTCACAGCAGCAGAGGTGGAGTAGTCTCTGGGTGGAGCAGGACAGGTCACTGCAGCAGAGGTGGAGTAGCCTCTGGGTGGAGCAGGACAGGTCACAGCAGCAAAGGTGGAGTAGCCTCTGGGTGGAGCAGGACAGGTCACTGCAGCAGAGGTGGAGTAGCCTCTGGGTGGAGCAAGACAGGTCACTGCAGCAGAGATGGAATAGACTCTGGGTGGTGCAGGACAGGTCACAACAGCAGAGGTGGAGTAGCCTCTGGGTGGAGCAGGACAGGTCACAGCAGCAGAGGTGGAGTAGCCTCTGGGTGGAGCAGGACAGGTCACAACAGCAGAGGTGGAGTAGCCTCTGGGTGGAGCAGGACAGGTCACAGCAGCACAGATGGAGTAGCCTCTGGGTGGAGCAGGACAGGTCACAACAGCAGAGGTGGAGTAGCCTCTGGGTGAAGCAGGACAGGTCACAACAGCAGAGGTGGCGTAGCCTCTGGGTGGAGCAGGACAGGTCACAACAGCAGAGGTGGAGTAGCCTCTGGGTGGAGCAGGACGAGTCACTGCTGCAGAGGGGGAGTAGCCTCTGGGTGGAGCAGGACGAGTCACTGCAGCAGAGGTGGAGTAGTCTCTGGGTGGAGCAGGACAGGTCACTGCAGCAGAGGTGGAGTAGCCTCTGGGTGGAGCAGGACAGGTCACAGCAGCAAAGGTGGAGTAGCCTCTGGGTGGAGCAGGACAGGTCACTGCAGCAGAGGTGGAGTAGCCTCTGGGTGGAGCAAGACAGGTCACTGCAGCAGAGATGGAATAGACTCTGGGTGGTGCAGGACAGGTCACAGCAGCAGAGGTGGAGTAGCCTCTGGGTGGAGCAGGACAGGTCACAGCAGCAGAGGTGGAGTAGCCTCTGGGTGGAGCAGGACAGGTCACAACAGCAGAGGTGGAGTAGCCTCTGGGTGGAGCAGGACAGGTCACAGCAGCACAGGTGGAGTAGCCTCTGGGTGGAGCAGGACAGGTCACAACAGCAGAGGTGGAGTAGCCTCTGGGTGGAGCAGGACAGGTCACAACAGCAGAGGTGGAGTAGCCTCTGGGTGGAGCAGGACAGGTCACAACAGCAGAGGTGGAGTAGCCTCTGGGTGGAGCAGGACAGGTCACAACAGCAGAGGTGGAGTAGCCTCTGGGTGGAGCAGGACAGGTCACAACAGCAGAGGTGGAGTAGCCTCTGGGTGGAGCAGGACAGGTCACAACAGCAGAGGTGGAGTAGCCTCTGGGTGGAGCAGGACGGGTCACAGCAGCAGAGGTGGAGTAGTCTCTGGGTGGAGCAGGACAGGTCACAACAGCAGAGGTGGAGTAGCCTCTGGGTGGAGCAGGACAGGTCACAACAGCAGAGGTGGAGTAGTCTCTGGGTGGAGCAGGACAGGTCACAACAGCAGAGGTGGAGTAGCCTCTGGGTGGAGCAGGACAGGTCACAGCAGCACAGGTGGAGTAGCCTCTGGGTGGAGCAGGACAGGTCACAACAGCAGAGGTGGAGTAGCCTCTGGGTGGAGCAGGACAGGTCACAGCAGCAGAGGTGGAGTAGCCTCTGGGTGGAGCAGGACAGGTCACAACAGCAGAGGTGGAGTAGCTGCTTGGTTCGGACCATTTTCTCTGCTCTAGTCCAAAGTAAAATGCTTCATTAGCTTTTTTCAAAAAGTTAGCATTCCTCCGTCCTGCTCTGGTCTGGACCAGTGTAAGACCATGAATCCTCTCTGCTCTGGTCTGGACCAGTGTAAAACCATGAATCCTCTCTGCTCTGGTCTGGACCAGTGTAAAACCATGAATCCTCTCTGCTCTGGTCTGGACCAGTGTAAAACCATGAATCCTCTCTGCTCTGGTCTGGACCAGTGTAAAACCATGAATCCTCTCTGCTCTGGTCTGGACCAGTGTAAAACCATGAATCCTCTCTGCTCTGGTCTGGACCAGTGTAAAACCATGAATCCTCTCTGCTCTGGTCTGGACCAGTGTAAAAACCATGAATCCTCTCTGCTCTGGTCTGGACCAGTGTAAAACCATGAATCCTCTCTGCTCTGGTCTGGACCAGTGTAAAACCATGAATCCTCTCTGCTCTGGTCTGGACCAGTGTAAAACCATGAATCCTCTCTGCTCTGGTCTGGACCTGAAAAGGAGACTGAACTGAACAATCCAAGTCCAGATGAGATTCATATAAAAACCTGGGACCTTCACCAAAGAAAAGTGAAAAGCCTTTAAACGTCTGGAGGACTATCATTATTTGTTTTCAGAAAGGTTGGCCACAGAAGTCTGTGATTGTGTCAGAGCAGGTGGAGTCACATCTGCCGTGGGGCAGATTATGAAGGAGATTACATCATCACTCACTGTGTCAGTAAAACCGGGTACGTTTTCTTTCTGCTGATCCAGACTTTCTTCTGAGCGTTCATCCTGATCGCTGCGACCATTTCTCAGGTTTTTTGCTGTTCTTTTCCGAATGAATTCAAACCTTTATCAGGCCCCAGCCGTAAACCAACCACACTATAAACAACGTCACTCAACAATCCTCCAATAGAATCATCTCTTTTGTTTTCTTTATTTATTTACTGTATATATTTCTATATCTGCAGATTGTGGAGTCAGAGCGTGTGTCTGAAGGCCAGAGGAGGCCAGTTAGTGGGAAGTTTCTGCTTTTCCACTGCTGGTTTGATTGGCATGGGTTGGCATGGGTTGGCAGGGAAGATGGCAGAGCTGTGTGATTGGCTGAGAGTGAAGGGGGCCAGCTCACCCCTCTGTGAGCCAATCAGGTCGGTCCTCAGTCCGGGTTTGGGCTCAGCTCCTGGACCTGAGAGAGCTGGTTCCCTCCACTGCCTCTGAGTAAAGTCTTCATCCATCACAACAGGGTAAAAATAGACCTGACCAGAATAGAAAAGATACAGAGAGGGGAGGAAGGGGGAGGGAGGGGGAGGGAGGGGGAGGAAGGGGGGAGGGAGGGGGAGGGAGGGGGAGGAAGGGGGAGGAAGGGGGAGGGAGGGGGAGGGAGGGGGAGGGAGGGGAAGGGAGGGGGAGGACGGAGGCACACACCAGGACGAGACCATAGAGAGACACACGAGAGAGACACACGAGAGAGAGAGAGACCCGAGAGAGACACCCGAGAGAGACACCCGAGAGAGAGACCCGAGAGAGACACCCGAGAGAGACACCGAGAGAGAGACCCGAGAGAGACACCCGAGAGAGACACCCGAGAGAGAGACCCGAGAGAGACACCCGAGAGAGACACCCGAGAGAGAGACCCGAGAGAGACACCCGAGAGAGAGACCCGAGAGAGAGACCAGAGAGAGACACCCGAGAGAGAGACCCGAGAGAGACACCCGAGAGAGAGACCCGAGAGAGAGACCAGAGAGAGACACCCGAGAGAGAGACCCGAGAGAGACACCCGAGAGAGAGACCCGAGAGAGACACCCGAGAGAGAGACCAGAGAGAGACACCCGAGAGAGACACCCGAGAGAGAGACCCGAGAGAGACACCCGAGAGAGAGACCCGAGAGAGACACCCGAGAGAGAGACCCGAGAGAGACACCCGAGAGAGAGACCAGAGAGAGACACCCGAGAGAGACACCCGAGAGAGAGACCCGAGAGAGACACCCGAGAGAGAGACCCGAGAGAGAGACCCGAGAGAGACACCCGAGAGAGAGACCAGAGAGAGAGACCCGAGAGAGACACCCGAGAGAGAGACCAGAGAGAGACACCCGAGAGAGAGACCCGAGAGAGACACCCGAGAGAGAGAGACCCGAGAGAGAGACCCAAGAGAGAGAGACCTAACCCTAACCCTAACCCAAGAGAGAGAGACCAGAGAGAGACACACGAGAGCGAGAGACCCGAGAGAGACCAGAGAAAGGGAGTCCTGAGAAAAACCAGAAAGAGGCAGACTATATAGAGAGAGAGAGACTATGTAGAGAGAGTAGAGAGAGATGACTAAAAAAGAGAGAGTAGAGAGAATAAATATATATACTGTATATATAGAGAGAGAAAGTAGAGAGAGAGAGACCCAGGGGAGAAACCAGAGAGAGTACAGAGAGGCCTGAGAGAGACCAGAGATAGAGAGAGTAGAGTGAGAGGCCAGAGAGAGAGGCCCGCTCTCTCAAATCTTAAAGTCAGGTACCCCAGCTTTAAATGTGTGTTCTGTGCAGAGTAACGACGTCGAGGGCAGTGCCTGGAACTGGATGTACTACATTCCCCTCATCATCATCGGCTCCTTCTTCATGTTGAACCTGGTGCTGGGCGTGCTGTCCGGGTGAGTGCTCGGAGACCTCATACCGGACCAAGACCTCTGACTATAGACCACATACCGGACCAAGACCTCCGACTATAGACCACATACCGGACCAAGACCTCTGACTATAGACCACATACCGGACCAAGACCTCTGACTATAGACCACATACCGGACCAAGACCTCTGAATGTAGCCTCAGTCCTGGATCTACAGCCTCAGTCCTGGGTCTACAGTCTCAGTCCTGGGTCTACAGTCTCAGTCCTGGGTCTACAGTCTCAGTCCTGGGTCTACAGTCTCAGTCCTGGGTCTACAACCTCAGTCCTGGGTCTACAGCCTCAGTCCTGGGTCTACAGCCTCAGTCCTGGGTCTACAGCCTCAGTCCTGGGTCTACAGTCTCAGTCCTGGGTCTACAGCCTCAGTCCTGGGTCTACAGTCTCAGTCCTGGTTCTACAGCCTCAGTCCTGGGTCTACAGCCTCAGTCCTGGGTCTACAGCCTCAGTCCTGGGTCTACAGCCTCAGTCCTGGGTCTACAGCCTCAGTCCTGGGTCTACAGCCTCAGTCCTGGATCTACAGCCTCAGTCCTGGGTCTACAGCCTCAGTCCTGGGTCTACGGTCTCAGTCCTGGGTCTACAGCCTGAGTCCCGGGTCTACGGTTGGATGTTAAAGTTCTTAGTTCTGTCTCTAACCCTCTGGTCTGGGTCCACAGGGAGTTTGCCAAAGAGAGGGAGCGTGTGGAGAATCGTAGTGAGTTCCTGAAGCTGCGCCGTCAGCAGCAGATCGAGCGCGAGCTCAACGGTTACCTGGAGTGGATCTGTAAAGCAGGTTAGTGTCTGCGGAAATTCCTTGGTAACCATGGCTTACAGCTGCACTCTGGCCAATCACTGTCAGTTAGAACACTTTAGTACCAGCTCAGCCTGGATAGAACCAGGACCAAGAGGGACTAAAGAAGGACCTGGGACTGGTTACACAGGACCAGAGGAAACACTCCCAATCAGAGTAGAGTAGGGTAGGGTAGGGTAGAGTAGGGTAGAGTAGAGTAGGGTAGAGTAGGGTAGAGTAGAGCAGGGTAGGGTAGAGTAGGGTAAGGTAGAGTAGGGTAGAGTAGAGTAGAGTAGGGTAGAGTAGAGTAGAGTAGAGTAGAGTAGAGTAGAGTAGGGTTAAGTAGAGTAGAGTTAAGTGGAGTAGAGTAGAGTTAAGTAGAGTAGAGTAGAGTAGAGTAGAGTAGAGTAATATTCAGGATGCCTCTTTACTTCTGGTCTGCACCAGATCAACCCTGATTGGCCGGTGATAAAACGTATTGCTTATATCTCTTGGATCTGATGCTAACAGGACAATAGCGTATCATGCTAACAGCTAATCATGCTACCAGCTTATCGAGTTAATAGAATCCAGATTGTTCTAATTGATTCCCCGCCGCTCGAGGAGGAGCGTTCAGAGCGAACAGATGGCGATGGCCGAAAGGTGAAGGAACTAATTAAAATGTTTTACTCCAACGACTCGTGCTAGCAGTTTATATGTTTTTATATTTCTCCATTCTAATATTACAGCGACGACTACAACTTTATTTATAATACAACACAATACAATTTATTCTTGTTTTCCCTAAATCACAACAGCATCATCTGAGACTTCACAAAACCACTGACATCACCATGAGGCTGTAGACCGAGGACTGAGACTGTAGACCCAGGACTGAGGCTGTAGACCCAGGACTGAGGCTGTAGACCCAGGACTGAGGCTGTAGACCCAGGACTGAGGCTGTAGACCCAGGACTGAGGCTGTAGACCCAGGACTGAGGCTGTAGACCGAGGACTGAGACTGTAGACCCAGGACTGAGGCTGTAGACCCAGGACTGAGGCTGTAGACCCAGGACTAAGGCTGTAGACCCAGGACTGAGACTGTAGACCCAGGACTGAGGCTGTAGATCCAGGACTGAGGCTGTAGACCCAGGACTGAGGGTGTAGACCCAGGACTGAGGCTGTAGACCCAGGACTGAGACTGTAGACCCAGGACTGAGACTGTAGACCCAGGACTGAGGCTGTAGACCCAGGACTGAGGCTGTAGACCCAGGACTGAGACTGTAGACCCAGGACTGAGGCTGTAGACCCAGGACTGAGACTGTAGACCCAGGACTGAGGCTGTAGACCCAGGACTGAGGCTGTAGACCCAGGACTGAGGCTGTAGTTTCAGGACTGAGGCTGTAGACCCAGGACTGAGACTGTAGACCCAGGACTGAGACTGTAGACCCAGGACTGAGGCTGTAGACCCAGGACCAAGGCTGTAGACCCAGGACTGAGACTGTAGATCCAGAACTGAGGCTGTAGACCCAGGACAGAGGCTGTAGATCCAGGACTGAGGCTGTAGACCCAGGACTGAGGCTGTAGATCCAGGACTGAGACTGTAGACCCAGGACTGAGACTGTAGACCCAGGACTGAGACTGTAGACCCAGGACTGAGGCTGTAGACCCAGGACTGAGGCTGTAGACCCAGGACTGAGACTGTAGACCCAGGACTGAGACTGTAGACCCAGGACTGAGGCTGTAGACCAAGGACTGAGGCTGTAGACCCAGGACTGAGACTGTAGACCCAGGACTGAGACTGTAGACCCAGGACTGAGGCTGTAGACCCAGGACTGAGGCTGTAGACCCAGGACTGAGACTGTAGACCCAGGACTGAGGCTGTAGACGCAGGACTGAGGCTGTAGACCCAGGACTGAGACTGTAGACCCAGGACTGAGGCTGTAGATCCAAAACTGAGGCTGTAGACCCAGGACTGAGGCTGTAGATCCAAGACTGAGGCTGTAGATTCAGGACTGAGCCGGCTGTAGACCCAGGACTGAGACTGTAGACCCAGGACTGAGACTGTAGACCCAGGACTGAGGCTGTAGACCCAGGACTGAGGCTGTAGACCCAGGACTGAGACTGTAGACCCAGGACTGAGGCTGTAGACCCAGGACTGAGGCTGTAGACCCAGGACTGAGACTGTAGACCCAGGACTGAGGCTGTAGACCCAGGACTGAAGCTGTAGACCCAGGACTGAGGCTGTAGACCCAGGACTGAGGCTGTAGATCCAGGACTGAGGCTGTAGACCCAGGACTGAGGCTGTAGACCCACGACTGAGGCTGTAGACCCAGGACTGAAGTTGTAGATCCAGGACTGAGACTGTAGACCCAGGACTGAGACTGTAGACCCAGGACTGAGACTGTAGACCCAGGACTGAGACTGTAGACCCAGGACTGAGGCTGTAGACCCAGGACTGAGACTGTAGACCCAGGACTGAGGCTGTAGACCCAGGACTGAGACTGTAGACCCAGGACTGAGACTGTAGACCCAGGACTGAGGCTGTAGACCCAGGACTGAGGCTGTAGACCCAGGACTGAGACTGTTGACCCAGGACTGAGACTGTAGACCCAGGACTGAGACTGTAGACCCAGGACTGAGGCTGTAGATCCAAAACTGAGGCTGTAGACCCAGGACTGAGACTGTTGACCCAGGACTGAGGCTGTAGACCCAGGACTGAGGCTGTAGACCCAGGACTGAGACTGTTGACCCAGGACTGAGACTGTAGACCCAGGACTGAGACTGTAGACCCAGGACTGAGGCTGTAGATCCAAGACTGAGGCTGTAGATTCAGGACTGAGCCGGCTGTAGACCCAGGACTGAGACTGTAGACCCAGGACTGAGACTGTAGACCCAGGACTGAGGCTGTAGACCCAGGACTGAGGCTGTAGACCCAGGACTGAGACTGTAGACCCAGGACTGAGGCTGTAGACCCAGGACTGAGGCTGTAGACCCAGGACTGAGACTGTAGACCCAGGACTGAGGCTGTAGACCCAGGACTGAAGCTGTAGACCCAGGACTGAGGCTGTAGACCCAGGACTGAGACTGTAGATCCAGGACTGAGGCTGTAGACCCAGGACTGAGGCTGTAGACCCAGGACTGAGGCTGTAGACCCAGGACTGAAGTTGTAGATCCAGGACTGAGACTGTAGATCCAGGACTGAGGCGTAGACCCAGGACTGAGGCTGTAGACCCAGGACTGAGGCTGTAGACCCAGGACTGAGACTGTAGACCCAGGACTGAGGCTGTACTGTAGATCCAGGACTGAGACTGTAGACCCAGGACTGAGGCTGTAGATCCAGGACTGAGACTGTAGACCCAGGACTGAGGCTGTAGATCCAGGACTGAGGCTGTAGATCCAGGATTGAGGCTGTAGACCCAGGACTGAGGCTGTAGATCCAGGACTGAGGCTGTAGATCCAGGATTGAGGCTGTAGACCCAGGACTGAGGCTGCAGACCCAGGACTGAGGCTGCAGACCCCGCCCACACAGGGAGACAGGTGCAGTCCATGAGTCTGGACTCTTTTCCTGTTTCTAATCCTTTTGTTTGACTTTAATACCGTTAATGCACGTGTTTTGCCTCTTGATCATATTTTACCGCCGTAGCAACGACCGCAGTCATTTCTCTAATTGACTAATCCAGCATATGTAATACTTTAATGCTCGTAAAAATGATAATAATTCTCCCACAATGCACCTCTCCCAGACTTCCTCTTTGGCTTGTCAGCTCGCGTCATGCTTCCAATTGTTTTTACAGATTCCTTCTTTGTGCCAGAGACGTCAGTAATGATCCAGAAGTGCTTCACAGACGGGTCCGGGGTGAGTGTCAGTGCGCGAGGGCGGGTTCTGCGGAGGATCAATGAGTCTGAGAAAGAAAACAAATCTCTCTCTGCACTTTCTGAACAATAATTATGGGACGTGTGGAGCCGTTTGCCTCCAGGCTGCGTCCACTGTAGCCAGAGGATAAATCAATAATACAGAAGTCGGTAATTGCAACAAGAATAAAGTAGTAAAATCCATCTCCGCGAATGTTTACCTAATTAGATTTGTTAAAAGGCAAATTACCGGGAGGCTGAGATGGCCTGAAACGCGGGGAAGAGGATCAAAGGTACAGAAGGGGGGAGCAAAGGGTCAAAGCAAAGGGTGAGATATTGGGGTAACTTTTGCTGTAGATCCAGGACTGAGGCTGTAGACCCAGGCCTGAGGCTGTAGACCCAGGACTGAGGCTGTAGATCCAGGACTGAGGCTGTAGACCCAGGACTGAGACTGTAGACCCAGGCCTGAGGCTGTAGACCTAGGACTGAGGCTGTAGATCGAGGACTGAGGCTGTAGACCCAGGACTGAGGCTGTAGATCCAGGATTGAGGCTGTAGATCCAGGACTGAGGCTGTAGACCCAGGACTGAGGCTGTAGATCCAGGACTGAGGCTGTAGATTCAGGACTGAGGCTGTAGATCCAGAACTGATGCTGTAGATCGAGGACTGAGGCAGTAGATCCAGGACTGAGGCTGTAGATTCAGGACTGAGGCTGTAGACCCAGGACTGAGGCTGTAGATCCAGGACTGAGGCTGTAGATTCAGGACTGAGGCTGTAGATCCAGAACTGATGCTGTAGATCGAGGACTGAGGCAGTAGACCCAGGACTGAGGCTGTAGACCCAGGCCTGAGGCTGTAGACCCAGGACTGAGGCTGTAGATACAGAACTGATGCTGTAGATTGAGGACTGAGGCTGTAGACCCAGGACTGAGGCTGTAGATTCAGGACTGAGGCTGTAGATCCAGGACTGAGGCTGTAGATCCAGGACTGATGCTGTAGATCCAGGACTGAGGCTGTAGAATCAGGACTGAGGCTGTAGATCCAGGACTGAGGCTGTAGATCCAGGACTGAGGCTGAAGATCCAGGACTGAGGCTGTGGATTCAGGACTGAGGCTGTAGATCCTGGACTGAGGCTGTAGACCCAGGCCTGAGGCTGTAGACCCAGGACTGAGGCTGTAGATCCAGGACTGAGGCTGTAGATCCAGGACTGAGGCTGTAGATCCAGAACTGAGGCTGTAGACCCAGGACTGAAGGAGCTCCCAGGCTAATGCTAACTGCTGACAGTACACCCCAGTCCCCCCCCCTCTCCATCACACCGGACCAGGTGAGGAGTCAGCTCCAGCGCCTGAAGCTGAGGAAATCCGCAGGACCGGACGGGATCAGTCCCAGGCTGCTGAGGACCTGTGCAGACCAGCTCTCTGGGGTCCTCAGCTACATGTACAACCTGAGCCTCAGCCTGGAGAAGGTCCCTGTCCTGTGGAAGACCTCCCGGTTCCTAAAACAGCACACGCCAAGGAACCGGCTCACTACAGACCAGTCGCACTGACCTCCCACCTGATGAAGACCATGGAGCGGCTCATCCTCACCCATCTCCGCTCCGTGGTCAGCCCCACCCTGGACCCACTGCAGTTCGCCTACAGGCCCAACATCGGAGTAGAGGACGCCGTCATCTACTTCCTGCAGCGGACTCTCTCCCACCTGGAGCCTGCAGGGGGCGCTGTGAGGGTCATGTTCTTCGACTTCTCCAGCGCATTCAATACCATCAGGCCGGCACTGCTGCGGGGGAAGATGGAGGACGCGGGAGTGGACAGTAGCCTCACTGCATGGACCATCAACTACCTCTCAGACCGACCACAGTACGTGCGGCTGCGCAGCTGTGAGTCTGAGGTGGTCGTCTGCAGCACTGGGGCCCCTCAGGGCACTGTCCTCTCACCGTTTCTCTTCACCAGCTACACCTCAGACTTCACACACGACACACACAGCTGTCACCTGCAGAAGTTCTCCGACGACTCCACCATCGTGGGCTGTGTGTCTGAGGGGAACGAACTGGAATATGTGTCGGTTATCAAGGACTTTGTCGACTGGTGTGAGTGCAACCACTTGTGCTTGAACACCAGTAAGACCAAGGAGATGGTACCTGTGCTAACACCAGTAAGACCTAGGAGATGGTACCTGTGCTAACACCAGTAAGACCAAGGAGATGGTACCTGTGCTAACACCAGTAAGACCTAGGAGATGGTACCTGTGCTAACACCAGTAAGACCAAGGAGATGGTACCTGTGCTAACACCAGTAAGACCTAGGAGATGGTACCTGTGCTAACACCAGTAAGACCAAGGAGATGGTACCTGTGCTAACACCGGTAAGACCAAGGAGATGGTACCTGTGCTAACACCAGTAAGACCAAGGAGATGGTACCTGTGCTAACACCAGTAAGACCAAGGAGATTGTACCTGTGCTAACACCAGTAAGACCAAGGAGATGGTACCTGTGCTAACACCAGTAAGACCAAGGAGATGGTACCTGTGCTAACACCAGTAAGACCAAGGAGATTGTACCTGTGCTAACACCAGTAAGACCAAGGAGATGGTACCTGTGCTAACACCAGTAAGACCAAGGAGATGGTACCTGTGCTAACACCAGTAAGACCAAGGAGATGATCATCTACTTCAGGAGAAAACCACTTTCCCACACGCTGCTGAACATCCAGGGAGAGGACATTGAGCTGGTGGACAGTGAAGTCAATAATTCCCTTTGACTGACGTGTCCAAAATGAATGCAGAAGTAAGGCAAAGATCTTCAAGTTTAACATCTGTATTTAATTTATCTTTACAATCAGATAACAGAAATTCAACAAGCTCCTAAACTAATCCATGTCCCTCTCTGGCCCTGGTCTGGTCTGGTCTGAGGCTGGTCTTCCTGTTTGCTCTCCTCGTCCTTGGGGGCTGCGGAAAAAGGGATTCACACATTCCAACCTATAGCTTCTTCCTTATAAGGAAGAAGCCCTTCTCCAAACAACTCTTATCTGGCTGGGGGAGGTCTGGTCCGGGCTTGGTCCTTCTCTGAATTCCACTAGATCCAGGCTTAATATTGCACAAAGACATGGTATGCAAACACCTACTGAAAATCATTAGTATACAACATTTTAATTCTACAACATTCCCTCTCTTGGCCGCTTTTAAAAAGGCCACTCTATTCAATAACCCTTCTGGGTGACGGGACTGGGGAGCTCTTCCATCATCGCCTTGGTTCTTGGTTCTGGCTCGTTATCTGTGAAGAATTAATACAGGGAAACCAAACAACACACAACCACATTCGAAACATTCCTTCACAAAACTCTTTGATGACCACTGCTGTGTCATTCTGATTCTTCATCATTAATCAAATTGGTATTATCCTTACAGGAGCTAATCTATTTTAGCAGGTTTCTCTGGGGTCAGTCCCTATACAACGGTATTTTGATTCTCTAATCTATTGCTGACAAATCGACAGCTCTTAAAATTGCTTTCTTCCTCCTCGTCTTCGTCGTCTGTGTGGAAGTGTGTGTGTGTTGGCACAGGGAGCGAGCGCGCTTCAGTCTGACACACAACGTTGTCACATGTTTAGCTCCGCCCACATCAGACACTGTCTCTGTGTGTGTCTGTGTCTGTCTCTGTGTGTGTCTGTGTCTCTGTGTGTGTCTGTGTGTGTCTGTGTCTGTCTCTGTGTGTGTCTGTGTCTCTGTGTGTGTCTGTGTCCATCTGTGTCTGTCCCTGTATCTCTCTGTCCGTCTGTGTCTGTCTCTGTGTCTGTCTGGTGTGTGTGTCCATCTGTGTGTGTCCAAATCTACAGTTGTGCGCACATTTCTCCTCCATCATGAAATGTATAATACTTCCACTGGTCGTTGTGCTGTCAGACTGACCTGTACCTGTGCTCTGCAGAGGGGAGGTCCTCTTAAATACTTTGGATCGATCCGTGTTGTCTCCTCCTCTTCTTCTTCATCCTCTTCTTCATCCTCTTCTTCATCCAGCTCCATGGCCTCAGCTGCAGACTGACAGAAACACAAGAGTTCAGTGACATGTATTTAACCAGGACCGAGACCCTGAGACTCAGAGAGAGAGAGAGACCAGAGAGAGAGAGACCAGAGAGGGAGACCAGAGAGAGAGACCAGAGAGAGAGACCAGAGAGAGAGAGAGAGACCAGAGAGAGAGAGACCAGAGAGGGAGACCAGAGAGAGAGACCAGAGAGAGAGACCAGAGAGAGAGAGACCAGAGAGAGAGAGAGAGAGACCAGAGAGAGAGACCAGAGAGAGAGACCAGAGAGAGAGACCAGAGAGGGAGACCAGAGAGGGAGACCAGAGAGAGAGACCAGAGAGAGAGACCAGAGAGAGAGACCAGAGAGAGAGACCAGAGAGAGAGACCAGAGAGAGAGAGCTATATTGTTCTACATTCAGGTGACGCACTTGTGAGCTGGAGATGGGAGGTCCTCGCAGATATTTGGGATCAATCTGTTTTGGCTTCATCCTCTTCTCCTCTTCCTCCACCTCCACGGCCTCAGCTCCAGGCGCACCTCGGCCTCTGCCTGTTTTCTGATCAACGAGAACTGGTTCAATTCTGCATCATGTATATAATACTGGACACAACCAGAGGGAGAGAGAGACCAAAGAGAGACTGGCAAGAGAGAGCGAGATTAGGGAGAAACCAGAGAAAGACTTGGAGAGAGAGAGACCAGTGTTTTTTAATCAAATCTGCATCATGAAACTGAGCCTCCACAGCCGATAAATGAAAGAGCGCTCTACATCCTCCTCTGCTAAGACCATTGACAAGACACAAACCTTGGGTCTTCGCACTGGTTCCTGGGGTCTGGACTCGGGTTTGGGTCTCAGGTCTAAGTCCAGTCCAGACCCGGGGCGGTGCAGGATCCGTCGGAGGAGGTCGTAGTCTGGTTTGTCCTGATACTGCAGCGAGCGCACATGTCGGAGGAAGGAGCACAATTCATCTGAGAAACAAAAGAAAAAGACACACAACTTTAAAGCTGGGGTTTGTAACTTTAAATCCTCGACCAATTAAACTACAGCATGTGATCAAATTCATGTCTTGTTCCTGGTTTGCTTCTATCATTTGTTCTCCTTATTTCTGCCTCTGTCCTTTCTTTAGATCTGTTTTTTCAAAGAGAAAAGCGAAGAAGAGAGGACCACCCTCTCTCAGCCAATCAGCTCTCAGCCCAAAGAGTCAAACAGTGACTCACAGGGATCTGCATGATGTGGTCTGTCTGTTGGATCAAAGTCTTAACAATAACTTATATGTTTTATTTTATTCCTGCTCATAGATATGAAAGTGAGTCTGAAGCTGCAGGAGTGTGTTTTCCTCCAGCAGGTGGCACTGCAGCTGCTCTCACTCTCACAGGACGAACACAGGGGAACAGACTGGATCAGCCTCAAAGGGACAGAGGGAGACTCAGAACCACAGACCTCACCAGGCGGGGAATCGTTCACTGCTTTGAAGACTTTATTTACTATTCTATTTTTTATGTTTTTTTACGTTTTAAGAAAATATTTTTAAAAGATACATTTATTTAATTTGAATTTTATTTATTAAAGTCATTTCTGTGTCTTTCACAGGTTTAGATAAAGACCATGTGACGAGTCTCACACCAGCGTCGTTCAGGAAGTTAAATAAAACAGTTTTTATCAATATTACTTTAGTAACAGTTTGGTCCAGACCTGTCCCTGGCTGATCTGAGGTCAGCTGCTTCACAGACTCCGGCAGGGCCTGCAGGAACCTGAGGAAACACGAGAGCGCTTTAACCAGAGGATGTTTGTGTGGGTCTGGAGCTGGTCCCAGGGTCCAGGCCCCGGGGTCTGGGGTCTGGGGTCTGGGGTCTGGGGTCTGGGGTCCATTCAAATGGAACTTTAACAAATATTTTTACTCTGAACAATAGGACACTTTGTTGTGCTGTTGTTGTCCCAGTCCAAAACTTGTTCCTTTCTGGTCTCAGTCCACTCTCTGGTCTCAGTCCACTCTCTGGTCTCAGTCCACTCTCTGGTCTCAGTCCACTCTCTGGTCTCAGTCCACTCTCTGGTCTCAGTCCACTCTCTGGTCTCAGTCCACTCTCTGGTCTCAGTCCACTCTCTGGTCTCAGTCCACTCTCTGGTCTCAGTCCACTCTCTGGTCTCAGTCCACTCTCTGGTCTCAGTCCACTCTCTGGTCTCAGTCCACTCTCTGGTCTCAGTCCTCGCACTGGTCTCAGTCCTCGCACTGGTCTCAGTCCTCGCACTGGTCTCAGTCCTCGCACTGGTCTCAGTCCTCGCACTGGTCTCAGTCCTCGCACTGGTCTCAGTCCTCGCACTGGTCTCAGTCCTCGCACTGGTCTCAGTCCTCGCACTGGTCTCAGTCCACTCTCTGGTCTCAGTCCACTCTCTGGTCTCAGTCCACTCTCTGGTCTCAGTCCAATCTCTGGTCTCAGTCCAATCTCTGGTCTCAGTCCAATCTCTGGTCTCAGTCCAATCTCTGGTCTCAGTCCAATCTCTGGTCTCAGTCCACTCTCTGGTCTCAGTCCTCTCACTGGTCTCAGTCCTCTCACTGGTCTCAGTCCTCTCACTGGTCTCAGTCCTCGCACTGGTCTCAGTCCTCGCACTGGTCTCAGTCCTCGCACTGGTCTCAGTCCTCGCACTGGTCTCAGTCCTCGCACTGGTCTCAGTCCTCTCACTGGTCTCAGTCCTCTCACTGGTCTCAGTCCTCTCACTGGTCTCAGTCCTCGCACTGGTCTCAGTCCTCGCACTGGTCTCAGTCCTCGCACTGGTCTCAGTCCTCGCACTGGTCTCAGTCCTCGCACTGGTCTCAGTCCTCGCACTGGTCTCAGTCCTCGCACTGGTCTCAGTCCTCGCACTGGTCTCAGTCCACTCTCTGGTCTCAGTCCACTCTCTGGTCTCAGTCCACTCTCTGGTCTCAGTCCTCTCTGGTACCTGGTCTTGGCCTCCTGGACTTGCTCTGGTCTCAGTCCTGTCCAGGGCAGATGTCCGCTGAGCCAGTGCAGCAGACAGAAGCCCAGGATCTGGAGGTCACTGCGCCGCGACGGAGCTGAAAGAACAACATCATATGAAGTGGAAATAAATAAAGCTGAGGTCCGTAACTTCCAAACAACAATAGAACTATGTACCGGTAATAAAACACAAACGGTCACTGGTGTTGGTCTCTGTCACCGACCCAAGAGAGACCAGAGAGAGACCAGAGAGAGACCAGAGAGAGACCAGAGAGCGAGAACACAGAGAGAGAGACCAGAGAGACCAGAGAGAGACCAGAGAGAGACCACAGAGAGACCACAGAGACCAGAAAGAGAGACCACAGAGAGAGAGACCAGAGAGAGACCAGAGAGAGACCAGAGAGAGACCAGAGAGAGACCAGAGAGACCAGAGAGAGACCAGAGAGAGACCAGAGAGAGCATGTTTTGTACAGAGATGAACACAGCTTGTTGTGGTCTGACTTACTCTTTCTGCTCGAGCAAACTACATGTGTGATCTATGAAACAAAATGTCAGGTCCCCCAGCTTTAAAACCAGGTGTGGAAGTGTGGACTCAGACCATAAACCGTTACAAACACGTCCACAGACTGCCAGACCGGAGCAGGGGCTGGGGACTGGAGGCTCGATAGTCCCTGGTCTCTGGTCTCTGGTCTCACGGCTCTGGAGAAATTACCTATTGACGTCGACGATGGTCCCCGAGGCCAGAGACGCATCGACCGCTGTGTTCTGTGTCGATAGTAACCAGACGCTATGGTGGAGAGAGAGACCTAAGACCAGAAAGAGACAGGAGAGAGAGACCTAAGACCAGAAAGAGACAGGAGAGAGAGACCTAAGACCAGAAAGAGACAGGAGAGAGAGACCAAAGACCAGAAAGAGACAGAAGAGAGAGACCTAAGACCAGAAAGAGACAGAAGAGAGAGACCTAAGACCAGAAAGAGACAGGAGAGACCTAAGACCAGAAAGAGACAGGAGAGAGAGACCAAAGACCAGAAAGAGACGGAAGAGAGAGACCAGAGACCAGAAAGAGATAGGAGAGAGCCCAAAGACCAGAAAGAGATAGGAGAGAGCCCAAAGACCAGAAAGAGACAGGAGAGAGACCTAAGACCAGAAAGAGACAGGAGAGAGAGAGACCAGAGAGAGATCATAGAGAGGCAGACCAGAAAGAGACAAACTAGAGAGAAACCAAAGACCAGAACGAGACCGATGAGAGAGAGAGACCAGAGAGAGATTCAGTAGGAAAAAGCAGATCCTCGTCAGTGGAAGACTCAGTCCTGACTGTGTATAAACCGTTGCTGGTGTCGTGTTGTAATTATCCACATTGTTCCGGAGTGATGGTCTCCGCGCTCTTCACCTCCCACCCACCGCACGGCGCTATAATTACAGCGTTTAGCTCAGGGTCACGTCGTCATGGAGACCACTCATGTCCCAAACACAAACAAGAGAGTTTTAAAAAGTGTTTTGGCTCAACTTTTTCTGGTTTGGAGCTTTTTGATGAGGGACAAGGTTGGAACGAGGTGATTAAAGCTGAGGTACGTAACTTTAAAACCACAATAATAGAACTCTGTAATTATAACCCATGTCTCAGTTGCTTCTACTAGTTTTCACAACATGTCATTTTTGGTCCACATGGTCTGATCCACATGGTCTGATCCACATGGTCTGATCCACATGGTCTGATCCACATGGTCTTGTGGACCATGTGCAGTCTATGGTGGTCCTCTCTGAATTCCTTTTCTGTTGGAAAAAAACTGATCTAAAAGATGTGAAAGAGGATAGAAACTCTCTCTCTCTCTCTCTGGTGTCTCGCTCTGGTGTCTCGCTCTCTCTGGTCTCTCTCTCTCTCTCTCTCTCTGGTCTCTCTCTCTCTGGTCTCTCTCTCTGGTCTCTCTCTCTCTGGTCTCTCTCTCTCTCTCTCTGGTCTCTCTCTCTCTCTCTCTCTGGTCTCTCTCTCTCTCTCTCTGGTCTCTCTGGTCTCTCTGGTCTCTCTGGTCTCTCTGGTCTCTCTCTCTCTGGTCTCTCTCTCTCTCTGGTCTCTCTGGTCTCTCTCTCTGGTCTCTCTGGTCTCTCTCTCTCTGGTCTCTCTGGTCTCTCTCTCTCTGGTCTCTCTGGTCTCTCTGGTCTCTCTCTCTCTGGTCTCTCTGGTCTCTCTCTCTGGTCTCTCTGGTCTCTCTCTCTCTGGTCTCTCTCTCTCTGGTCTCTCTGGTCTCTCTCTCTGGTCTCTCTCTCTGGTCTCGCTCTCTCTCTCTCTCTGGTCTCTCTCTCTCTCTCTGGTCTCTCTGGTCTCTCTGGTCTCTCTGGTCTCTCTGGTCTCTCTGGTCTCGCTGGTCTCGCTGGTCTCGCTGGTCTCGCTGGTCTCGCTGGTCTCTCTCTCTGGTCTCTCTCTCTGGTCTCTCTCTCTGGTCTCTCTCTCTCTCTCTCTCTCTCTGTCTCTCTCTCTCTGGTCTCTCTGGTCTCTCTGGTCTCTCTGGTCTCTCTGGTCTCTCTGGTTCTCTGGTCTCTCTGGTCTCTCTGGTCTCTCTGGTCTCTCTGGTCTCTGGTCTCTGGTCTCTCTGGTCTCTCTGGTCTCGCTGGTCTCGCTGGTCTCTCTGGTCTCTCTCTCTGGTCTCTCTGGTCTCTCTCTCTGGTCTCTCTGGTCTCTCTGGTCTCTCTGGTCTCTCTGGTCTCTCTCTCTGGTCTCTCTCTCTCTCTGGTCTCTCTGGTCTCTCTGGTCTCTCTCTCTCTGGTCTCTCTCTCTCTGGTCTCTCTGGTCTCTCTGGTCTCTCTGGTCTCTCTGGTCTCTCTGGTCTCTCTGGTCTCTCTGGTCTCTCTCTCTGGTCTCTCTCTCTGGTCTCTCTCTCTGGTCTCTCTCTCTGGTCTCTCTGGTCTCTCTGGTCTCTCTGGTCTCTCTGGTCTCTCTGGTCTCTCTGGTCTCTCTGGTCTCTCTGGTCTCTCTGGTCTCTCTGGTCTCTCTGGTCTCGTGGTCTCGCTGGTCTCGCTGGTCTCGCTGGTCTCGCTGGTCTCGCTGGTCTCGCTGGTCTCGTGGTCTCGCTGGTCTCGCTGGTCTCGCTGGTCTCGCTGGTCTCTCTGGTCTCTCTGGTCTCTCTGGTCTCTCTGGTCTCTCTGGTCTCTCTGGTCTCTCTCTCTCTGGTCTCTCTCTCTCTGGTCTCTCTGGTCTCTCTCTCTCTGGTCTCTCTGGTCTCTCTGGTCTCTCTGGTCTCTCTGGTCTCTCTCTGGTCTCTCTGGTCTCTCTCTCTGGTCTCTCTGGTCTCTCTGGTCTCTCTGGTCTCTCTCTGTCTCTCTCTGGTCTCTCTGGTCTCTCTCTGGTCTCTCTCTGAGTCTCTCTCTGGTCTCTCTCTAGTCTCTCTCTAGTCCCTCTCTAGTCTCTCTCTGGTCTCTCTCTGGTCTCTCTCTGGTCTCTCTGGTCTCTCTCTGTCTCTCTGGTCTCGCTGGTCTCTCTCAGTCTCTCTGGTCTCGCTGTCTCTCTCTGGTCTCGCTCTCGTCTGGTCTCTCTCTAGCTGGTCTCTGGTCTCTCTGGTCTCTCTCATAGTCTCTCTCTCTGTCTTTCTCTGGTCTCCCTGGTCTCTCTGGTAGTCTCTGGTCTCTCTGTGTCTCTCCCCCCCCCCCCCCCCCCCACCCCTCTCTCTGGTTCTCTCTCTGGTCTCTCCCCCCCTCTCTGGTCTCTCTCTCTGGTCTCTCTCTGGTCTCTCTGGTCTCTCTGGTCTCTCTCTGGTCTCTCTCTAGTCTCTCTTGGTCTCTCTAGTCTCTCTCTAGTCTCTCTCTCTCTTTGGTCTCTCTGGTCTGGCTCTCTCTGGTCTCTTCTCTGGTCTCTCTCTGGTCTCTCTCTCTGGTCTCTCTGGTCTCTCTCTGGTCTCTCTCTGGTCTCTCTCTGGTCTCTCCCTGGTCTCTCTCTCTCTGGTCTCTCTCTCTCTGGTCTCTCTCTGGTCTCTCTCTCTGGTCTCTCTGGTCTGGTCTCTCTCTCTGGTCTCTCTCTGGTCTCTCTCTGGTCTCTCTGGTAGTCTCTCTCTAGTCTCTCTTCATGGTCTCTCTCTGGATCTCTCTCTCTGGTCTCTCTCTCTGGTCTCTCTCTGGTCTCTCTCTGGTCTCTCTCTGGTCTCTCTCTGGTCTCTCTCTGGTCTCTCTCTGTCTCTCTCTAGCTCCTCTTTTTAACTCTCTCTGGTTCTCTCTGGTCTCTCTCTGGTGTCTCTCTCTGGTCTCTCTCTCTCTGTCTCTCTCTAGGTCTCTCTCTAGTCTCTCTCTGGTCTCTCTCTCTGGGTCTCTCTCTGGTCTCTCTGGTCTCTCTCTGGTCTCTCTCTGTCTCTCTCTAGTCTCTCTCTGGTCTCTCTGGTCTCTCTCTGATCTCTCTCTCTGGTCTCTCTCTAGTCTCTCTCTGGTCTCTCTGGTCTCTCTCTGGTCTCTCACTGGTCTCTCTCTCTCTCTCTGGTCTCTCTCTGGTCTCTCTCTCTCTCTGGTCTCTCACTGGTCTCTCTCTGGTCTCTCTCTGGTCTCTCTCTCTCTCTGGTCTCTCTCTGGTCTCTCTCTGGTCTCTCTCTGGTCTCTCTCTGGTCTCTCTCTGGTCTCTCTCTGGTCTCTCTCTGGTCTCTCTCTGGTCTCTCTCTGGTCTCTCTCTGGTCTCTCTCTGGTCTCTCTCTGGTCTCTCTCTGGTCTCTCTCTGGTCTCTCTCTGGTCTCTCTCTAGTCTCTCTCTAGTCTCTCTCTGGTCTCTCTCTGATCTCTCTCTGGTCTCTCTCTGGTCTCTCTCTGGTCTCTCTCTAGTCTCTCTCTAGTCTCTCTCTGGTCTCTCTCTGATCTCTCTCTGGTCTCTCTCTGGTCTCTCTGGTCTCTCTCTGGTCTCTCACTGGTCTCTCTCTGGTCTCTCTCTGGTCTCTCTCTGGTCTCTCTCTGGTCTCTCTGGTCTCTCTGGTCTCTCTCTGGTCTCTCTCTGGTCTCTCTCTGGTCTCTCTCTAGTCTCTCTCTAGTCTCTCTCTGGTCTCTCTCTGATCTCTCTCTGGTCTCTCTCTGGTCTCTCTCTGGTCTCTCTCTAGTCTCTCTCTAGTCTCTCTCTGGTCTCTCTCTGATCTCTCTCTGGTCTCTCTCTGGTCTCTCTGGTCTCTCTCTGGTCTCTCACTGGTCTCTCTCTGGTCTCTCTCTGGTCTCTCTCTGGTCTCTCTCTGGTCTCTCTGGTCTCTCTCTGGTCTCTCTCTGGTCTCTCTCTGGTCTCTCTCTGGTCTCTCTCTGGTCTCTCTCTGGTCTCTCTCTGGTCTCTCTCTGGTCTCTCTCTGGTCTCTCCCTGGTCTCTCTCTGGTCTCTCTCTGGTCTCTCTGGTCTCTCTCTGGTCTCTCTCTCTAGTCTCTCTCTGGTCTCTCTCTAGTCTCTCTCTAGTCCCTCTCTAGTCTCTCTCTGGTCTCTCTCTGGTCTCTCTCTGGTCTCTCTCTGGTCTCTCTCTGGTCTCTCTCTGGTCTCTCTCTCTGGTCTCTCTCTGGTCTCTCTCTCTGGTCTCTCTCTGGTCTCTCTCTCTGGTCTCTCTCTAGTCCCTCTCTGGTCTCTCTCTGGTCTCTCTCTAGTCTCTCTCTCTGGTCTTTCTCTGGTCTCTCTCTCTCTGGTCTCTCTCTAGTCTCTCTCTGGTCTCTCTCTGGTCTCTCTCTGGTCTCTCTCTCTGGTCTCTCTCTGGTCTCTCTCTGGTCTCTCTGGTCTCTCTCTGGTCTCTCTCTAGTCTCTCTCTGGTCTCTCTCTAGTCTCTCTCTAGTCCCTCTCTAGTCTCTCTCTGGTCTCTCTCTGGTCTCTCTCTGGTCTCTCTCTGGTCTCTCTCTGGTCTCTCTCTGGTCTCTCTCTCTGGTCTCTCTCTGGTCTCTCTCTCTGGTCTCTCTCTGGTCTCTCTCTCTGGTCTCTCTCTAGTCCCTCTCTGGTCTCTCTCTGGTCTCTCTCTAGTCTCTCTCTCTGGTCTTTCTCTGGTCTCTCTCTCTGGTCTCTCTCTAGTCTCTCTCTGGTCTCTCTCTGGTCTCTCTCTGGTCTCTCTCTGGTCTCTCTCTGGTCTCTCTCTAGTCTCTCTCTGGTCTCTCTCTAGTCTCTCTCTAGTCCCTCTCTAGTCTCTCTCTGGTCTCTCTCTGGTCTCTCTCTGGTCTCTCTCTGGTCTCTCTCTGGTCTCTCTCTGGTCTCTCTCTGGTCTCTCTCTGGTCTCTCTCTGGTCTCTCTCTGGTCTCTCCCTGGTCTCTCTCTGGTCTCTCTCTCTGGTCTCTCTCTGGTCTCTCTCTGGTCTCTCTCTGGTCTCTCTCTGGTCTCTCTCTGGTCTCTCTCTAGTCTCTCTCTAGTCTCTCTCTGGTCTCTCTCTGATCTCTCTCTGGTCTCTCTCTGGTCTCTCTCTGGTCTCTCTCTGGTCTCTCTCTGGTCTCTCTCTGGTCTCTCTCTGGTCTCTCTCTGGTCTCTCTCTAGTCTCTCTTTAGTCTCTCTCTGGTCTCTCTCTGGTCTCTCTCTGGTCTCTCTCTGGTCTCTCTCTGGTCTCTCTGGTCTCTCTCTGGTCTCTCACTGGTCTCTCTCTGGTCTCTCTCTGGTCTCTCTCTGGTCTCTCTCTGGTCTCTCTCTGGTCTCTCTCTGGTCTCTCTCTGGTCTCTCTCTGGTCTCTCTCTGGTCTCTCTCTGGTCTCTCTCTGGTCTCTCTCTGGTCTCTCTCTGGTCTCTCTCTGGTCTCTCTCTGGTCTCTCTCTAGTCTCTCTCTAGTCTCTCTCTAGTCTCTCTCTGATCTCTCTCTGGTCTCTCTCTGGTCTCTCTCTGGTCTCTCTCTAGTCTCTCTCTAGTCTCTCTCTGGTCTCTCTCTGATCTCTCTCTGGTCTCTCTCTGGTCTCTCTGGTCTCTCTCTGGTCTCTCACTGGTCTCTCTCTGGTCTCTCTCTGGTCTCTCTCTGGTCTCTCTCTGGTCTCTCTCTGGTCTCTCTCTGGTCTCTCTCTGGTCTCTCTCTGGTCTCTCTCTGGTCTCTCTCTGGTCTCTCTCTGGTCTCTCTCTGGTCTCTCTCTCTGGTCTCTCCCTGGTCTCTCTCTGGTCTCTCTCTGGTCTCTCTCTGGTCTCTCTCTGGTCTCTCTCTGGTCTCTCTCTGGTCTCTCTCTGGTCTCTCTCTAGTCTCTCTCTGGTCTCTCTCTGGTCTCTCTCTGATCTCTCTCTGGTCTCTCTCTGGTCTCTCTCTGGTCTCTCTCTAGTCTCTCTCTAGTCTCTCTCTGGTCTCTCTCTGATCTCTCTCTGGTCTCTCTCTGGTCTCTCTGGTCTCTCTCTGGTCTCTCACTGGTCTCTCTCTGGTCTCTCTCTGGTCTCTCTCTGGTCTCTCTCTGGTCTCTCTGGTCTCTCTGGTCTCTCTCTGGTCTCTCTCTGGTCTCTCTATGGTCTCTCTCTAGTCTCTCTCTAGTCTCTCTCTGGTCTCTCTCTGATCTCTCTCTGGTCTCTCTCTGGTCTCTCTCTGGTCTCTCTCTAGTCTCTCTCTAGTCTCTCTCTGGTCTCTCTCTGATCTCTCTCTGGTCTCTCTCTGGTCTCTCTGGTCTCTCTCTGGTCTCTCACTGGTCTCTCTCTGGTCTCTCTCTGGTCTCTCTCTGGTCTCTCTCTGGTCTCTCTGGTCTCTCTCTGGTCTCTCTCTGGTCTCTCTCTGGTCTCTCTCTGGTCTCTCTCTGGTCTCTCTCTGGTCTCTCTCTGGTCTCTCTCTGGTCTCTCTCTGGTCTCTCCCTGGTCTCTCTCTGGTCTCTCTCTGGTCTCTCTCTGGTCTCTCTCTGGTCTCTCTCTGGTCTCTCTCTGGTCTCTCTCTGGTCTCTCTCTGGTCTCTCTCTAGTCTCTCTCTAGTCTCTCTCTGGTCTCTCTCTAGTCTCTCTCTGGTCTCTCTCTGGTCTCTCTCTAGTCTCTCTCTAGTCTCTCTCTGGTCTCTCTCTGATCTCTCTCTGGTCTCTCTCTGGTCTCTCTCTGGTCTCTCTGGTCTCTCTGGTCTCTCTCTGGTCTCTCTCTGGTCTCTCTCTGGTCTCTCTCTGGTCTCTCTGGTCTCTCTGGTCTCTCTCTGGTCTCTCTCTGGTCTCTCTCTGGTCTCTCTCTAGTCTCTCTCTGGTGCATGTGGTGTTAAGCTTAGCGTACATCGGACTGGCAACTGATTATATCCGTCGCCTCTGAGTTGCTGCCCCGCACACATCGACAATCTGACGAAAACGGGCAACTCCTGCATCAGACCAGTCTCGGGAATAACAGCGTGTACATCGACAGCAACTGGCCTCAACTACAGTGTGTTTCTGACATAAACTGTTGCGGGCTCGCAACACACGCAATACACACACGTTGTCGGAGCGGCGCATGGAGCGCGCACATCGGAGCAACTGAGGACAACTAGTTGCCGAAAAGTAGAACACGGGCAACTGACTGGAACTGGAGACCGACTGATCATCTCCAGTTGTAAGAGCGCGCACATCGACCGACTTCAACTGATCATCTCCTCTCAGTCGCCAAAAGCCGCCTTGCAACTAGTTGTCCTCAGTTTCTCTGTCGATGTACGCTAGGCTTTAGGGTCTGCATGTTGCATGGTGGTGGTGCCCCCTGCTGGTGGAGCTCGGTGTCTGCAGCTGTGAAGCAGCATGAGCTCAACTCTGACTCTCAGAACCATATGTGATAACATCAGCTACACATTCTGCTACAGGAGGTCTCTCTCTGGTCTCTCTCTCTGGTCTCTCTCTGGTCTCTCTCTGGTCCCTCTCTCTGGTCTCTCTCTGGTCTCTCTCTGGTCTCTCTCTGGTCTCTCTCTGGTCTCTCTCTGGTCCCTCTCTCTGGTCTCTCTCTGGTCCCTCTCTCTGGTCTCTCTCTCTGGTCCCTCTCTCTGGTCTCTCTCTGGTCTCTCTCTGGTCTCTCTCTGGTCTCTCTCTGGTCTCTCTCTCTGGTCTCTCTCTCTGGTCCCTCTCTCTGGTCTCTCTCTCTGGTCCCTCTCTCTGGTCTCTCTCTGGTCTCTCTCTGGTCCCTCTCTCTGGTCTCTCTCTCTGGTCCCTCTCTCTGGTCTCTCTCTGGTCTCTCTCTGCTCTCTCTCTGGTCTCTCTCTGGTCTCTCTCTGGTCTCTCTCTCTGGTCCCTCTCTCTGGTCTCTCTCTGGTCCCTCTCTCTGGTCTCTCTCTGGTCTCTCTCTGGTCTCTCTCTGGTCTCTCTCTGGTCTCTCTCTGGTCCCTCTCTCTGGTCTCTCTCTGGTCTCTCTCTGGTCTCTCTCTGGTCCCTCTCTCTGGTCTCTCTCTGGTCTCTCTCTCTGGTCCCTCTCTCTGGTCTCTCTCTCTGGTCTCTCTCTGGTCTCTCTCTCTGGTCTCTCTCTGGTCTCTCTCTGGTCTCTCTCTGGTCTCTCTCTGGTCCCTCTCTCTGGTCTCTCTCTTCTCTCTCTCTGGTCTCTCCATGGTCTCTCTCTTTCTCTGGTCTCTCTCTCTGGTCTTTCCGGTCACTCTCTTCTCTCTCTCTGGTCTCTCTCTCTGGTCTCTCTCTTCTCTCTCTCTGGTCTCTCCATGGTCTCTCTCTTTCTCTGGTCTCTCTCTGGTCTCTCTCTCTGGTCTCTCTCTGGTCTCTCTCTCTGGTCTCTCTCTGGTCTCTCTCTCTGGTCTCTCTCTCTCTCTCTCTCTCTGGTCTCTCTCTGGTCTCTCTCTCTTCTCTCTATCTGGTCTCTCTCTCTGGTCACTCTCTTCTCTCTCTCTGGTCTCTCCATGGTCTCTCTCTTTCTCTGGTCTCTCTCTGGTCTCTCTCTGGTCTCTCTGGTCTCTCCATGGTCTCTCTCTTTCTCTGGTCTCTCTCTGGTCTCTCTCTGGTCACTCTCTTCTCTCTCTCTGGTCTCTCTCTGGTCACTCTCTTCTCTCTCTCTGGTCTCTCTGGTCTCTCCATGGTCTCTCTCTTTCTCTGGTCTCTCCATGGTCTCTCTCTTTCTCTGGTCTCTCCCTTTAAGCCCAAAATGGTGAGTGTGACACAAATGGTTATGGAGCTAAAGTTTACTTTGACATGGAAGTCAATAGGAGCCAAACTTCACCACGAGCACTTCCCCATGGGCCTCATTGAGCTCGAGGATTAGCATTGTACTAGCCTTTTAGCATTGAGCTAGCGTGTTAGCAGTGAGCTAGCGTGTTAGCAGTGAGCTAGCGTGTTAGCAGTGAGCTAGCGTGTTAGCAGTGAGCTAGCGTGTTAGCAGTGAGCTAGCGTGTTAGCATTGAGCTTGCGTGTTAGCAGTGAGCTAGCGTGTTAGCAGTGAGCTAGCGTGTTAGCAGTGAGCTAGCGTGTTAGCAGTGAGCTAGTGTGTTAGCAGTGAGCTAGCGTGTTAGCAGTGAGCTAGCGTGTTAGCAGTGAGCTAGCGTGTTAGCAGTGAGCTAGCGTGTTAGCAGTGAGCTAGCGTGTTAGCCCCACCCATACAGTGTGTGACCTCACAGCAGGTCCCGGTCTCCAGCCCCATGCGTCGCTCCTCCTCCTCCCTGGTCCACGGACGCTCAGGGAGGAGCGTGAGGCTGGAGGACTACGCTCTGGAGAGGGAGGTGTCTGAGGAGGCGCACCGCGGAGGAGGAGGGAGGAGACACCGTGAACGCAACCATCAAGCCAGCCAGAGGTCACTCACCAGATACACCGACGTGGACACAGGTGCTCTCTCCTCACTCTCTCTCTTTCTCTCCCTTCATTCTCTCTTCTCTCATATTGTCTCTCTCCTCCATCTCTCCTCTCTCTCTCCCCGTCTCCTCTCCCTCTTTCCCTCTCGTTCCTCTCCCTCTCTCGCCTCCCTCCCTCTCTCTTTTCTCCTCCCTCCCTCTCTCCTCCCTCCCTCTCCCTCTCTCTCTCCCCTCTCCCTCTCTCTCTCTCCTCCCTCCCTCTCTCATCTCTCCTCCCTCTCTCTCCTCTCCCTCTCCCTCTCTCTCCTCCCTCCCTCTGTCCTCTCTCCCTCTCTCCTCCATCCCTCTCTCCTCCCTCCCTCTCTCCATCTCTCCTCCCTCCCTCTCTCTCCTCTCCCTCCCTCTCTCCTCCCTCCCTCTCTCCTCTCCCTCTCTCCCTCTCTCCTCCCTCCCTCTCACTCCCTGTCTACTCTCTCTCTCCTCCCTCCCTCTCTCCCTCCCTCTCTCCCTGTCTACTCTCTCTCAATCCTCCCTCCCTCTCTCCCTCTCTCCTCCCTCCCTCTGTCCTCCCTCCCTCTCTCCTCCCTCCCTCTCTCCTCCCTCCCTCTCTCCTCCCTCCCTCTCTCCCTGTCTACTCTCCCTCTCTCTCCTCTCCCTCTCTCCTCCCTCCCTCTCTCTCTGTCTACTCCCTCTCTCCTCCCTCCCTCTCTCCTCCATCCCTCTCTCCTCCCTCCCTCTCTCTCTCTCTCCTCCCTCCCTCCCTCCCCCTCTCCCTCTCTCCCTCTCTCCTCTCTCTCCCTCCCTCCCTCCCTCTCTCCCTCTCTCCCTCTCTCCTCTCTCCCCCCCCTCTCCCTCTCTCCCCTCTCCCTCTCTCCCCCTCTCCCCCCTGGTCTCCCTTGTGTGTATGGATTGAACTGGCTGATTGTCTTCCCAGGCCTGGGCACAGACCTCTCCTCCCTCTCTCTCTCCCTCCCCTCTCTCCTCCCTCCCTCTCTCCCTCTCTCCTCCCTCTCTCCCTCCCTCCCTCCCTCTCTCTCCTCCCTCTCCTCCCCCTCTCCCTCTCTCCCCCTCTCCCCCCCTGGCCTCCCTTGTGTGTATGGATTGAACTGGCTGATTGTCTTCCCAGGCCTGGGCACAGACCTGAGCACTACGACTGTCTACCCTCTCTCTCTCTCTCCCTCTCTCCCTCTCTCCCTCCCTCCCTCTCTCCTCCCTCCCCTCCTCCCCCTCTCCCCCCTCTCCCCCCTCTCCCCCTCTCCCCTCTCCCCCCCTGGCCTCCCTTGTGTGTATGGATTGAACTGGCTGATTGTCTTCCCAGGCCTGGGCACAGACCTGAGCACTACGACTCAGTCTGGAGAGCTGCCTCCCAAAGAGCGAGAGAGAGACCGCGGCCGCACCAAGGACCGCCGTCACCACCACCACCACCACCACCACCACGGCTCCTTCGACAAAGACCGTTACCACGACTACAGACACCCCCCAGAGCGCCACTGGTCCCGGTCCCCGAGCGAGGGCCCCGACAGCAGGGGCCACAGACAGGTGGGACCAGAGCCCTTTAACATCTATGTCAGTGGTTCTTAACCTGGGTTCAATCAAACCACAGGGGTTCGGTCTCAGGGGTTCGGTCTCAGGGGTTCGGTCTCAGGGGTTCGGTCTCAGGGGTTCGGTCTCAGGGGTTCGGTCTCAGGGGTTCGGTCTCAGGGGTTCGGTCTCAGGGGTTCGGTCTCAGGGGTTCGCTGAGCCGGTCTCAGGGGTTCGGTCTCAGGGGTTCGCTGAGCCGGTCTCAGGGGTTCGGTCTCAGGGGTTCGGTCTCAGGGGTTCGGTCTCAGGGGTTCGGTCTCAGGGGTTCGCTGAGCCGGTCTCATGGGTTCGCTGAGCCGGTCTCAGGGGTTCGCTGAGCCGGTCTCAGGGGTTCGGTCTTAGGGGTTCGGTCTCAGGGGTTCGGTCTCAGGGGTTCGGTCTCAGGGGTTCGGTCTCAGGGGTTCGGTCTCAGGGGTTCGGTCTCAGGGGTTCGGTCTCAGGGGTTCGGTCTCAGGGGTTCGGTCTCAGGGGTTCGGTCTCAGGGGTTCGGTCTCAGGGGTTCGCTGAGCCGGTCTCAGGGGTTCGGTCTCAGGGGTTCGGTCTCAGGGGTTCGCTGAGCCGGTCTCAGGGGTTCGGTCTCAGGGGTTCAGTGAGCCGGTCTCAGGGGTTCGGTCTCAGGGGTTCGCTGAGCCGGTCTCAGGGGTTCGGTCTCAGGGGTTCGCAGTCTCAGGGGTTCGGTCTCAGGGGTTCGGTCTCAGGGGTTCGCTGAGCCGGTCTCAGGGGTTCGCAGAGCTTCCGTTGCAGAGGTCCGGACATACCCGGGAAAATGAATACATTTGTGACGACGCGCCCTGATTGACCATCACTGGCTGCAGATGAGAATGCTAAGAGCAGGCACTCTGGAAAGGGCACTCTGGAAAGGGCACTCTGGAAAGGGCACTCTGGAAAGGGCACTCTGGAAAGGGCACTCTGGAAAGGGCACTCTGGAAAGGGCACTCTGGAAAGGGCACTCTGGAAAGGGCACTCTGGAAAGGGCACTCTGGAGAGGGCACTCTGGAGAGGGCACTCTGGAAAGGGCACTCTGGAAAGGGCACTCTGGAGAGGGCACTCTGGAAAGGGCACTCTGGAGAGGGCACTCTGGAGAGGGCACTCTGGAGAGGGCACTCTGGAGAGGGCACTCTGGAAAGGGCACTCTGGAGAGGGCACTCTGGAAAGGGCACTCTGGAAAGGGCACTCTGGAAAGGGCACTCTGGAAAGGGCACTCTGGAGAGGGCACTCTGGAAAGGGCACTCTGGAGAGGGCACTCTGGACAGGGCACTCTGGAAAGGGCACTCTGGAAAGGGCACTCTGGAAAGGGCACTCTGGAGAGGGCACTCTGGAGAGGGCACTCTGGAGAGGGCACTCTGGAAAGGGCACTCTGGAGAGGGCACTCTGGAAAGGGCACTCTGGAAAGGGCACTCTGGAAAGGGCACTCTGGAAAGGGCACTCTGGAGAGGGCACTCTGGAAAGGGCACTCTGGAGAGGGCACTCTGGAAAGGGCACTCTCTGCTCTTGGATTTGTAGCCGTTAGAAAAACCAGTCCTCACAGCATCGTACGAAGCATCGCCAAGCACGGAAAGCCACACCCCACAGGTGAAACACAGGTGAAACACAGGTGAAACACAGGTGAAACACAGGTGAAACACAGGTGAAACACAGGTGAAACACAGGTGAAACACAGGTGAAACACAGGTGAAACACAGGTGAAAACACAGGTGAAACACAGGTGAAACACAGGCTGAAGTAAAGACATGTTGTTGTTCCCAAAAGAAGGCCGTGTTATGGAGCCCCAGGATGCTTCCACAGTCTGGTCTTATCCATGATGGCCTTCTGGACCACAGTCCGGTCTTATCCATGATGGCCTTCTGGACCACAGTCTGGTCTTATCCATGATGGCCTTCTGGACCACAGTCTGGTCTTATCCATGATGGCCTTCTGGACCACAGTCTGGTCTTATCCATGATGGCCTTCTGGACCACAGTCTGGTCTTATCCATGATGGCCTTCTGGACCACAGTCTGGTCTTTATCCATGATGGCCTTCTGGACCACAGTCTGGTCTTATCCATGATGGCCTTCTGGACCACAGTCTGGTCTTATCCATGATGGCCTTCTGGACCACAGTCTGGTCTTATCCATGATGGCCTTCTGGACCACAGTCCGGTCTTATCCATGATGGCCTTCTGGACCACAGTCCGGTCTTATCCATGATGGCCTTCTGGACCACAGTCCGGTCTTATCCATGATGGCCTTCTGGACCACAGTCTGGTCTTATCCATGATGGCCTTCTGGACCACAGTCTGGTCTTATCCATGATGGCCTTCTGGACCACAGTCTGGTCTTATCCATGATGGCCTTCTGGACCACAGTCTGGTCTTATCCATGATGGCCTTCTGGACCACAGTCTGGTCTTATCCATGATGGCCTTCTGGACCACAGTCTGGTCTTATCCATGATGGCCTTCTGGACCACAGTCTGGTCTTATCCATGATGGCCTTCTGGACCACAGTCTGGTCTTATTCATGATGGCCTTCTGGACCACAGTCTGGTCTTTATCCATGATGGCCTTCTGGACCACAGTCTGGTCTTATCCATGATGGCCTTCTGGACCACAGTCTGGTCTTATCCATGATGGCCTTCTGGACCACAGTCTGGTCTTATCCATGATGGCCTTCTGGACCACAGTCTGGTCTTATCCATGATGGCCTTCTGGACCACAGTCCGGTCTTATCCATGATGGCCTTCTGGACCACAGTCTGGTCTTATCCATGATGGCCTTCTGGACCACAGTCTGGTCTTATCCATGATGGCCTTCTGGACCACAGTCTGGTCTTATCCATGATGGCCTTCTGGACCACAGTCTGGTCTTATCCATGATGGCCTTCTGGACCACAGTCTGGTCTTATCCATGATGGCCTTCTGGACCACAGTCTGGTCTTATCCATGATGGCCTTCTGGACCACAGTCTGGTCTTATCCATGATGGCCTTCTGGACCACAGTCTGGTCTTATCCATGATGGCCTTCTGGACCACAGTCTGGTCTTATCCATGATGGCCTTCTGGACCACAGTCCGGTCTTATCCATGATGGCCTTCTGGACCACAGTCTGGTCTTATCCATGATGGCCTTCTGGACCACAGTCTGGTCTTATCCATGATGGCCTTCTGGACCACAGTCTGGTCTTATCCATGATGGCCTTCTGGACCACAGTCTGGTCTTATCCATGATGGCCTTCTGGACCACAGTCTGGTCTTATCCATGATGGCCTTCTGGACCACAGTCTGGTCTTATGCATGATGGCCTTCTGGACCACAGTCTGGTCTTATTCATGATGGCCTTCTGGACCACAGTCTGGTCTTATTCATGATGGCCTTCTGGACCACAGTCTGGTCTTATTCATGATGGCCTTCTGGACCACAGTCTGGTCTTATCCATGATGGCCTTCTGGACCACAGTCCGGTCTTATCCATGATGGCCTTCTGGACCACAGTCTGGTCTTATCCATGATGGCCTTCTGGACCACAGTCTGGTCTTATCCATGATGGCCTTCTGGACCACAGTCTGGTCTTATCCATGATGGCCTTCTGGACCACAGTCTGGTCTTATCCATGATGGCCTTCTGGACCACAGTCTGGTCTTATCCATGATGGCCTTCTGGACCACAGTCTGGTCTTATCCATGATGGCCTTCTGGACCACAGTCTGGTCTTATCCATGATGGCCTTCTGGACCACAGTCCGGTCTTATCCATGATGGCCTTCTGGACCACAGTCCGGTCTTATCCATGATGGCCTTCTGGACCACAGTCCGGTCTTATCCATGATGGCCTTCTGGACCACAGTCCGGTCTTATCCATGATGGCCTTCTGGACCACAGTCTGGTCTTATCCATGATGGCCTTCTGGACCACAGTCTGGTCTTATCCATGATGGCCTTCTGGACCACAGTCTGGTCTTATCCATGATGGCCTTCTGGACCACAGTCCGGTCTTATCCATGATGGCCTTCTGGACCACAGTCTGGTCTTATCCATGATGGCCTTCTGGACCACAGTCTGGTCTTAATCATAATGGCTCCTTTAGAGTACCTTTTCTGAGATAGGGATATTTGGTTTTTAATTACTTTTTTTGCCAAAGTCATCAATATTAAAACAACAATGGCTTGAACTACTTCAGTTGTGTGTAATGACTCTAAAATATGTGAAAGTCTAATGTGTAATTTCAGAAAATAATGAACTTTATCACATAATGCTAATTCTGTTAGAAGGACCTGTAGGTCTGAGGTAGTGCTCTGAGGAAAGACATGGGCTCTGACTTAGAGGTACTTCTGTACCATTCTAATGTTCGGGGGTTATTCCGGGGGCCGTGTGGAATCAGCCCTGTTTTTGTAACTGTCATGCAGATTGCTTCAATAATCCTGAGGTCATTCTCATGTTAGCGTGCATGGCTGATATATTCACCGCTCTCAATCATCTCAATCCACACATGCAGCGTGCTGGAGTCAATATCAGAGAAGTGGAAGAACACTTGAAGGCTTTTCAAAAAAAGCTACCGTTGTGGAAACGATGAACAGAGAACAATAACTTTGCAAACTTGGCCCTTCTGGACGACTGCTTAAGTAAGATCAAAGATGTGTCTGGCATTGGAGATACATGTCTGTCTGTATCCACGGAACTGAAGCAACAACTGCCAAGCACTGAGAGGAGTCTAAGTCTTACAACAGAGTCATACGTTAGGTTTGCTGTTGAGACATGTCAGTGATGAATGTCAAAGACGTTCAGCAGAGCCAGGTTCAACTGCAACTCTTCAGAACAACAACGCTGTCAACAAGTGGACAAGTAAGAAGTATCCAGTTATTGCTAAGAAAGCCCTGGATTTTTATATCCATTTGTTACAACATATCTTTGCGAGCCGTTCTTTTTGAGGATGCTGGACATAAAAACTAAAAAAAGGAACAGACTTTGCTGTGAAAATGACATGAGAGTGGCACAAAGTGAAGTCTCAGCAGGTCTCAGCAGGTCTCAGCTGGTCTCAGCAGGTCTCAGCTGGTCTCAGCTGGTCTCAGCTGGTCTCAGCAGGTCTCAGCTGGTCTCAGCTGGTCTCAGCTGGTCTCAGCAGGTCTCAGCTGGTCTCAGCAGGTCTCAGCAGGTCTCAGCTGGTCTCAGCTGGTCTCAGCAGGTCTCAGCTGGTCTCAGCAGGTCTCAGCTGGTCTCAGCAGGTCTCAGCTGGTCTCAGCTGGTCTCAGCAGGTCTCAGCAGGTCTCAGCTGGTCTCAGCAGGTCTCAGCTGGTCTCAGCAGGTCTCAGCTGGTCTCAGCAGGTCTCAGCTGGTCTCAGCAGGTCTCAGCTGGTCTCAGCTCTCAGCTCAGGTCTCAGCTGGTCTCAGCAGGTCTCAGCTGGTCTCAGCTGGTCTCAGCTGGTCTCAGCAGCTGGTCTCAGCAGGTCTCAGCAGGTCTCAGCTGGTCTCAGGTCTCAGCTGGTCTCAGCTGGTCTCAGCAGGTCTCAGCAGGTCTCAGCTGGTCTCAGCTGGTCTCAGCAGGTCTCAGCTGGTCTCCCAAAGGCAGCAGCAGAAACACACTGATGTTCATGCTCTCTTTGTGCACCATTAAAAAACATATCTTTGTCTTGGATTTGGAAATGTTATATTTCCCAAAAGAGGTGCTCGGTGAATGCGTTTATGAAACTGGGGTTCGTACGTCCTCCAAGGTTAAGAACCACTGATCCATGACATCTGTCCATGCCACACCGATTGATGTCCCAGGGACCATGTGCCGTTACCATGTGGTTACTGTGCCGTTACCGTGTGGTTACTGTGCCGTTACCATGTGGTTACTGTGCCGTTACCATGTGGTTACTGTGCCGTTACCATGTGGTTACTGTGCCGTTACCATGTGGTTACTGTGCCGTTACCGTGTGGTTACTGTGCCGTTACCATGTGGTTACTGATGTGGTTACTGTGCCGTTACCATGTGGTTACTGATGTGGTTACTGTGCTGTTACCGTGTGGTTACTGTGCCGTTACCATGTGGTTACTGTGCCGTTACCGTGTGGTTACTGTGCCGTTACCATGTGGTTACTGATGTGGTTACTGTGCCGTTACCATGTGGTTACTGTGCCGTTACCATGTGGTTACTGTGCCGTTACCATGTGGTTACTGATGTGGTTACTGTGCCGTTACCATGTGGTTACTGTGCCGTTACCATGTGGTTACTGATGTGGTTACTGTGCCGTTACCATGTGGTTACTGTGCCGTTACCATGTGGTTACTGATGTGGTTACTGTGCCGTTACCATGTGGTTACTGTGCCGTTACCATGTGGTTACTGTGCCGTTACCATGTGGTTACTGATGTGGTTACTGTGCCGTTACCATGTGGTTACTGTGCCGTTACCATGTGGTTAGTGTGCCGTTACCATGTGGTTACTGATGTGGTTACTGTGCCGTTACCATGTGGTTACTGTGCCGTTACCATGTGGTTAGTGTGCCGTTACCATGTGGTTACTGTGCCGTTACCATGTGGTTACTGTGCCGTTACCATGTGGTTACTGTGCCGTTACCATGTGGTTACTGTGCCGTTGCCATGTGGTTACTGTGCCGTTGCCATGTGGTTGCCGTGCCGTTGCCATGTGGTTGCCGTGCCGTTGCCATGTGGTTGTTGTGCCGTTGCCATGTGGTTGCCGTGCCGTTGCCATGTGGTTGCTGTGCCGTTGCCATGTGGTTGCCGTGCCGTTGCCATGTGGTTACTGTGCCGTTGCCATGTGGTTGTTGTGCCGTTGCCATGTGGTTGCTGTGCCGTTGCCATGTGGTTACTGTGCCGTTGCCATGTGGTTACTGTGCCGTTACCATGTGGTTACTGTGCCGTTACCATGTGGTTGCCGTGCCGTTGCCATGTGGTTACTGTGCCGTTGCCATGTGGTTGTTGTGCCGTTGCCATGTGGTTGCCGTGCCGTTGCCATGTGGTTGCCGTGCCGTTGCCATGTGGTTGTTGTGCCGTTGCCATGTGGTTGCCGTGCCGTTGCCATGTGGTTGCTGTGCCGTTGCCATGTGGTTGCCGTGCCGTTGCCATGTGGTTGCTGTGCCGTAGCCATGTGGTTGCCGTGCCGTTGCCATGTGGTTGCTGTGCCGTAGCCATGTGGTTGCTGTGCCGTTGCCATGTGGTTGTTGTGCCGTTACCATGTGGTTGTTGTGCCGTTACCATGTGGTTGTTGTGCCGTTGCCATGTGGTTGTTGTGCCGTTGCCATGTGGTTGTTGTGCCGTTACCATGTGGTTGTTGTGCCGTTGCCATGTGGTTGTTGTGCCGTTGCCATGTGGTTGCCGTGCCGTTGCCATGTGGTTGCCGTGCCGTTGCCATGTGGTTGTTGTGCCGTTGCCATGTGGTTGTTGTGCCGTTGCCATGTGGTTGTTGTGCCGTTGCCATGTGGTTGCCGTGCCGTTGCCATGTGGTTACTGTGCCGTTGCCATGTGGTTGTTGTGCCGTTGCCATGTGGTTGCCGTGCCGTTGCCATGTGGTTACTGTGCCGTTGCCATGTGGTTACTGTGCCGTTACCATGTGGTTACTGTGCCGTTACCATGTGGTTGCCGTGCCGTTGCCATGTGGTTACTGTGCCGTTGCCATGTGGTTGTTGTGCCGTTGCCATGTGGTTGCCGTGCCGTTGCCATGTGGTTGCCGTGCCGTTGCCATGTGGTTGTTGTGCCGTTGCCATGTGGTTTTGCCATGCCGTTGCCATGTGGTTGCTGTGCCGTTGCCATGTGGTTGCCGTGCCGTTGCCATGTGGTTGCTGTGCCGTAGCCATGTGGTTGCCGTGCCGTTGCCATGTGGTTGCTGTGCCGTAGCCATGTGGTTGCTGTGCCGTTGCCATGTGGTTGTTGTGCCGTTACCATGTGGTTGTTGTGCCGTTACCATGTGGTTGCTGTGCCGTTGCCATGTGGTTGTTGTGCCGTTACCATGTGGTTGTTGTGCCGTTACCATGTGGTTGTTGTGCCGTTGCCATGTGGTTGTTGTGCCGTTGCCATGTGGTTGCCGTGCCGTTGCCATGTGGTTGCCGTGCCGTTGCCATGTGGTTGTTGTGCCGTTGCCATGTGGTTGTTGTGCCGTTGCCATGTGGTTGTTGTGCCGTTGCCATGTGGTTGCCGTGCCGTTGCCATGTGGTTGCCGTGCCGTTGCCATGTGGTTGTTGTGCCGTTGCCATGTGGTTTCTGTGCCGTTGCCATGTGGTTGCCGTGCCGTAGCCATGTGGTTGTTGTGCCGTTGCCATGTGGTTGCCGTGCCGTTGCCATGTGGTTGTTGTGCCGTTGCCATGTGGTTGCCGTGCCGTTGCCATGTGGTTGCCGTGCCGTTGCCATGTGGTTGTTGTGCCGTTGCCATGTGGTTTCTGTGCCGTTGCCATGTGGTTGCCGTGCCGTAGCCATGTGGTTGCCGTGCCGTTGCCATGTGGTTGCCGTGGTGCTGTTTGATGTTGTTGTTTGTGTTTTAGGGCAGTAGCTCCGTGAGTGGCAGCCCCGTCCCGTCAACGTCTGGGACCAGCACGCCGCGCAGAGGCCGGCGCCAGCTGCCGCCCACGCCCGCCGTGCCGCGGCCTCACGTCACATACTCCCCCGCGCTGAGGAAGCCTTACCCCCCCGGCCGCCTGCGTTCCCCCTCCCCCCGACACTTTTCTCCCCCCGACATGGAGCGGCCGTACCACCGGCCCGCCTCCCGCCACGACTCCCCCCACCGCTCCTCCTCCCGCCACACCTCCCCCCACCACACCTCCCCCCACCACGGGTCTCCGCGCTCGCCTCAGCGAGGTCGCTGGAGCGGGCCCCCACCGGGGGACAGTGTGGAGGGAGACTTCTACGACTACGAGCCCCCGGCCTACGAGCAGAGCCTGTCTCACCCCCGCTCCCCTAGGACCTGCCGCCCTCCCCCCCTCACACGGAGGGTCCCCAACGGGTACCGCTCGTCCTCGCCCTCGCCCCACCGGCACGGGCCCCCAGGAGCACCCCCACACCACCGGCCCCACCCCCGAGGCCCCCGCAAGGGCCTCCATGAACCTTACAGTGAAACAGACGAGGACGACTGGTGCTGACCCTGGACAACGTTAACGTGCTAACGTGCTAATGTGCTACAAGCCACGCCCCCTTTCACAGCGGACTCTTCTGGAGCGGGGGAGGGGGGCGCTGGTGCTGCCTTTTCTAAAGACTCAATCAGTGGAAAGCAGCACATGGTGCAGGGACTGGGCAGAACTACAGCTCCCAGAATCCTCTGCTCTCGGCGCTGACGGGTCAAGATGGCCGCCGCGCTGAGAGAGCACTTCGATCCAGACTCAAGTGTTGCTGCAAAGATTGAATTATATTTAGAATAATGTTTGAAAAGCCAGGACTCCTCTTTCTCTTAACGCCAAGCTATGCCTCCGAGAATCACACTTGAACAATGAAGACTGAGGTGAAAAAGGGAGAAAAACCACTTTATCTTTTCCTTTTCTAAAAGAGGCAAAACCAGGAAGAACCAGGAAGAACCAGGAAGAACCAGGAAGCTACGCCTCCACAGAAGAAGCTCCGCCTCCACAGAAGAAGCTCCGCCTCCACAGCGCTGGTTGATCCTTGATGAGTTTTATCATCTCTGTTTACTGTTTAAAGTGACAGCGCTGCTGTGACATCACTTCCTGTCAGTGGCAGGAGGAGGACCAGGACCAGAACCAGGACCAGAACCAGGACCAGAACCAGAACCAGGACCAGAACCAGGACCAGGACCAGGGTTAATGCTCTGACCTGCATCAGTCACTAACAGCTTCTACTAACTCCCAGATTCTAGAATCCTGTTCCTGAGCCAAAACTAAAAATATGAAACCACTTGGAACCTCCCCCACTCCTCCTCCTCCCCCACTCCTCCTCCTCCCCCACTCCTCCTCCTCCCCCACTCCTCCTCCTCCCCCACTCCAGCCTCCTCCCCCACTCCTCCTCCTCCCCCACTCCTCCTCCTCCCCCACTCCAGCCTCCTCCCCCACTCTCCTCCTCTCCTCCCCCCTCCTCCTCCTCCCCCACTCCAGCCTCCTCCCCCACTCCTCCTCCTCCCCCACTCCTCCTCCTCCCCCACTCCAGCCTCCTCCCCCACTCCTCCTCCTCCCCCACTCCTCCTCCTCCCCCACTCCTCCTCCTCCCCCACTCCAGCCTCCTCCCCCACTCCTCCTCCTCCCCCACTCCTCCTCCTCCCCCACTCCTCCTCCTCCCCCACTCCTCCTCCCCCACTCCTCCTCCTCCCCCCTCCTCCTCCTCCTCCCCCACTCCTCCTCCTCCTCCCCCACTCCTCCTCCTCTCCCACTCCTCCTCCTCCCCCACTCCTCCTCCTCCCCCACTCCAGCCTCCTCCCCCACTACAGCCTCCTCCCCCACTCCTCCTCCTCCCCCACTCCTCCTCCTCCCCCACTCCTCCTCCTCCCCCACTCCTCCTCCCCCACTCGTCCTCCCCCACTCCAGCCTCCTCCCCCACTCGTCCTCCTCCCCCACTCCTCCTCCCCCACTCCAGCCTCCTCCCCCACTCCTCCTCCTCCCCCACTCCTCCTCCTCCCCCACTACAGCCTCCTCCCCCACTCCTCCTCCTCCCCCACTCCTCCTCCTCCCCCACTCCAGCCTCCTCCCCTACTCCAGCCTCCTCCCCCACTCCTGCCTCCTCTCCAGCCTCCTCCCCCACTCCTGCCTCCTCTCCAGCCTCCTCCCCCACTCCTGCCTCCTCTCCAGCCTCCTCCCCCACTCCTGCCTCCTCTCCAGCCTCCTCCTCCACTCCTGCCTCCTCTCCAGCCTCCTCCCCCACTCCTGCCTCCTCTCCAGCCTCCTCCCCCACTCCAGCCTCCTCCCCCACTCCTGCCTCCTCTCCTGCCTCCTCTCCTGCCTCCTCTCCTGCCTCCTCTCCTGCCTCCTCTCCTGCCTCCTCTCCAGCCTCCTCCCTGCACAGTGGAGTAGGCAGGCGACAGGAAGTGATGTCACACGCTGGACTGAGTGGAGGCCAACGTGGAAAAACATGGACTTTTCTCTTTACCATTTCCGGTCTTACTTCTTCTCTGGTTCTTCTCTTCTCCTCTGGTCCTGGTTCTCCTCTCGCTCTCCTCTGGTTCTCCTCTTCTTCTCTGGCTCTTCTCTGGTTCTCCTTCTTCTCTGGCTCTTCTCTTCTCCTCCTGATTCTCCTCCTGGTTCTCCTGGTTCTCCTCTGGTTCTCCCCTGGTTCTCCTCCTGATTCTCCTCCTGGTTCTCCTCCTGGTTCTCCCCTGGTTCTCCCCTGGTTCTCCTCCTGGTTCTCCTCCTGGTTCTCCTCCTGGTTCTCCTCCTGGGGGACATTTGGAGCTTGGTTCCTCAGTTCACCTCCTGCATGAGTGATTAACACATATTTGAGGTGTTTTAAGTTTATAACGACGTCCGCCTTTCACCAGAGCTCTCTCTGTCCCTCAGAGCTAAGAGAGCTACCCCAGACACGGCTAAGAGAGCTACCCCAACACGGCTAAGAGAGCTACCCCAACACGGCTAAGAGAGCTACCCCAACACGGCTAAGAGAGCTACCCCAGACACGGCTAAGAGAGCTACCCCAGACACGGCTAAGAGAGCTACCCCAGACACGGCTAAGAGAGCTACCCCAGACACGGCTAAGAGAGCTACCCCCAAACAAAGCTAAGAGAGCTAACCCCCAACACGGCTAAGAGAGCTACCCCAGACACGGCTAAGAGAGCTACCCCAGACACGGCTAAGAGAGCTACCCCAGACACGGCTAAGAGAGCTAACCCAGACACGGCTAAGAGAGCTACCCCAGACACAGCTAAGAGAGCTACCCCCAACAAGGCTAAGAGAGCTACCCCAGACACGGCTAAGAGAGCTACCCCAGACACGGCTAAGAGAGCTACCCCAGACACGGCTAAGAGAGCTAACCCCAAACAAAGCTAAGAGAGCAACCCCAACACGGCCTAAGAGAGCTAACCCCAAACAAGGCTAAGAGAGCTACCCCAAACAAAGCTAAGAGAGCAACCCCCAGACACGGCTAAGAGAGCTACCCCAGACACGGCTAAGAGAGCTACCCCAACACGGCTAAGAGAGCTACCCCAGACACGGCTAAGAAAGCTAACCCCAAACAAAGCTAAGAGAGCTACCCCAACACGGCTAAGAGAGCTACCCCAACACGGCTAAGAGAGCTACCCCAGACACGGCTAAGAGAGCTAACCCCAAACAAAGCTAAGAGAGCAACCCCAGACACGGCTAAGAGAGCTACCCCAAACAAAGCTAAGAGAGCAACCCCAACACGGCTAAGAGAGCTACCCCAAACAAAGCTAAGAGAGCAACCCCAACACGGCTAAGAGAGCTACCCCAAACAAAGCTAAGAGAGCAACCCCAGACACGGCTAAGAGAGCTACCCCAGACACGGCTAAGAGAGCTAACCCCAGACACGGCTAAGAGAGCTACCCCAGACACGGCTAAGAGAGCTAACTCAGGAGATGTAGAAACTAAAGCTGCGACCCAATATTCACCTCCACAACTTCAGCTTTTGCCTGGATTTATTCAAAGCCTAGAAGGGTGTTTTATAAGCTAGCACCAGTTAAAGAGCTCAATCACACTAGCTACTAGCCTGTGCTAAACCAGCTAGCATTCAGACAAAACAACGACGTCGCTGCCGGTCCGTTGTGTGTCCCATTCAACAATTGCCAAAAATATTTTTTTGCCAAAGTGGTAGAAAAGTGAATGAAAATGCTACAACTGTCCATAAGTAAAAGTCCTGACCAGCCGCAGTATAAAAACTGCCACCGCCATTTTGTTTTGGGCGCTATCAACACATGGCGGCCATTTTGTGTCCGCTTCTCGAGCCGATCCAGAGAGAGTGACGGTGACGGGCGGACTTCCTCCACTCTAGAGTTGTTATGGTTAACGATAGACTTAACGAACTTAACGAACTTAACGAACACTGAATCCTCGACGATCGATTAGACCTGTTTCTTGTAGACTTTGTGTCATGCTAATCTGCAGTATGCTAACGTCCCATAAATGTTTACATTGCATTGTGTTTCCGGGCTCCCCCCTCCTCCCCCCTCCCCCCTCCCTCCCCCCTCCCTCACCCCCCAAAGGTTTTCTTGTCCTGAGGCCTTCTTTGAGGAAAAAAAAAACAAAAAAAAGTTTCAGGAGCAACTTTAGCGTCTCTCTCTTTGTAAAAAAAAACAACAACAAAAAGCGCCACGTGTTGTAGCATGGCGCCCTTTTTAACGATCTCCCAGCACGGCCAGGGCTAAAACACAAGAACCAACGTGCGAGAGTTATGTGCATCTTACAGTGGAACGGACTCAGAGAGCGCCATCTACAGGCCAAAAAAAGACAAACACGTGAACAAACCAGGCACAGTCTCAGTGCTGGGGTTCTGCTTTTTGTTGCCACTAGAGGGCAGTTATCAGCACATTCTCCCCCATTCCCCCCTCCCCCCTTTTTTCGACAAGATGCTACACGCTACGTCCAGGCTACGCAACTTTGGCTAGCTTAGCACAACCCATCGTACGTGCTAACAATGATCAAGGCACCCGGCAGCAGGGTTGGATTCATATATTTATATTTATCACTAAGAAGGATTCTGTGGGATTTTAAGTCTCTGATTGGTCAGAACCCCAAGCCGACATCTTGGAGACCCGGGGCTTGGTTGGGGGCCGGTTTTGACATGGGAAGTTTATCGTTTCGGCTCATTCACTCAGTACGTTTCCCAAAGCCCTAAAAGCGGTCAGTTTGATTGACAGCTGAAGTAACTAAGAACAAGATATAGTTTATTCACTGCTAACACTCAGCAAGAAGGTGCTAGCTTCTATTCCAACGCCAGACAAGGCCTTTCTGAGTGGAGTTTGTGTGTTCTGTCTCTGCCTCTGCTACGATTAATGCTAATGCTACTAATGCTAATGCTTCTTCTGCGATGATGGGTCGTACAGTAACGAGACAGTCCCTTCTTTATTTAAGGCCGTCGAGAAATGACTTCCCGAACACATCCCTGTTGCCAGTCGCCTCAGACAACATCATGTAGAAAGACACCAACATTAACCGATGGACTAAAAAGTAGCAACAATCAGCTAAATGAAACCTCCCCCGTGCGGCTAGCCTGGACGTAGCCGTTAGCTTCCCGCGTTAGCCCGTGTCTGTGCCAACGCTGACGCCGCCAACTCCTCAGGATTTTACAGAAGAGAGCTTGTAGCAGCGCTCGGAAAACCCAACTCAGAAGCAGCGTTTTAGACACACCGCTACTTTAGTCCTATATTCAACACATGTAGAAGATTATACGCTATAACTAGAGATACTAATAGATACAAAAAGATTTATTTTGCAAAAACCACAGATCATGCGTGAGACCTATGCAGGAGGAAGGAAAACAAACGTGAAAAGACTTTTGAGCTTCTGTTGCTGCCCCTGACTCCGCCCCTGACTCCGCCCCTCGCCCCTGACTCCGCCCCTCGCCCCTGACTCCGCCCCTGACTCCGCTCCTCGCCCCTGACTCCGCCCCTCGCCCCTGACTCCGCCCATCGCCCCTGACTCCGCCCCTCGCCCCTGACTCCGCCCTTCGCCCCTGACTCCGCCCCTCGCCCCTGACTCCGCCCCTCGCCCCTGACTCCGCCCCTCGCCCCTCCCACTCCTCCACACGTTTAGGACAAAAGCTGTAAACGTAAAAAACAAAACAAGAAATACGGTTTTTAACAAAGTGGAGAACGTGCGACGATCCCGAGCAGTGCCTTCTGAAACTAACGGACGCAACGCCTTAAACCGGAGCAGACGCCATTTTAGTGACGCTCAGACGGGACGGGCCATATATCTTTATCTCTATCGTCCAATCATTACAAACATGTCTAGGAATTATAAGAATTGTCCAAAATTGTCGTTTCGCCCCAACAGTTGGGCTCGTGCAGAAGCCCAGCTGTTGGACATCGGCCGCAAACGATATATCGACCCATCCCATGATTATAGAAGGAGAAGGAAGCGACAACTAGCATGCTAACAGCGCTGCGTTAGCTAAAACAAACTGAGCCACAATTAGGTAGATACTCTGGTCGGACCTCTGAAAGCTAAGCAGAGCGAGGCCTGGTGAGTGCTGTGATGGGAGACCGCTGTAATGCCATTTACCACAGTTCCTGGATATGGTCTGTCCCAGGGCAGGTGTGGCTACGGTGCTTTCATACATGTTTCCCTGAGTATTCTGTAGACGCCAAACAATTCAATCCGATGTATTTGTGCTAAAAAAAACGCAGAGGCAGATATTTTTAAGGACTTTGCGAAGCTGCCGATTCTCCGACACAGATCAGAGAAGCACCGATGAGGAACAGTGAGACCGTAAACGTCCTTCCTTCTCCTCGCCGAAATAATCCACTCAGGGCACAGGAAGAAGAGCAGCTCCACGTAGCCTTGACCACGGCGAGTTACTAACCCATGATCATCGGCCTGAGCAGCACCGAGCCAGACCGAGCCAGACCGGGTTTGAAGAGACGCTTTTACCTAAGAGTTTGACCTGAACAGAAGTGAGTGTAATGAGACCTTCAAGTCAGAAGAAAACATGGACTGTGAGGATTAGGACTCTCTTTATGGTCTCTCTCTGGTCTCTCTCTCTGGTCTCTCTCTCTGGTCTCTCTCTCTGGTCTCTCTCTCTCTGGTCTTCCTTCTGGTCGCTACTGGCACAGTAGAGAAGAATAAAGTAGATTAGGAGACAGTAGAGTAGAGTAGAGTAGGAGACAGAGTAGAGTAGGAGAGTAGAGTAGAGTAGAGTAGGAGACAGTAGAGTAGGAGAGAGTAGAGTAGAGTAGGAGACAGTAGAGTAGAGTAGAGTAGGAGACAGTAGAGTAGAGTAGGAGAGAGTAGAGTAGGAGACAGTAGAGTAGATTAGGAGACAGTAGAGTAGAGTAGGAGACAGTAGAGTAGAGTAGGAGATAGTAGAGTAGGAGACAGTAGAGTAGGAGAGAGTAGAGTAGAGTAGGAGAGAGAAGAGTAGAGTAGGAGACAGTAGAGTAGAGTAGGAGACAGATGAGTAGAGTAGGAGACAGTAGAGTAGAGAAGGAGATAGTAGAGTAGAGTAGGAGATAGTAGAGTAGGAGACAGTAGAGTAGGAGAGAGTAGAGTAGAGTAGGAGAGAGTAGAGTAGAGTAGGAGACAGTAGAGTAGAGTAGAGTAGGAGAGAGTAGAGTAGGAGACAGTAGAGTAGAGTAGGAGACAGTAGAGTAAGAGACAGTAGAGTAGAGTAGGAGACAGTAGAGTAGGAGACAGAGTAGGAGACAGTAGA